TGTTAAACTCCCACAAGTCCTGGACAACATGAACAAGATCATCAAATAGTCGTTTCTGCTGTAAGAATGCCATTGAGAGACAGTAACTATCATTAAAAGGTAGAGGAAAAAACCTTACATCAGTTTTATTTATTTTATTTATTTTTTTTTTTAAAGCCAAGACTTTTCCAAAAATACACATAGGAAAAGACGAAGTCCTTTCTTAGATGAGGAGATAGGCTAACAAGGGTCAAAATTATTTCTTTCGATGCCCAAAAGAATCAAATGTGTTATTTATTCCAACGAAACGAAAGTCAACAGTATATTAAACACAGTAACATATGCATATGTTTGTTATTACCATTGTAAAATTGATAGTTTATGAAAACCAAATACCATTTATCAATTTTTATTGCAATTTCGAACGGCATGAAGTTAAGAAAAAACATATAGTTTTGAGAGAGATTGAGAAAATACATTTTCTAAGTTGAAGTAAAATAGGTAATTCATTAATAGAAGATCATTTAAGCGTTAAAGATTGAAATTATTAACTTGGAAGAGTAGTCGCAAAAAAGTTCGTTTTTAACCTGAGTATCATTTTTTTTTTTTTTTTTTTTTTTAATATAACAGAAATAATGTATAGAAATACCTATTAAAATCCATACCTCTTTCAAGTTTCAACCAGGGCTGGTGAACCTGATTTGGTTTGGTCCTTTTCTAAAAAAAGTTTGCAGGCACCTAATATATGTGATCAATGATATTTTCCACAACGACTGAATTATGTCATTTCCAGAAAGTCACTCACTACATTTTTGTAAAATTAATCTCAGGTGTGTGGCATTTTCCTTAACAATTTAGAAGACATGACGCACAGAATTTAAAATTTAATAGTTAATTTCTGTTTTCTTATTAAAACAGTGGACATTTATAAGCCTATATGAAAAATTAAAAATGCAAAAAGTCGTTATTCAAATAGACATCTACAAATCAATTTTTGAATACGAAGAATAGTTTTTGCAATTTGGAAGAAAATAAAATGTTTGATTTTTATTAAACGCCATATATGTATAGGTATATATTTTTTAGACATACATAAACGTACAAAAATTGTATAGTTAAATCTGTATATTTGTTTATTCATCACGATAGTATTTCTTTTAAGAATCCTATTGCGTCAATATTTCCTTTAGATAGTCTTACAATAAATTTTTGATTTAAATAAATTTATATTTTATAAATTTTACTTAATCTTTAGTCAGTTATACATATTCTCTACGTACGCACGAAACCATTGTCGTTTAAGGCGACGTGGCGCGTTCCCAGGATAGGAAAGTTCAGATAAGACTTGGGCAGAAGGGTTAGGATTAATTTTGGAAGCGGGATCAGTTAAGTTCGTTGACAAAAGGAATGTTGAGGTCATTGTGGATATTGAGGTTGCTGACGTAGAATCTTTTACTCTTACTCTTTAGAGATTTTACGATTTATTTGAGAACTTTTGATTGGAAGAATTGGTTGCGCTGGATATTGGATGGCTTTGGGGATTCATTCTTCTCCTCAAATTTTTGCTTTCAATCTCTGATAAACCCACGATGTTCTTGTTGTTCATAGGATTCGTGTTAGAAGAAAGAACTACTATGTCACCCATGGATGGAAAGTCAGCAGTAAAACGTATAAAATATGAGACCAAGAACGCCCCCTTACGGGACGCCGGCTTATATTGGTCTGATATCTCAGTATTCGTTCTGAAGCAGCTGTCGGTTGAATAGGATTCTAGGGTAAGGCAATGGATGGTGTGTGTACTAAGGTAGTAGAAAACGTTTAAGTTTATGTGTGGTGATTAGTGACCGTTAATCGATATTTATCTAGAAATCGTGAGATGCAGTCTGGTGTGATGTAGGTTTCAGAAAAACATTTTCTTTATCGTGCCAACGTTTCGATCTTTATTGAGATCATCTTCAGGGCCTAGGATTTACAAACATTGTTTACATATAACAATTACATTTTGGATGTGGAAAAGTGAATTTATACAATGCAAAATATATTTATTTTTTTAATATATTCAATCAAAGTATTGAGTGAGTAGAAATACTTTGATTGAATTTATTTAAAAAAATAAATAAATTTTGCATTGTATAAATTCACTTTTCCACATCCAAAAAGTAATTGTTATATGTAAACAATGTTTCTAAATCCCAGGCACTGAAGATGATCTCAATAAAGATCGAAACATTGGCACGATAAAGAAAATGTTTTTCTGAAACCTACTTCACACCAGACCGCATCTCACGATTTCTAAATAAATATGTTTAAGTTTATAAAGAAAAAAAAACATTGGAATTATAATTTTAAAACCTTATTTAAACCATACACAATTCTATATTATTAGTTTGAAACTATGTAATTTTATAATAAATATTGTTTTAGAATTAATTTATGTTTCATTATAAGCTAATTTCAAAGGTCTTGCAAATTATAAATTTTAATTAATCATTTGATTTTTATTCGTCCGCTGTGTTTTTTGTATTGATAGATCAAAGATGTATTCAAGAATTTTTTTTCATAATATTATAAATCATTTCTTTATTGCAGTAAAGAACAGTAAAGCAAAATTGAAACATTTTTATCTTAGATGATCATGATTCACAAAATTTATTCCTCCAACAATAAAAATTTAAATAAATAAGTCTACAAAGAATTAAATATTGCATTTTAAATCTTTTTTTTTTAATTAGGTTTAAATTTTACCCAACAAGATCCAATATTATGCACATAATTATTAACAATGAAATTTAAAACAGTAAATTTTCTCGGCAACCAACCAGTGTTTGGTATTTTTCCCTTTGTGAACTTCATGAGAAAAAAATATCTACTTTAAATAATCCAGAAACCAACAAAAGTATATAAATTTTATCTGATATCTAACAAGCACATGAAAGTTATTGTATCCAATGTACCCATTTACCCATTTTTCTAGCCAACCGGATTTTTTCGTTAAATATTGCAGTACACAATACACATCAAATATATAAAGTAAGATTTTTTTCTACAGGATCAGCCGGTATTTATTTTCCTCTCTTAAAACTACGGGCCCGGCGACAATTTAAGAATAGGTTATTAAACATCCCAAAATACTCTGTTAATAGCTTCACTATTATCCAAGCTTCAGATCCAGGAAACTCTCAAGGCCTGCCTTATTGAAGAATAATTATTATTATACTCTTAAGAATTAATTTTTTAAAAACCTATTTTTGTTGTCAACGTCTGAATGTACTAACTATGTACAACTCTATATCAATATTTAGATACTTTATATTAATTATTTTCCCACTTTATTATTAAAGATAATTTATTTAAGAACTGTGTTATTTGTGCCTTGTGAATTGTATAGTGAATTTAATTTAAAATTTACTTTGGCTTATTTTCAAGGGTATAATCATTTTATGGAATGAAACCTCAATTTGTGCATTGTCCTAACTGGCTTAGATGAAATCCTCTAAATGCCAAAATCGATTTTTGATCAAATAGTTCAATTTTGTATGTATTAACCAAATGAAATATTTCCCAGCAAAAAAAATCCGATAGATTATTTTAAAATATTGAATTAGACTATTCCTCGTATTGTTCAAATAGAACGTAAAACATTATAAGAGGGTGCTTTTTAAACTCATAAATACATTATAAACAGATATAGAAGTGAATAATATTATTAAATGCCTAGCCTATTTTGAAGAATTGCTTACGATCGGCGTTAGTTGATTATCTGTGATATGTATTTTCTATGTGTTATAGCTATAATAAACATAATTTAAACAGTTCGTAAAGTTGTATTTTTTTAAATTAATTATCGTGGTCTAAAATTGAAAATAAAGAAAACTGGTTAGTAATAGAAATAGCATATTATTAAGAATATTATATGGCTTCATTATATTGCTTCGATAATAAACTCGATTTCTTGTTACGAAATGAACTTCAAAGTTAGACGGTTCTCTTTACGACTTGACTGTTTTGATGCCGAGCCTTTCGAGTAAATCCGGATGTTCTACTACATCACACTATTGACCAAACAGTCCGTTTAACTCTTTCAAAACCAGTCTCGTTCTTTTCCTATTGTGCTTACACTGTAGGTATGACAATAAAGAGAATTCCATACTAACCAGGTGGGTGTTGGAGACCTGCTCAGATAGCACTGAGGGGCTGACTCGAGGTCTGGGAAGAGAGGAGAGTGCGAGAGAGAATGAGAGAATGCGAAAGGGAGAGAGAGAAGCCCATATTGATCCATACAGCACCCGGCAGTGTTCATCCAAACACTCACTGCCCCACTTATCCCTCCTATTCTTTAAATACATCGTTAATTTTTTACCATTCACATGATAACGTTTAACAAGTGCCGTTTGATATATCAGTTTGTAAATATAAAACTATAAGCGATGCTATCTTAAATACAAGCGCTTTGAACCTTCTCAGGCAGTACTTACTAGTTTCATCGATGATGATTATGGAAAACTTAAAGAAAAAGTTTTGTTTTGAGTTTTATCAAAAATCCTTAAACAATTCAACATTATTATCTTAACATTATTACTTTTATAATAAACAAACAAATGTTCATATTTTTATCATAAAGATTTTTTTAAACTTTTCACACTTCAACTTTGAACACTTCAAGAGTTAAAATAAAGAGCCAATAAAAGTATTAAGTGACTTTCTGATATCAAAATTTTAATCATGTCCATTCAAATCGTCAAACCTAGGCTGTCAGGTTTGGACTGATCGAGAGCGTTTCAAACATTTAATAAAGGCTGTGAAAAAAAAACACTATTGGTGTTAGGAAAATATATATCAATTTTATTTATTCAAAAGCTCATTCGTTATTAAGCTTACAATTATCCAGTACAACATTTATGCCAAGAAAGTTTCAGGTTTGCATTGAACCATAAGGACAGTTGAATTTCATTTCCGGGGAGTTTTCTTCCAATGACCGCTTCTTCTGCCAAGAGATAATTTAATTAAATTATTTATTTTAAACACCAGATGTCAAAACTGTAACTATAGTTATTTTAATTTCTTAATCATTAAATTTATCCAAGATAAGTTTTAAATTGTTTGTACATTTGTCATTACATATAGTGGAAAATTGAGGATTAGATGAAAATAAGGTGGAAATGTGTTTAATTGATGTTTGATGGTCTGCGAGTAGATGAACATGTCGATCAGCTCAAAATAAAAAATAAATGGTTCCTAGTACAAATAGTAAATCTTCGGTCAGGCTGAAAATGACCTACTATCTAATAGTGATAACAATAACACTGATAGTAAATAAAGAACAACGACAATCCCTGCAGTAAATTCTGATTTGATCACGTTTTAACTTATTCTCCAGGCCTGTAAATATTGAACCATGGAGGGGAAAAGTGGTAATCCGATGTCAGCGTTTTCGTTCATATTCCAGCTTTTTTTAATTTTCAAAGTGGTCTCATGTGTCAGAATAACATTTTTGCGGTTTAACAAGCCTTACACTTCGACGGGATCTTAATTTGTGCTGATTAAGAGTCTGAATATCAGAAGCAAACTCAAACTCAGAATGCTGAAAGTTTGTTGACTAGACTTCTTTTCGTATTCGTAAATCGATTAAATTGTACTGGTGTGCACCCCGCAAAAAATGGCATATTATGTTCAAACTGGTATGATTTAAAAGTTATATTTTTATTTAATCAATCTAAATTATGTTGATTCAGGTCGGCCAGAACTGCCAACGCAAATAGCAAAATAACCAATAGTATCAAATCTATATAATTATTTGCTGTGTATTCCATCCCTTTCCAAATTTAAAGGGTCGAATAATGATTTAACTTTCTAACAGTTCAAAGCTTAAACTTTCATATTGTTTAATGATTTACCAAGCTTTTGTTTCCTGTACTTACGATCTGAGATCTGTTGCAGCCTATATTGTACTTACTCATCTTCGTCTATAGACGAGTCGAGTGACGTCTGAACTTGAAACCAGTCGGAAAGATCTAGATTGGAAAAATTAATATTTTATCAATCATACATGCCAATGAAACAATGAAATTTTAATATAAAATGAAGAGTCGGAAAAAACCTCTTCATACAACTTCATGGTATTCATTATTTATACAATTTAATCTTCTATTTAAAAAAAAAAAGAGAAGTGTTTATACAATAAATATGATTAAAATCTATTAATTTACGTGTTTTCTTTACATATTATTTATGTATATAAAGCAAAAGCAGAGAAAGTTTCTAATAGAAAAGTTTAAAAAACTAAATTAAAAAATGTCTATTGTTACTGCTTTTTCTTAAATTTTCATCGTTTGTATTTAAAGCATGTCTCTTATTAAGCAACATTAAAACTTAACGCTAAACTTTTTTTTTAATGGACAAGTTGAGACAAGTTGACAACCTATGAAATTACGTGTTTTCTTTGCATATTATTTATGTATATAAAGCAAAAGCAGAGAAAGTTTCTAATAGAAAAGTTTGAAAAAACTAAGTTAAAAAAACGTCTATTGTTACTGCTTTTTCCTAAATTTTCATCGTTTGTATTTAAAACATCTCTTATTAAGCAACATTAAAACTTAACGATAAACCTTTTTTCTTTTTTTAATGGACAAGTTGAGCCCACCTGTGTAATACTTTGTTCAGACTAGATAATTATACAAAGATTATAAATTAAATAATTTACAGGGTCGTTTTGGTTTTCATTGTGAACACAGACAGTGCTTTGCGAGAGATGTTTCCTTAAGAGTTCTGTGTTAATTTGGCATCGAATACCAAAACACTGGCAATTGTACAAACCTCCATTTAGATTATTCCCGATATTACAAAGAACCTAAAACCGATTGGACTAAATATTTAAAATAAAACACAGAAAAACACGTCGAAGGTTTTGTTAAATATGCGACCAAGAGAATCTGTGGACTCTGCTCTAGTGAGATTACGTGTGCATTAAAAACGGATTAAGCTTTTAAAAACAACCCGTGTACTTGTTTTATACAACGACCTTGTTATTCAGACCTCTCTATTGAATTTGTCTTCATAAATCTTAATTAATAATAGCTCACTGTCGAATAAAACGAGAAATTACTGTTAGTATGTATACATCTATTGTTACTTTCAAAACAATTTTAAAATTAATTTACTACATATGAAATGAGAAAAATTGGATAAAAACTAGGTTTTTTTTAAACAAGACAACTGCCATGGCGGGTAAAATCTAACATTAGCCTAAATAAAAGACAATTTTGTTAAATATTTACCCGATTCCGGTGAAGCTGTTGAAGAGCCGGCAGACATTGCTGAAAGCGCGAAATGGAACCACTCTCGACCGTGTAAGAAACCAAACTGATTTTAAATATCTAAAGAAATGAGAAGCAAAGGTTTCGAGATAACGAACCGTTTGATTGAAATATATAATTGTGTTCTTTACTTCTTTAGCTTATCTTAAAACCTTAGCGGGGAGAGAGAAAATATTTCCCTCTGAGTTCAAAAGGAACTATGTTACCAAATTGTGTCACCGGGTTGTTGGTCTGTCTGACATTGTTCAGCAGTATTTTGTTTCGTAATCGAACGAATAACAACCATTTCAACCAACGCCCTTAACTGATGTTAACGCGACAAAATGATTTATGAGTCTGAACATCGAATTGAAAGCAGTTTGATATTTACAGAGTACTAAGTAGCAATATAATTACGAAGGAATTCAGCCCAGCGAGGTCATGCGGACCACATGTTTCTAGATACAACTATCAGCTCAAAAGCCTACTTTGTTGTAATATACCAATTATTAAACATTAAAAAATTAAACATTAAAAATTAAACATTAAAAATTAACATAATTTTATTCGTAATGTTACAAAAAATGGTTCTCACCACAAAATATCAATAAATTATGTTGAATTTTTTTAAATTAAATTTATTTTTAAAACTGGTGGTAAAGATTTACATTTCACTATTCATTTTTAACTGTACAAGTTCATATGGCTTTGTTCTTTTTAATCTTCTGGCCTTGTTTCGGTAATGTAAGAGTTTGGTCGCTTCCACATTCTCGTGCTGGCCGAGGTGTCTGGTTTTTGGCGGTAAATCTTTGTATTTCTGCCGTGACCTCAGGAAACTTAAGATCCCTATGTAAGTCCTTATACCTTATGTACCAATGGCCATGTGTTTGGTACAATCCCATAGTTGAATACCATATGTCCACATAGGCTTTATGACTTGTTTATATAATATTTTATTTTGTACAGAAAGATTTGAGCCATGTCCTGTCAACCAGTATAGTCTATACCTTTAACCTATTTCTGTCTTTTTTTTTCTTTACGTGTTCTTTCCATCTAAGGTTAATATTTATATATTTAGCTGTATCACTGTATGGTATAGTGGTTCCGTCGATTGTGAGCGACAGAACATGGTCCACTTTTTTGTTTGTAAAGATTAGATTAACTGATTTAGCTTGATTTTCCATTTTTTTGTCCATTCGTTTATCTTATTACATTTTGGAGGATTTTGGTTGAATGGTTGCTAGTCGGTCCTAGTGATATCACTGCTGTGTCATCTGCAAACGTTTCAATTTTTACTCCATCTATTTTCAGAAAATCACTGGTGTATAACAAGCAAAGAAGTGGACCTAATATGCTACCTTGTGTATTTATTGCATTTATTGTTTTTAATTTTGAATATTGATCTTCTTGTTTGACTCTAACCAGTCTGTCAGGTAGGAACTGATAATATCAACATTCTACTTTGGTATCATCCCTTTTAGTTTATTGATGAGCCCTTCTATATATTGAATTTTTAAAAAAATCTTTATTAAAACAAACTGATTCAGCATTTTCCATCTATATGGACTTTGATTGTTTTTCATCCCGTATTTTCCTTATTGAAATGTCTCTTATAAATCATTGACTTGTTATTTAATGAAATATTACATATGCCAGAGAGACTGCAATATATATAAGCCAAATAAAATAAAATAATACAAAGAAATCAATAAAAATACAAAATAAATATATAAGATTAATGGTTGAAAGTAGTACATTACGTTACAAGTTTACAAATGAATATATTATGGTATGATATGGTAACTTACTATAATTTATCAGCACTTGCCTGATCTGTCATTTGTAAGTAGTTGAGTTATGAAAGTTGAGTGAAACAGACAGAAAATATTGATAGAGAGTTTTGTTTGGCCTAAGGGATTAAAAAGGTAATTATGTCTTAGGAAGAGGTACATTAAAATTTTTTGTTGGTAGAAAAAGTGAAACAATATATCCTTGATATGGGGTGAAGATGAGAACTATTTAAAAAAGATAAAAGAGGGAAAAGGACCACAAGGACAATGTGTAAAGAACTGTGGTTGAAGTAGGATACCCTTGTATTTGTTACATTTTATTTTTGAGTCTTAAGTAATAAGTAAAGCTAATTTATCTGTACTTTCAATTTTTTTAAATTGTTGTGTTTGTGAATGACTTTCATAATTGGTTTAAATTATTTAAACAGTTTTGTAAGAAGTGTTCTTTAAATTATCTATTTTAAGATTTTTTACATATTATCACCCTCACAATTTTGGGGATGACACTTTCGGAGATATTCAGTTTTCAGTTAATTTGGTTTCAACAAGTGTGCTTTTATTTGTTTTATTTTACTGTTCTCCATATCCTTTCCTTTTAATTTATTGGTCCTCTTCCGATTCTTTTCCTACCCCCGAGTTTTGGAAATGTCGTTCCTTCTTTGTTGTGGCGTTGAAAGAACGTCACAATATATATAAAAAAATAGAACCAAATCTTCATATTATCAATTGGCAACAAAGGGCATGGTGGAAAAATAGTCAAAATTCTTAAGATCTTGTTGGATCTCCATAGTTGGATAAATCAGTTGGGTTGGAGGTTTTTCTTGCCAAATATGCTCAAGAAATAAATAAAAAATATTTTTTTTACCCAATTTATTGAATCATCCAAAAGCACTTCGGAAGGTTTTCAGTTCTTCTTTTTGTAATTTTCTTCTTAATATAGACAGAAAGTGGATTGATGATGTTGATAACTGTTTTTTCGTTTCATAGAATATTCACTTATTCAAATACTATTTTGTTTTCCACATTTAATCAATAGCTTGCCTTAATTCACTGTATAAATGTTTTATTTATTAAAAATATACTATATCTAAAGTTATTTATTTTCATAGAATTAGCTGAATTTTCGACTTGTTCATTTATTATCTATTTGTGATACTATTATATCTACTCCTGATTAGGAATTTGTACCATACAAATAAAGTAATTCCTGTCATATAGGAAGGTATAATGTCCAACTACCAACTGGATCAGATGTTTTATGATACCTTTTACGTGTACCAATTAAAATTCCATGAGATGTGCCAGCTTTTGAAACTACAACCACTAGCGTGGCATATACTAGTCTGACCATCCCCAGGTCCTACTTTCCAGCAGCAAACCTTATAATCATGGGAGAATTAAACAATAACATAACAGTAACATAAAACTGTGCTTACTTTGGAACAGTTTGACCATTATTGCATTTTTCTAAGCTACTTTCCACTTCAGTGCATTTGTCATAGAACAAAAAGATTTCTCATGTGGTGAATCTCTATTCAAGGATAATTTGAATAATTATTATCAATCAGAGCTATTTATTTTTTAAATATATTTTATTAAATTACATAAATTGTACAAATATATTTTTAGGGGAAGTGGCAGGGTATTATTATCCTCTTTAACAATATTATATTAATGAGAATTAAAATCTAATCAGCACCTAATTTTTGTTTATAGGTTTTTTTTCAACCTTTGGGGCTATTTATTCTTGACAGAAGAGGAAAGCCAAATATTTGAAGCCTATCATCACTTCTTTGCAAATTATAGAGAGGACAAGGTTGTTTTGGTTTCACGTAAAAATTACACTTCCTTGCGAATTGGAAAAAAAAAATTAGTAAAGAAAAAACATCATTTATACATAACAAACGACAAATTTATACTCAAAATTTAATCGTATTAACAGAACTTAAATTCTGCAAATGTCAAAATGATAATCAGATAATCAATAATTTTTATAAATACATCTAAAAAAAATTACATGTTAGATCATAAATCATTTTCAAAAGAATATTTTGTGTTTAAAAAGATCAAGATATATTTACTTACACACAAGGCTTCCTTGGTAAAGAAAGACATCTATACATTTTTTTGTTTTTTAATGTACAGTGTTCTCTCAAATTATAACACTAATGTTAAATATTTTTAGGTAAAAGGTTTGTGTATTGGCATTGATTTTATATCTCAGCTAATACAATTATTTCCTTATGCATTATCACAGAGGAACATAAAGTCGGACCTGTGCCAAAGTCTCAGCATCGACCGTCTGAACAAATTGGTCAAATTGAAGTGGGCTCAGTGAATTTTTTAACTGCAAAAGCTTAACAAAAAAATAAATTAAACTTTGACTTCAATATATACAATATCTACCATACATACTTGTAATTGCAAATAATCAATCAAGCTTATTGTATGCACTAAGTCCCTCGAAACAACCAGTTTTTTCCGGTAACTATTTTCAGTCATAGTCTCAGAATTTTCCATCAATTCATAACTGGTTAATGTTGAGCTGAAAAAAAGTTTAAACAAGAACTTGAATTTAGGTTATAAAATTATGCATTATTTCATTATTATTTTCCTTCAATTTTTTGTGGATCATACATATAAGATAAAAACAATAATACAAATATCGTACTATTTTATATGTCAAGAAAATAAAAAGGCATTTAAATTTAAAAATTAACTTACTCAAATGGAATTGAATTGTCCTCAAATGTAACAATGTCATTAAGAACTTCCGATACAGCCAACAAAATACCACAGAATTTGTTATATATAAACCTAAAAATGTTCATTAGGCTTAAATAATCTACGCAAATGTTTTTAATAACATTTTTAATTAAACGATTCATTACGATGGATCTGTCGGGAGAAGGGATGCGAGTGCAAGCGCAAGGATTTTCTTCTGCCTGGGTTTTACAACGTAAGGCATGTCTTCAAGCCACGTATCAATGAATTTATTAAATATTTCATCTTTGCTATCTGGAGCAGAAGAACTCACCTCCTTTGCTGCCTAAAAAGAAACTTGAAATAAGCATTTTTTTTCCAAAGCTATCAAAATAGATTATTTATGGAGTTATGCAGTTTACCTCAATAAAAATTTCTTTTGATTCTAATAACACTCTTGATAAAATTGACAAATAAACTGAAAACACTTGTGGACTCAGTGTTTCATAACAAATGCTTCTGAAATAACAAAAAAAGAATTATTAAAAAATGTGCACATTTAATATTATACTAGAGTTATAAAAATATGTATGTTAAATTGGCATTAGGTTACTTATTGAGTCTCATCACGGACTGTTTACTGAAGATGGTGCAAAGCGGAAAAGAGTTTGAAAAAAACAGTGCCCTTTAGCGTATATTCACCAACACACAGACCAACATCCACCATCAATATAAAAAGTTATAGATTATTTGGAGGTTGTCTGGTAGGTTTAGAAAAACATTTTCTTTATCGTGCCAACGTTTCGATCTTTATTGAGATCATCTTCAGGGCCTGGGATTTATAAACATTGTTTAAATGTTACAAATACATGTAGGATGTGAAAAAAATAATGCTAGAGAATTTATACAATGCTAGAAAATTTTAGATTAAAAAAATAAATAAATTCAATTTTATCTCTTTTTTTATATCTTTTTTATCTCAACTAAAAACCTTAATTAATCCAATCCGATTACACAACATTTGAAAAATGGCAAATAGGAGGAAAAATTCAAAAGGTGTGATTGAAATGGGAAGTTGGTGTCCGAGTGGATCGAGGTCACGATAGCTCAAGTGGTAGAGCAGTGGCGTATCAAGCCGAAGATCGTGGGTTCAAATCCCACTCGTGCCATTCACTTTTTTATCTCAAATAAAAAACCTTAATTAATTATAATATATTAATTGGTCGAGCAGACCACGAAATTAGTGAATTTAAATCTAAAATTTTCTAGCATTGTATAAATTCATTTTTTTCACATCCTACATGTATTTGTAAAATTTAAATAATATTTATAATTCCCAAGCCCTGAAGATGATCTCAATAAAGATCGAAATGTTGGCACGATAAAGAAAATGTTTTTTTAAAACCTACGTCACACCAGATCGCATCTCACGATCTCCAAATAATCAATGGCTAACCGTCACTAAACACCACACATAAAAAGTTATTGTAACTGGACTGGTTCCATCTATGCTCACAGGTTTCATTGTCACTCAAATGCTTTTCAGTTTAGCGCCATCTTAAAAGAACAATTCCTCACTGAAGAAAAGCCAAAATCCATTTGAATAACATTGAAACTCACAAGTGTAGTAACCCCGGTAAATGACCCAGTGCCGGTTCAACATGTGCTCACCTGCTTGTAGACCATTATCCACCATCAAATATAAAAATATTATTTTAAAAATTATCCATAATTATGGACATTACATAAATATATATAAATATGGCATTTAAGAACATATAAATTTATTGATTCTTTGAGGTAAGCATCTAATCATTATAAATATTCTAACTCAATAAAGCTGAAAACAGATTTCTGAACGAATCTAGACTAGTCGGAATACTAACAAATAAAATAAAAAATAGCCAAACAATGCTCCAGGTTGTGTACACCACCAGATAATAATGGGAACAATGTGGCCACCCAATTTTCTTACAAGTCACATTGCAATTTTGGGTGTAATTTCTGAAGAATACCCTTGAATTATTTTATTTTATTATTTCCTTTTTTTATATAATTTGTGTATAATTTGAGAAAGTATCTATTAATAATAAAGTAAACGTATAAAATCCAAAATCTTTTTCTCAATAATTAAGTCATAAAATAAAATTAATGATGAAAACATACACATGGATTTTTTCATACCCAAGTTATTAATATTGAAAACTTACTCAAATAGTTTTGGTAACAAAGGTTTAACCAAGACACAAGATAAAGATGGGTTGGCTCTAAGGAATAACTCTACAAGCTTTCCAACGACCACCAAACCTTCAGGTCTCATGTCTATCATTATATCTTTTAGAGCCTGGACCACACGCTCCCCATAAACCTGCAAAAAGAGTAGAAAGATGATACAAAAAAATACAAATTGTTAACGTACTATATATTATCGTGCAAAACGTTTGTCTGCCAGGTTTGTTTTTACATTGAACTTACATAAACTTATATTTATATAATAGGAAAAAAGCCTGTTTTTACTTTATTATTTATATCAATCTTGAATATACACATTTACAGCTTTGTATAAAGGGAACAAGTTCTTTTTTTACATGACTGTTAAACAATGAATTTTGCCATTCAACTTTTTTACCTGGAGAATAATTTAATTTTAACATATGACCCTGAGCATTGAATATGATAAACTCACATTTTTATTTGATAAGTAAGATAACATCACAATAATAATAATTATTATTATTATTATGATACTGAAAAACTTTTTTTTTCTCCCATAATAATTTCAACTACGAGGTTGTATATCCCTCTGGGTATCAGTGTTTTCCAAAAATGTATGTCAGCTTCATGCTGGATTTGAACTCGGGACCTTTATCCTTCAGTGATGAATCACCATGTCAGTGCCTTAACCGATCAACCACCGACACCCCCCAAAAACAGGTTTTGTAGACCTTTCTACCATTTTATATTCCAAGCTGTTATCAATAAGTCAAAACTGTCTACTGACTCAATTCTACCTGTACTTACCTATACTTACAATTATATTTAATACACATTTGCTGTAAATTTTAGAACCCAAAATAATAATATTTATAAATTTCATTTATTAATATCAGATATAATTAATGATGAACCTTCAATATTATATTAAAAAACAATAAAAAAATCCAATTATTCTCATCCTTGATCGTATTTTTATGCAAAATTTTCTGCTTGGTTCTAGCTACTTGTCTATATAATTAAAATTTAGTTTTAAAGTAGTGAAGTACAGTTTTCTACCTGTCTTTAAATAAACAATAATTTGAAGTTGAATGGCAAACATTTCTTCATAAAAATGAGTTTGTTGTAGTTGGAATTTCTCAATACAGATAACAAGGGTTAGAGAAATTAGGAGTTTCGACATCTGACTCGTCACATTAGCAGTTCTGTGTTCAAATTCCAGCTCCTCAACCGCAACACCCAATAGCTAAGCCCTCTATGACAAGCATTTCAGCTGCTTAAATCATACAAACAACTGACACACAAACAAGGACTTATTATTTGGCTGACAATTATATATCTGGTTTAATTCTGTTTCACAGATGTGAATCCTGAATTTAGCTTTAATTTTGAACTTAAGTAGCTAGATACTACTTACCTGAAGAAATTCATTTGGTGCCAGTAGAACATAAGCAGATGTAATAGAAATACAGATCCGCAATGTATCTGAACTGTTTTCTTAAAATAATAATAATAATAATGTTATTTATAAAATAATATTTTTAAGCTTCACCAACAATAATTACCTAAAAGGGCAGGCATATTCTTATACAATTGTAGTATGGCATTTGATGGACCAGGTATGTTTTCAATCACAGCTTGCCAAAGTTCTAAACCATCTTCCAAAAGGTAAACATTGCATTTTTCATTAACGTCAGTACTTAATGAAATAATTGATAAAATAAAATTATAAACTTCAACCGAATGATTTAATTTTCCCAATGCCTAGAAAAAAAACAAATTGTCGATTAAGTCAGCAAAAAGTTATTTTTAATTTCATGTAAATAAACTTACTTTGACTAGATTTACAAGGGTAGTAACAACGGCACATCTTAGCATGTTGTGGGGCTCAGATTCCTCCCATAACACAGGAAGGTATTGAACAAGATTATTGTAATATGGTTCAATACAATGATCAACACGTTCGATTATAAAATATAAAACATGTAAAATTCTCATCTGTAAAAATATATCGGAAATATGTTGAAATTTGAATTAAAAACATCGTAAAATTATACTAATTTGTACATACTTTAGTATCACATTCCTTTGCTTCTTTTAAAAGATTAAAAAGAGAATAAAACGTCGGTTCCAAGTATTCCAAGAATTTATCTATATTAAATTCAAAAATATCAATGACGCTCTTTATCGTATTAGCGGAAGTCAAACGGATCACCATGTCCTCTTCGGGTTTGAGGAAGTTTATCAAAGTCGAATATACTAGCGGAAATAAATCCGGTGAAATCTTAATTCCAGTCCAGCAACCAATAAGCCAAATAATTCTCTTCCTCAGAACCTTGTAATTTTCATGTTGAATCGACAATTCTTTAACAAGCGTCGTAGTCAGCCAATTGTCAAAATCAACCTTTAAAAAACATTCATCAGGTTCAACAAAACCCTAACTATTTAATTTATTTTTCCCTAACCTCATCATAAAGTTCTGGTGCAGTCATTCCAACAACATTGTAAATGGCATCTTTGATCAAAATCGCTTGGACATCCTCAGGTGGCACTATGGCTTCATTTTGTCTTAATAAATCTAACACAATAGGTACAAATGTTGTTCTAAACTCATTGAAAAATTCATTAAACAAATACTCAACGCTGAGCTGGAAATATAACAATAATAATTTTAAAACTGATTACACAACATCTTTAAAATGCTTTCCTATAAAAATAAAAAATAATTACCCTCCAATTGAATTTCCAAGCATCTCCACTTTCAACGACAGCTAAAAATTATAAAGAACATGTACAACATAGAAAAACATACATTATTTACTCTCTTTACATTAATTTCTTTAGATAACTGACTGTATCAAAAAATGTTACAAAATAAATGCTGTACCAAAAGACTCAGGATCCTCTTCCCACATTTTAATTTCATTTGGTGTAATAAGAAAGTAATGTGTTATTAACTTTCTGCATATCGCACTTAGCACATCTGGCGAAAAAAACGATTCCTTTATTTGTCGTTCCCTAGAATTTTGTTCCTTATTGGCTGTAAGTAAAATTATTAATTGTTTTTATTCTTTAACACATACAATTTTAAAGTAACAATGTAAGTACTACCTAAATTGTACGTAAAAATACTCCTTATTAACGTAAAACACTGGATTATAAACTGCTCGTATATGTATTGTTCTCCAGCAGGTGTAAAAGTAAATACGATGGTAAATTCCAACACAGGTAAAATATAATTGATAAACGACTCTTGGTGCGCTTCTAAAAAACGTTGCAAGATGTTGATAGAATTACTAATGTATTTAGTTGCCAGCTCGTCAAGTGCTTTGTCATTAAGGTCTTTTTCTAAAAAAAATAAATAAAAAATAAAGCTAATTGAAGAATTTTTTTAATTTAAAATATTATAATTACTCATTTGCAACATTATTTTTGTCCTTTCTATCACCAACTTCATAAATTTATCGACCAGTTCACTTTCAGATGGATTTCTGAAACCTCGAACTGTCAATTTTTCTAAAATTTTCAAACACAACAACGTTTTAGATAGGATCAACCAAGAATTGCTGTCCAATTTATTTTGCTGGTACTGAAATCGAGAGGAAATTTTATATTATAAAGAGAACAACGCTGATAATAAGTCTGACAGTATCAATTAAAACATACGGAAAAGAAAACTTCGCTGACGCTAGTATTCCAAAGGTTGAATATATCCGAATAAAGGAACGCTGTCAGATCTTGAAACATTTTTCTATCGGCAGAAAGTCTTTTGGACGAGAGGGTCTTAATTATCTCATGCAGGACCTTCAAAGCTCTTATCTGAGCCAGGAAATCATTACTTTGTATGCTTTTCAAAAGATCCGGTATCAGTTCTGGCCAATACTTGGGGCAGTCAAACCTATGAATGTAAACTTTAATTAATGAATTATTTCATTTATTAATCAACACTTGTTTAATTAAAAATCTCACCTTGCAATTTTAGCAATGAGCACAGATAAATGAACTGCTATCATTTTAGACGGCTCTTTAAGAACAAAGGGTAGTGACTGCCGAAAAGACTTCTTTTCATCTTCAGAAATTGCACTTAGAAAAAAAGAGATTAATATATTTTGTTTAATGAAAAAGAAAAGTTATCACTTTAGCAGGGAAAACATACTTTGATGCATTCGGTCTCCAATATTTGTCAACTCCATTTTTAAAATATAAAACAGCAATCAGTCTCACGTTCTCTTCAATTGAATGGTCACAGAAAACATCCTTTCAAAAAAATAGAGAGATTGTTAAAATAAAATAAAAAAAATGTCATCATACAATTAAAGGCTAAATTCCATAAATCAGGGCTTCCCAAATTGTGGTTCGCAGAACCCTTGGGGGTCTGCCGACCAACTATAGGGTCCGTGGCAAACTCCAAGAAAAATTAATAATTACAAAAATAAACATAGAATAAATAAATAAAATTAGAAAACTAACAGTTAGTACAGAAAGCAAAAGTTTTTTATATAGCAGCAGCAGTCATTGTGTTCTCCACAGACATGCTTTAGCTATGAAACAAATCCTGCCTTTTTTAAGAAAGTTTTGGATGAATCTGTTCAAATTATTAATTATATCAACTCGCAGCCAATGAAGTCAAGACTTTTCAAAATACTACTGGAAGCCTTCATCATTCCCTGCTTCTCCAGAGTTAGGTGCATGTCTCATGTAAAAATACTTTCAAATTACAGGGATTATGTTCTGAAGTCTTATCTCTGTTTATGGACCACAATGTCAAATTGGCCACAGTTATCAATGATGAGAAATGGCAATGTCTATTGTCGTACTTATCAGATATTTTTATTAAAATGATCGAGTCTTTCATTGCAGGGGAAAAGTATCACAACTTTTGATACTAATGACAAAGTTCTCGCCTTCAAAAGAAAAGTCCAGTTTAGGGTTGAATCTGATGGGAAGGAAGAGGTGTTTTCCAGTGTTAAATGATTTTTTAAAAGAAAACAAACTGGAGTTTGAGAATACCACATTAATTGATGAAATATGTGAACACCTTTGAAGTTGGGAGATGCCCTTTGAGCACTACTTCCCAACAGCCCGAGATACAATGCTCAAAAACCATAATTGGGTGGTCAAACCGTTTTCAGTTTTGATAAAGTCAACATACTATCTAAAAGTGAATACAATGTTTGATAAACATTACTTCAGACTCTATCTGAAATCTACTTTACTTAACTTGTGTCTGAAGATCATGGGTTCAAATCCCACCTGTGATATAAATTTTTTATTTAAAAAAATCACACTCCACCACTTGAGCTCTACTTGGGTGATCAAAGTCACGGTAGCTCAAATGGTACAGCATCAGTGTATTTTATGCTAAGATCATTAGTTCAAATCCCACCTGTGACATAAATTTTTTATTTAAAAAAATCACGCTCCACCTCTTGAGCTCTACTTGGGTGATCAAAGTCACGGTAGCTCAAGTGGTGGAGCTTCGGTGTATTTATCCTAAAATCATGAGTTCAAATCCCACCTGTGACATAAATTTTTTATTTAAAAAAATCATGCTCTACCAATTGACATAAATTTTTTATTTAAAAAAATCATGCTCCACCACTTGAGCTCTACTTGGGTGATCAAAGTCATGGTAGCACAAATGGTGCAGCATCAGTGTATTTGATGCTAAGATCATTAGTTCAAATCCCACCTGTGACATAAATTTTTTATTTAAAAAAATCACGCTTCACCACTTGAGTTCTACTTGGATGATCAAAGTCACGGTAGCTCAAGTGGTGGAACATCGGAGATTTTATTCTAAGATCTTGAGTTCAAATCCCACCTGTGACATAATTTTTTTATTTAAAAAATCACACTCCACCACTTGAGCTCTACTTGGGTGATCAAAGTCACGGTAGCTCAAGTGGTGGAACATCGGTGTATTTATTCTAAGATCATGGGTTCAATTTCAACCTGTGACATAATTTTTTTTTTAATCATGCTCCACCACTTGAGTTCTACTTGGGTGATCAAAGTCAAGGTAGCGCAAATGGTACAGCATCAGTGTATTTTGGTTCAAATCACACCTGTGACATAAATTTTTTATTTCAAAAAATTGAGTGTAATTGATTACAACATTGCCAAAAAAGATAGTAATAATATTCATGCATTATTTTTAAAAATAATAATAAATATATGTTGCTTTTAAAATATAAAGCTGTCGAATGATTTGCGTCGATAAAACATTAATTTGTAATGTCTCATCCTTTATAAGAGCTGCCAAAGGGACGTGCATAAAACGTCAAAACTTTGCCATGGGTTACACACAGACTCAAGTGTTCCAATCTTATAAATATAGAAAGAAACATTTAAATTAACAATGTTCAGGATATTTCTGTACTTGTGTCATGCTATGAAAAAAATAATCAAAATTGTTACCTTAAGGATGACATAAAAGCCAGGGACTGTCTCCCAGGCTTCGAGTTTCTGTTGGGCAGGCTTCAGCACGTTGACGTCCTGGCTGACCGCCTGGCGGAGTATCTCTAGGACGACAGCGTGGCCACTCATTCCGTAGTTCGTCGGGTTTCAATTCGAATCGGAAGTGAATGTCGCAGGCGGCGAGCTTTGCATCACTTTAGGGCCGGAAAGGCGATCCTCGTACTTTACACGGTTCCGCCTTCAGGGAAGCTCTTCACCCAGAGACGATCATAACCGGCGGCCCGTTTAAACAAAAGGGATTAAAATCGACAATGGCAAACGACAAATACTCAGGTTACGGTGAAGCCGTAGTCGAAGTAACCTCACGGTTTCGAACGACAACATTGCCCTAAAGATTAGAGATACGTCAAGTGATCGGACGTTTCTCTCAATGACGCAATCATCACATCATTCAAAAGCTCTAACGAAAACAAAAAGATATTTATCGATATTTACATTCTCTGTAAAGAATTATCACTAAAAATTTATTAATAAAAATAATTGTTTTATTTGCATTAATTCAAATATTGTACGAGTCAACAACAACCAAAACTGATTTTATTGATGCGATTGATATCAACATTAATATTATACACCGCATCTCACGATCTCTAAATGATCATTAAATAAAGGACACTAAATACCACAAATTAATAATATAATTTTTTTCTGACCTAGTGTATATTATAATTGTTCAAGCTTTTAAGGAATTTATCCTATTCAATTATTATATTTTTTCATTATTATATTTATACCACACAAAAAATACTAGAAAAAACAAAACAGCAGAAAAATAAAACAAAACAGAGAATAAACGATATAAACTTATATTAACAAAGACAAATTATACCATTTAATTTTTCTTATTTCTAATTAACCTATTCTAATTAATTAATTGAAAATTAGCTCATGTTAATTTCAAATTAACTCTTATTAACTTTGTTATTTATAAATAACCCCCTCTTAACTTTTTTATTTTGACTTTTGTCTTTGGAAATCTATATTTGGAAATGATACCTTTTTATTTTCAAATTAAAACTTTCTAACTTTAAATTAACCATTTTTAATTTCAAATTAAGACTTTTTCAATTTAAATTAACCATTTTTAACTTCAAATTAACACTTTTTCAATTTAAATTAACCATTTGTAACTTTACCTTCTTAACTTTAAATTAACCATGTCTAATTTCAAGTTAACTCTTTTTAAATTTTTTAATTTCAAAATAACCGTTTTTAACTTCATAACAATCTTTTCTCACTTCAAATTAATCCCATTTTATCTTCAAAATTGACCTTTTTATTTCAAATAAACCCTTTTGCAAATTAATTTAGCAGGTTTTTTTATTTCAAATTTCTCTTTTTAACTTCAAATTAACTTTTTTTAAACTTTTAATTAACTATTTATAACTTCAAATTAGTCATTTTTAATTTCAAATTAACGCTTTAAAACTTCAAATTACCTATTTATATTTAATTTAAAAATTATCACTTTTAAATTATAATTAACACTTTTCAATATCAAATTTGCTTTTTTGAATTTAAAAGTAACCTCCTTTTAATTAAAAATTAACCTTTTGTAAATTCAAAATATATTTTTTTGAAGTAATAACACTTTTGAATTTCAAATTAACGATTTTTAATTTCAAATTAAGCTTTTTTTAAATTCATAAATAATCATTTTTAATGTAAAATTAACCCTTTTCAACTTTAAATTAGCCATTTTTTATTTCATCTTTATATATTTATTAGATATATTTAGATATACTTTATTACAAAACGTTGTTTTTATGTGTACTGTTATATATCATATTAATACACATTGGTTTAACGCTACAATTGAAACAAGTATTTATATGAAAAAGTGAAAACTATGATTTAACATATATTTATTAGATATATACTTTATTACAAAATGTAGTTATGATGTATACTATTATAGATTATGTACTATTATATGTTATATACTATACCTATATACATTTATTAATATACATTGTTTTTTTGCTAAAAATAAAACAAGTATTTATATTTTTTTTTTAAAGTGAAAACTATGTTCTAACAAAAGTTTGCAAACTGATGTGCACTTGGTCACTTTACTGGGTCTGTCTACTCTTGCAGATTTAGATACTCTAAACGCGTTTCTTCCGCATGCCATCATCAGAGCGGACTAAAAACAGTACTCTTTTTAATATAATTTCTTCAAAACTTTTGTCTGAAATATGTATCATTGGTATGAGCAATATTATTTCAACAGAACTGATTCAGTAGTTTTAACGAGCTCCAGTAAGCGCGCTCTAGAGAGTCTACACTCTAGAGGTTTTGGTCTTTTACTTTAATTTTTGGTTCGTCAGAGCAACCTACCCGAAGTGCGTTCCTTTCGCCTGGAGCACGTGATGATTAATATTGACATTTCACCAATTGGGAAACAAATTGTCTAGTTATTTGCAGCATTAAGTTTTTCAGTACTAAAATAAAATGCGTATCGAGACGTGTTATTTTTGCTCTTCCAGGATTTATCCAGGGCATGGGATACAGTTTGTAAGAAATGACTGTAAAGTGAGTATGTTTCTAAGGCATTTACACATAAATGTACCGTTTCAGATGTAATTATATTATATTTTTGCCTAAATTAATTAAATTAGTTAAGCATTTAAGTGTTTAAATTAAATAATTCACTTATTGTTTAGTATACGATGACTTTTTAATTGACATTTGTTATATGTATAATCAGGTCATATACTTAATTAACTCTGTTCGATGAAGTACTAGATTAATTATTTAGGCAATAAATTATGTGCGTGCTTTAGGTGTCTCACTGATATGAACATTGTGTCATTCGTGTGGTGTTTAGTGACCGTTAGTTAATGATTATTTGGATATCGTGAAGTGCGTTCTGGTGTGACGTAGGTTTTAGAAAAACATTTTCTTTATCGTGCCAACGTTTCGATCTTTATTGAGATCATCTTCAGGACTCAAAGTGTTTGTTTCCTGTGTAGTTGTGTTATGTGAGCACTCACAACACGACACCCAACAATGACACATCTACACTGAAAAAAAAAAAAAAAGCCCTGAAGATGATCTCAATAAAGATCGAAACATTTTATTAGGTTTTGTGGTCTGCTTGAACAAATAAGTTCTTTTCAATTAATTAAGGTTTTGGTTGAGATAAAAAAGGCAGAGTCAAAAGCGGGATTTGAACCCACGACCTTCGGCTAAATACACCGGTACTCTACCACATGAGCTATCGTGACTTCGATCCACTCGGACATTAACTTCCCATCTCAACCCCACCTTTGAATTTTCCCTCCTTTTTGTCATTTTTCAAATGTCGTGTAATCTATTTGATTCTCAGCGACAAATGAAATGGCCATGAAGAGCTTTAGTGAAGTATACTTCATTTTGCTTATTACATTTTATTAGGTTTCGTGGTCCGCTTGACCAAATAAGTTCTTTTCAATCAATTAAGGTTTTGGTTGAGATAAAAAAGTCAGGTCACAAGCGGGATTCGAATCCACGACCTTCGGCTAAATTGAAAAACAGCAAAAAGGAAGGAAAATTCAAAGGTGTGGTTGAGATGGGAAGTTAGTTTCCGAGTGGATCGAAGTCACGATAGCTCATGTGGTAGAGTACCGGTGTATTTAGCCGAAGGTCGTGGGTTCAAATCCCGCTTGTGACACTGACTCTTTTATCTACACCAAAACCTTAATTAATTAAAAAGATTGAAACGTTGGCTTGATAAAGAAAATGTTTTTCTAAAACCTACATCACACCAGACCGCATCTCACGATCTCCAAATAACCATTGTGACATTTTTCAAATAGTATTTTGGCGCAGGGAAGAAATTTTTATTATTGTAGAGCACATTTCTTTCTAATCTCTATATTTAGAACTGCATTAGGTATTTTTGTAACTTATTTTGTTGTTTAAGTTCTTTTTTTAAGAATTTTTTTGAAACAACTGGGCCAGTTACGAACAAATATACGATTTAGGTTGCTAAAAATTCATACTCCTGTTATTATCAAGATTGATACTACATACATGACTAAATTATATAAGTTTTTTCATAAATAAAGATTAATTTACACAGGCAAAATTACTAAGAGGCAAAAAATTCTGCCCACTTATAATATAACTTGATTAGTTTATATTTTTATATGTTAATCAAAGGTTTACATTTTTTAACGTTTAATAATTGAGTCTTTGTCTAAAAAAGTAAAAAAAGAAAAAAAGAAAAGTAAATTGCTAAGGAAAACGAAAAATAAAAAAAATTTTAAAAAAGACGGACAGTTAAAATTTGTTTTAATTTTGGTTTAGATTTTTAATTAACAATTAAATATCGCGTATTTCTTCCTCTTGCCCTAATTACATCTCTAAGAAGCCTCGGCATACTTTCTTCAGTCTGGAAATGTCTCTTTGCTGGAGGTTAGCCCATTCTTCCTGAAGAGTCCTTTCAAGATCGTGGAGTGTATTAGGAAGTGATGGACGTGATATTATGCGTTTTTTGAGGTTATCCCATAAATGTTGGATGGGGTTCAAGTCTGGAGAACGGGCTGGCCAAGCTAAGAACCTAATATAGTACCTAATAGTACGTTTGTACTATGTGAGCGACATGTGGACGGGCATTATCGTGCATTTGAATAGGATTGTCGCTGATTTCACTGATGATAGACAACACGTGATGTTCCAAAATTTCATCCACATAGCGAGTGGCCGTCAAAGATCTCCACGAACAACAATCAACTCTGTTCGACTCTCCATTGAAATTCCCACCCACACCATCACTGAGCTACGATGAAAAGGTTGGAAAAATTATAGGCTTCGTATCTTTCATTTCGCCTTCTCCACACTCTTTCACACCCATCTGGAGAAGGTAGAACAAATGTACACTCATCTATAAAAAGTGCAGCAAAACCAATCATCCAAAGATCAATGGCTTAGTTTTCGAGCAAATGTGAGCCATGCATTCTGTATGTTCTGTTCAATTCTGGTCCTCTTACGCTGCAAAACCCATCGCAGTCCATACTGATTTAATCAGCTTCAAGCAGTGCGTTCAGAAATTAGACACCTTGAACTTCCTGGAGCTGGTGAATTGCTTGAACAACAGTAAGGTGCCAGTTTCTCAAAATTCTCAAAGTCAAAAAATTATCATCCTCTGGTGCTAGGGCATCCAGAACCGGGCATTCTATGTTAAGACCCAGTTGCTAGAAAACGTCTAACGGCGTCTCTCAGTGTTTCGTAGGGAACTCTGATAGCAATAGCTGCATACCTGATGAAACATCCATTATCAGTAAGAGTCGCAACATCCTCAGTACTAAGTGGCATTTTTAAGTTTAAAATTGAAATTAAGAAAACAAAGATGAAAACTAAACAGTTTATTGCTTTAGAACTCAATGAGACTGAATAAACATTTTAAATTCCGTAAACATTAAACATTGAAAAATCCTTTATCCTTGCTTAGGATTAAGGATTAAGTCTATTTACATCTAATTGATATTCCCAATTTAAAACATAAACAAATATTTATGTATAAAATCACTGAGAAAATTAAGGGCAGGATTTTCTTTTATCGAGAAAATAAAAATAATCAGTTGGGTGGAATTTTTTTCCTGTCAGTGTAATTTTAGTGCCTCCTTTTGTTTATTTTTTAATGATAATTAATGGATTTTCTTTAATTTGCATTTTTAGATATTTAAATTCTGTCGGTCTAAATGCCACGCAGCCTTCAAAAGGAAGAAGAACCCAAGGAAAGTCAAATGGACCAAAGCGTACAGGAAGACGGCTGGCAAAGAGCTGGCAATCGACCCTTCATTTGAAATGGAGAGAAAAAGAAATATACCTATGAAGTACGACAGAGAATTTTGGCAAAAAACGGGTAAATATGACACGGTAGTTGAGAAAAATAAGAAATTAATTATACGATAATTTTCTGGGTTTTTTGTTGTTGTTTGTAGTCGAGGCAATTAAAAAAATAGAAGAGATTAAGACAAAACGACAGAACACATATATTATGCAAAGGTTAAGGAAAGGAAGAGAACTAGAAAATCAAAGAGACATAAGGGAAGTACAAAGAGATTTGTCTTTGATCCGCTCACCAGCAGCAGGTAATTTCTTTTATTTGATTAATTTTTATACTCTTTAAAACTTAATTTTCCACATAATTCTGTTACAGGCCTAAAAGAAAGAGAAAAAGAAGCCCTAATTGAAGAAATTCATGATTCAGATGTGGAAATGGATGACAATCAGAAAATGATGGAAGTTGTACAGTAAATTGTTAAATTTACAACTAATCATTATTGTCCGTGTCTATCCCTGTAAATAAAACTTTTTTTTTTTTTCAAATATATTTTACTTTTTCTAAATGCCAATTTGGTTCTGTATGTTCCCTTCATCATTCATTACGGCATCGGATAATTTATTTAAATTCCCTCCCTAGTGAGAGCTTTAACTTTTTCTTCGATGTCATTCAGTATTTTTATATAATAAAAAAATATAATGAGAATGTTGTTTATTAAATGACATCATTCGGGTAACAATCTTGCTGCCAGGGCAGCCTAATTAGTCTTCATGGAAGGGATTCATATTGGCCGCAGAGAAAGACTTCCTCGCATGTTAGAAATAAGATCTGGAAAACTGCCTCAATGAGAGGCAGACCACTATAAACAGAGAAATTAAGAGAGGTATGAGTTTAGTTTCTGAGTGGTCAGCATATCAGCCTCGACTTGTAGACCTGGTTGTGGGTTCGATTACCACCACCATTTTTTCTTTTTTTCAAACTCATCTTCTCCCCAAAAAACTGCATCAAATAATAAACATACATCGCATACATGTTGAGAAAATAAGGGCATTAAAAAATAATTAAAATTTATAAAAGAAAGTGAGAGAGGTTCAAACTTCTGTAAATAGGAAATGGTCTTGGCACTAAGAATAGTTCACTGGACTCTGGAGACATCCATGTATTTCCTCATGGCAAGAAACTGCAAATTGCCAAGCACATCCTAATTGAATATGTTCAATTTGAGCTGGTAGAGGAGTACCTGTGATATATCTTGTAGTTTGGGTCTACTTATTAATTAGGTAATAGTTGAGTAAACAGTTATTTTCTGATGATGAGCTTCAACAATTCTTCAATTTCTTAAGGCTGACTGATCTATTATCTGAAACTTAGAAGACTAACACTCAAATGTGTGTTGAAGCTGGTGACCGATGCAGTGGACCTGATATGGCTGGCGGAGGTTCCTTAGGGTGTGGATGGTGGTACGAACATGCACTGTCTGCCACCCGAATTTTTTTTATGTCAGTTGCTTAAGCAAATCCAGGAATACCTGACCATGTTCCCTGCTTAGACTGGCTTACTGGCTGTTGGCTTTTGTTTTTCTATATTAACCCATTATGATTATTTTCAGTACAGATTATGACCCATATTAGATGCCTTAATAAATTTATTTTTAAAAATGACAGCGTATTGACTTGGACGTATGACATGGGCCCACTTAAGATTCATTTAGGTGTTATCTAATGGTGAATAACTATTCATGAATGATTTGATTTGATTGCTAAATTATATTGGTTTTAATTTGATTTGTCGCCACAGTGGTTTAGGTGATATCATGGGTCTCATCACTATACGGTAAAGTCCTGGGTTCGCATCCAGCAGCTCTGCATTTGAACCAGGCTTACTATAAATGGGCTTCTTTTTTTCTCCCAAGAAATCTAGGGTTATTAAATGAACTAACTGCTGAACACACGTTTAAATTCCAGATTATTTTAAAATATATTTTATACTTCAATATGTTAACGTAATAACAAAAAGTATTGTCTTGTATTTAATTAATCTATATTTGATTAGTGGACATTATTGACCATATTAATTATTCAAATTATCCTTTTTATCTAGGGTTTTTGGTTGAGATGAAAATTTAGTTTGTGAAAATATGGTAAAAAGAGGGAAAATTCAAAAGGTTGTCGATTGAGATAGGAAGTTGTGTCTATGGGGATCAAAGGCACAAAAGTTCAAGTGGTTAGCAGCGTATTGAGACGAAGGTCGTATCCCGCAAGTGACACTAATTTTTCATCTCAATTAAAAACGGCGGATAAAAATTAATTGGGATTGTCATTTAATTTGTAGCAGTTCTATGTAGATGTTACATAGGACAAACATGAAATTAAGTGATGCAGTCAATAATTAAAATTCAAAAACTGCTTGTATGAAATTTGAATCTATTAAGTGCTTCAAACAAAAACAAAAAAAAAGAAATAAAGCATTCATTTTATTTCGTTTTTTGGTCTAAATGCCTTTTGTGACATTTGTCTACTGGAGTATATTTTTAATTTTAAAACTACAAATTTTCTTACCTTTGGTTTACCAGATTATGTCAACAAGTTTTACCCATGTTTGAAGTGTAGTAAAACAGGGATGTGATATTGTAAGAGTTTAAAATTTAATTATTTTATTCTGACATGTTTCGATACTTTGTATTTACAGATTTATATTTATCAAACAGACCAATTCAGCCATATTTATATAATATAAAATATGTCTTTTGTACTTTCGTTACATAGGTTTTAGACCATCAAACAAATTGAAACAACCAGAAACTCTTGCCTCAATCATGCTGATTTTTTTTTTTTAAACATCGGGCAAATTCATCAATAATTTTCCTAATGTGAAGTATAAAAATTATAAGGAAATATATAGCATTGTAAGGCACATCTTATTTATATAATTTACATACAAATTGTTTTATTTACATATTAACTACAAATATATATCTTATAAATATATACAAAACTCACTAATATATAACAGTTGTTTACAATACTGTACAACTATTTAAAAACGTAAAAACACAAATATTACTGTTTTTCTTCCGATCTCACAAGTCCTTTTAAAGTTACCCCAATATGGGAAACGACGATCAATACAAATCACAGTAATATACAAAATATACACTTTTTATAACAAAACGTTTTTCCTTAATAATTAATCACTATCGGAGCCAACAGGATTTTTTTTTCTTTTCTTCGCCTGCCTCGGCTTGATAATTTCTTCATCCTGAAATGATAGTAATTTTGTATATAATAAAATAAACTTACTTTTTAAATTTAATTGTTTTACCTCACTGCTTTCATCTGTTGAATCAGAGGTGATATCTTTAGCGATTTTCTTTTTGGCCATACTGTTCGCCGGTCTTCTACCACGGCCTCCGCCTTTTCCCCTTCCGGTTTCTTCAACTTCAACAAGGGCGAAAAGATTGCTGAACTGGCTTTTCTGAGTATCTGTGCATGCTGACTGGGCCTGTTGCAAAGCCTTTTGCATTGCGTCAAACTTGTAGAGCTGTTTTGTTCCCGTTCGAAGTCTATCTAGGTGGCCCAATATCCTCTCGGCAGAAGGTGCGGCACTCGCCCTCGTTCCAGCTCTTTTCCTCTTGTTTGGTGATGCGACAGCAGGACACCGACTTGAGAGCAACGAGGCGATCAGTTCTGACAGTACACCCTCATGCTCTCGACACCACGAAAGTAAAACGGAAACAACAAATAAGTCACAATGTGGACCAACATCTCTACTTAACACTTGTTTAACTAGTTCTGCAGTAGGCCTAAAAATGAAACAATAAAATTTAAAATTATATAAATATCTAATCTTTAATAAAATATTTAAAAAAATATAAATTAACAACTTACTTTTCTTGCTGCAACATAAGTAAAATTGCTGTCAAGGCCTCTGCATGGCTGGCAAAATCAAGTTTAGTCAAAACTGGAATAATACTTGAAATGGATATGCTGTGTGCTGATACAATCTGCCATAGACAGACTTGTTCAAACGTTTCCCACATCAACGAAGACGTCAAAATATGTTGTAGAATATCATCTTGTAGCATAACCAAGCTCCCTATTGAAGCATTTACTCTAATTACATTTTATTTATTTTAAAAAAATATATAAATTTAATGTAAAATAATTGTTACCTTGAACAATCCTACAGACCAACTCTTGCAGTTGCCTGGCATCAACACTGGACACGATAAGATGTAAAAGATTCGCGTGTCCAATTGCAATGTTTGGGAATTCGTTGTAAACAGAAGGTGCCAGCCAGCACAGTAACTGAACATCGTCCTCCTGGCACAACTGAAAGAAAAAAAAATTTAAATCTCTTATTTATTAAAATATTTATTGTACAAGTTAACAACAAATTGTTGGTGCAAAAATAATGCAGGTTTTGAAAAGGCAGTCAAAACTATTTTTAATTTTTATAAATTAAAGAAAATTTATTCGAAATATCTTCCGTCAAATACATCTTTGCCAATGTGCCAATAAGTGCTTTTATTCTGCTGATATAAAAATCTTTATTTTGATTCACAATGAAGTCTTGGAAAGCGTTTTCAGCTTCACTGCGATCTCTAAAAATTTTGCCCCTCAAGAATTGATGGAAATGCCTAAAAAAGTAAGTAGACCATAGGCGAGAGGTCAGGTAAATATGGGGAATGCAGTAAGGTTGCGTATCCTAAGTTCTTAAATTCCACAGGAATGGCATTGCGACATGTGACCTGGAGTTATCGCGAAGAAAAATCGGCCCCTTACGTTTATTTTGTTTAAAAGATAATAGAAAAAAGTATTTATTTATTTTTTATTTTAGTATAAATCCATAAATTATATTTGAGGATTTAGCTTTGTTAACGTGACAAGCACGCACGAAAATAAAACAAATTTTCAAAACCTGCTTTAATTTTGCACCAACAAAATATAATTGACATTTTAAAATGAAAGCTTCAAAATTAAAAACAGGTATAGAAAGACAAAAGCTATGTTCAAATATCTTCATCAATTCGAGAAAGTCTGACATGATGGACAATAATAAATTGGCGGAAGTGCTGCAGCATGGGACCATAAAACGGGGGAACACACTTCCTGATGCCGTGTCTCATTTTAATGAGGTGTGGACATCTGAAGAACATGCCACAGACAGTTACACAGCGTATATCACAAATCAGTAATTTTTTTCAAATCTAGTTTTAATACGTTATGAGCAAAGCCAGGTAATAATTTGTTAGTTCTATTACACTAAATGGTATCCCGGTGTTTTGATAAATTTTCTGTTAAACCATCATAAATAATTTTGATTAAAACTTATGAATTTTTGATCTCATTTAATTTTGTTTACAGACAAAAATATATAGTTTGAAATATACAATAAAAAAATGAGTGTCCGGTTGTTTTGTCCTTATCAGTATTCGACGCTATACAATGAAAATCTGGACAGTAGGGAACTTGGTTGCATCACGTAGGGTAGGGGAGCATTGCATTGCACCAGGCAGATGTGTATACAACCTTATGGAAAATTAAACATCGGATTGGTGTCGGGTCACATCGGGTGTGTTTCTCAAAAGGGGGAAAAAAGCCTCCTATGCACATCGTACAAATTATATAGGACTTTAAACTTAACTTGCCAAAGCCCCTTGGCTCCACATCAACTATCTTCCAAGCCAAACTGCTAGCCGTAGAATCATATGCACAACAACAAACAAACATCTGAAGGGTGCCAAAGTAATAATAGTACTATCAGATAATAGCTCTAAAGGCTCTTTAAGCCTATGCCGTCAACTTTAACTTGTCTGTAACTGCCTAAACCCTTTAAAAAACTGGGATGAAAAAGGTGGGTACCAGGTTATGAGGGGATTTCAGGCAACAATGCAGCAGACATACTGGCTAAAAAGGAAAACTCGGAACAACGCACAGGCCCCAATCCATCATGTGGCATAAACTATAGGCATGTTAAAAAATAAATACAATCTTGGCAAAAAGACCAAATGCAAAACAGCCAATGAGAAAAGAGGAAATCCTAGTCAACAGAAATGAATTAAAATCTCCCACAGGCATATTTACAGTAAAATAACGCTTGAAAAAATGGGACTATCAACCCTACAACTTTAAATGAGAAGAAAAGGAAAAAAAAAGCACAGAACAAATTTCTTACCTTATACATTATCGAAACATTATAAAAAATGAGAAAAATGTACAAACTACCTTCTTCTTCACAGATATATTATGTGAATAAAAAACAATGGTGAAATGCCACAAAACGAAGAACTAGACTGAATGAAAGAAATTCAGTACCTCCAGTATAGTACATTCCACTCCATACCAACCATTTTGAAATTCCATGCAAACAAGTAAAAAAATATAACTATAGTTTATGTGCCTAAAAGGCTTACTATCAAGCTGTAAAGCCAAATTATGATAGGGGTTGTTTATTGCAGTCAAAAGCTTCTTAAGGCCCAGCCAGACAGAAAGCGTCTGTCGCAGGTGAAAGCAAAGTTTGGTGATCTAGTTGTATTATGCAATTTGCATAATCCCTGTCAGAGATCTTTATTAAACATGTAAGTATATGTTATTATTGACGTTTTCATGCTTTTATTTCTTCAAATTAATTTATCAGAATGTATTACTTACAGTTAAATTATTAATTTCATGTTCATGTTATTCAATCAATTTTTTGATATTTATTTTGAATTATTATTATTTTATTATTATAATTACACCAGACCGCATCTCACGATTTCTGAATAATTATTATTATTATTTATTTTTCCCAGATCGAAGGTGTCCCGACGGACATGTAGCCACCACCTTGTGGTAAAAAATGCCAATAAGCCCTAAAAAAATTAAAAAGGAAATGCGGAGGCAGGACGTCGGATATGCAAAAAAAGGATCGAGCACATGTCGGATTGAGATATAGGAATAAGAGGAAAAGAACACCAAAAATAAAACAAATACAAGATAACTGAAACATTTAATCTTCAATGAACACTCGAAAAGGAAGCCACCAATCGAGCGTCGAAACTAGTAATATATTTTATAATTACAATTAATTAAGGTTTTTAGTTGAGATGAAAAAAAGCTAATGGCACGAGAGGGATTCGAACCCACGACCTTCGGCTAGATACGCCGCTGCTCTACCACCTGAGCTATCGTGACCTCGATCCGCTCGGACATCAACTCCCCATCTCAACCCCACCTTATGAGTTTTCCCTCCTTTTGCCATTTTTCAAATGTTGTGTAATCGGTTTGGATTCTCGACGACAATTGAAATGGCGACGGAGAGCTTTAGTGAAGTGTACTTCATTTTATTCATTAAATTCACTAATTTAATTGGTCAAGCGGACCACGAAATTAGTGAATTTAATATTCTATAATAAATAAGGCGCTAATAAACCATTATTCAAAATAAATATTTAATATAAACCTTAGCATAATTCAACGAAACGATTTATTAAATTTTTTGGGGATTTTAAAAGACTCCTAATTTTTCCCAGGTATGAAGAGTTTTTGGAGTCTTTATGAATGCAATTATTAGTAAAATAAAATAACGTAAGCAGAATGGGTTTGAACAATGAAATAGTGTTAACTAGCCAGGGGATGTTCCTGAGGTGTTCTATTTTTTCGAGCAAGTAGTATAAGTCTAGTCTCAGCTAGACAGGTTGTAAGGCGCTACCATACTGAATGTATGAGATGTAAAGTACAGCTCTAAACAGTTTATGAGGTTTGAAAGATTGATGTGAAGATGGAACACAGTGAATCATACAAACATAAACACGAAATATAAGAAAGAAATAACTTACCTTAAGATCGTCATAAATACAGTCTTCTAGTTTTTTATCAAGTTGTTCACAGAATTCCCTATAACCTTGCATTTTGTCATTCCGTGAATTTTCAGTCTCATCAGCGGCGGAACTGGCGTTAATATAATACATTAAGAGGTAACCGACTCGGGGTTGGAAAACATGAATTTCCACGAGGAGAGAACAGATCGGGTTTCTCCTGTGATCACATTCCGCCAGTTCTACAAGGTTCCTTAGTAAAACAAACAGCGGTTTTCCAATGCTGTCTTCTAAAGTCCTAAGGAGAGAGAAAAAAATTAAAACTCTTGCCAGTGTACAAAATATAATTTAAAAAATAAATAAAACTAACTCTGGAGACACTGTTTCAGGAAACACTTTCCCTTCCAACTGATTGTGAAGTATTTCACAAAGGCAGCTGGCTAATGCCACAAGTACGTCGTCTTCTATATCTTCATCCTGAATCACTAACTGAACCAGTTTTTCCATAATTTCACACCTAGGAAAAAAATTGTAATGTGATAATTTTTTCAGCAGTTTTAACACGTTCAATGCTGCTAAAATTATAATTTTCTCTCTCCTGAGCAGCGAATATATTATATTAATTTTGTTATTGAATTTATTGCCAGCTGTCTGGCTCGTTGAAAAACTTTGATCACCTATACGAAGGTCATTGAACATGTTAATGACAAAAATGACATAATGAAAGTTTAACACATTAAATGTTGATTCTCCCTCCAAAATTGGACTTGGTTATTAATTTATTAATCCATTCGTTGTGAGGTTTTCAATCGATTCAGTTTTTTTAGCGGTGTTTTAATGGTGAACGGGCTTGGCCCATCTTGTTTTTTATGGGACAAAAAATCCCCAGGGCAATGTTGCGAATCGAACCCCCAGCTGAGTTTCTGTGTAAAACAAAGTTGCTTTTTACTTTTATTAAACTGTGAAAGTTGAATGTAGAGAAAGAAAAGCTGAAATTTATGTAGAAATGCTCAATTTATTGTCTTTATCTTAAAAAGTGAGTACTCTACAGTTAATGTGTTTAAAATAATTTTTCAAAAGTTTTAATAATTTTAAAAATGACTCAAAGTTAAGTTTAAGCAATATTTAATCAAATTACCTGGCTTCATTGTCAGTTTCACAATTCAAATCAAGAACAGCTTTTTTCAAATCACCTTCCAGATTTTTATACATGTCTGCCTTTTCATCAGGGGGTTCAGGATTTTCCTCAACTTTGACTTTTGGTTCTTCGACGACCTCTTTCTTTTTTGATTTACCTATAATGTAATATTGTCAAATAGGAAATATCATTCAAGACATTCACACTCACTTTTCCCTTTTGTAGTAGACTCTTTTTCTTGTTTTACAGCAGATTCTTTTTCACCCTCTTCGTCGCTGAAAACAGCTTCTTGTTGATTGCCATTGTGATTTCCTATATCGGGAGGTCCACCACAATCCATTTCATCATCTCTGATTTCGTCTATTCTATTCCCTGAAATTTTGTGAATAATTTTAAAATTATAAGTTGGATTAGAAGGAAACTTTTCAAATTAGGCTCACCTTCGACAGGAGGCGGAAAACAGAATTCTGGGAAAGTGTCGTGAATCAACACTCGTAGCTCCCTGTCCAACTTTGGACTGTCAAATAGAGCATAAAGCCCCGAAAGAACCCGTTTTTCCAAAATTTGCCTTAAAGACGTATAAATGCCAGTTTTAACCTTGTCAGCCAATGCAGGATAAAAATTGGGGATTATCTAATTTAAAAAATAAATAAAGCTATTAAACAATACATTAAGTAAAAACTTAATTGTATATAGAAAAATAAATATATAATAAGAATAGCACAAACTTACTCGGCATAAAAAATCCAAAAGTGTGGCAGTGACTGCTGGATGAGATCTCATAGAATGATGCATTACTAAAATGGCTGGTTCTGAAATTATTTGAAAACAAATTGTGCTTATTTTGTATAGTATAATTTAAATCAAATAACCACCTACCTATATTCATAATATTGTCTTTTTCTGGATCATAAAATAGCCAATCGTAAAAAAGTGCTAGTTTGGCATTTGTTGCTGCAATAGTTGATGTGCATGTGGTAAGAAGCCACCCTATAACTGCCCAACGGGGTATAATATCGGAACAGAGCAATTCATTCGTCGGATGAATTACGCCAACTATAAATCGTATTAAATCACATCTAAGAGTTTGAGCTTCGGGAGTTCCAAGATACTGTCAAAATAAAAAACGCGTAAATATCAAATCACTTCATTTGACATATTAAAAGATAATTATAACAATTTATTATTTGTTACCTGGCGTTGAAACCACTCTTGATATCGTTTGTGATTTCCGAATCGAACATTTGATGTTAGAAAGACGAGTTTTTGTTCCATATCCGGTGTAAGTCTAGATTGTAAAAACCTTCTAGACGTCCGCGTTTGCATTATGCTAAGTACACCTTAAAATTATGATATCATGTAAACAGGGTTGAAAGTTTTGTTATTGAAAATTATTTACCTCCAAAAGTAGGGCTTAATGACTTCGGATTATGAAGTAAATCTCTCCAAAAATTATCGAATTCCGGTATTCTCGCTACATTTTGTAACAGGCGAACTAAATCTCTACCGATCATAAGGCAATCAGTAAATCTCTCTCTAAGAAGAGCAATAGTAAAAGCGATTTCCTTCTTTTGCAAATTTGCAAAAGCGGGTGACGTATGATCTTCGATTAGTCTTAAAAATGTATAAACAGATATGGCAATGATTAAGGGGAATTTTTCCAACCATGTCCTAAAACAATTTGAAAAAATTCATAAACTAAAATTAAAAACACACAAATCCATAATAATTGTTATACTGTTACCTGTTTTCTATTAAAATATCTAAAATGTTTTCTATAAGAAATACGTTTTTTGTTGATAAATCACCTCCTGCCATATGCCTCATCAAATTCCAGCATATGTTCTCCACGCCGTTTACACCATTTCTTATCATCTCTTTGACTAGCCATAGCAATTGTGTACGAACACCATCGGTCAGTTTTCCCCATTTTTCTAATATTAATTGTGATAAGTGGAGCTGGACAGTTGCAAGACCGTCTCTAGACACAAGAGTCAAATCTCGGTAACTCTGGGAAAAAAACATTAAGAATTATTAAAACAACAATTACAAATTTGTAATTATTATATATGAAACAATAAAAAATGTTCTTCAGTTTGGAAAAAGGCTAGAGAAAAGTTCTAAATTAATCAGATACTGCCAATAATATGAAGAGAGAAGGGAAAAGAGAAAAAAAACCCTAATTTATATATAAAAGTTAAAAATCAAAGCGAGCTAGTTTTAGTTGAAATAGTGCACATCTTTTCTGACCAAAGTCTGACCTTATTAAAATTTTAATTATAAATTTTAAATTAATTTAAACTACATTTGTGACAACATAGAAAGGCATTTTGTAAGAAAGGATTATGTGGATAGTGTGTATGTATGTATTAAACTAAGGTCATAAGAAGATCCAGTCAGTCATTCATCCATTGGCCTTTCACATTATATAATCTTTAGAAAAATAAAATCATTGAGACAGTCACAAGGTAAATGCCAGGCCTGATGTGAAATAGTAATAACATGACTTTATACCTAATAATGTTTTGTTTTTGTTTTTTGGTAAAATAATCAAGTTTGGAAATGGAAATAGACAAATAATAAACAAGAATTCAGAAGATAAAGTATTTAAAAATGGACAGATGTTCCATAAAGAAAATAATGTCAGAGATGTAAAACGATGTGAATATGGTTATTGACAATTATGCCATTTTTCCTGTAGTTCATAACGACAGTTGCGAAATATATTTACGTGAAAAAAATTTTGTTAGATGGATAATGGAAAAATGTAATGAATTAATTGTCAGATGTCAGAATGAAGCAAATTCCAATTTTGTAGATTTAAATTGTTGTAGGAATGAAGTAATTGTTTTAGTACTTCCAAAATAGCAGGCTGGATTTTTCCTTTTGATGCAAAACAGAAAACCCGACGAAGCAGGAATTATATTACAAACGAAATTAAAAAACAACCTTGACAAAAATACCGGATTGACTGTAAAGGGGTAAATTAATGAAATCTAAACACTACACATTTCTACATTTAAATAGTTTCTACAAATATGCTCCCCGTTCACCTCTGTTGATGATGGAAAGTTTTTTTTAGGTACAAATATTTTTTAGTAATAAACGCTGCTGTTTTACATAAACTACCTTTGAAATGTATATGTCAATTTTAATTCAGATTATGAACTTAAATAAGTTTAATTATTTATTTTGTATAATATTTTAAATTATATGATTTTTATGTGACTGCAATTTTTCTGTTCTATTTCATCAAATATTTTGAAAATAGAGTAAATAAGTCAGGGAATTAAAATGATATTAATAACAAAACTAATAGCAAGCACGGCATTGTCCAGTATCTCAGATAAGAGGGTGGAGAGAGGAAAATATATTTTAAAATTTTTATCGTTGAAATTTCTATCATGGCAAGATAAAATGCGCAGAATGAGAAAGAGATATAGTACATAAGATCCAAATGAACACAATTGTTTTTTGTTTGTGTCATTTTGTATGTAAATGGGTCGTACATTATTCATTTTGCATTTCGGAGACTGTTGTATACGTATCTATAACATAAAATTTATATTAATTTTTCTCAGTAAGTAAACGGTCAAACCGATTTTCTGTTTGACACTTAACATTTCCAGAGAAAAGTGCCTACAAGTTTTGAAAATTGTGTAAATAAAGTCAGGGTATTAAGATTATTAATAACAATTAGGGCATATTGTACAGTATCATAGATAAGGAGGGTTGAGAAAGAAGAATATACATTTTACAATTTTCATGTTTGAAATTTTTATCATGTGAAGATAAAATAAACTAAGCATAGAATGAAAGAGATACTACATTAGGCCCAAGTGGTCACAACTATTTATTTTAAATGTAAACGGATCTTAAAATATTTATCATGGCCAGATAAAATGAACTATGCTCAGAATGAATGATATACCTCATAAGGCCCAAATGAATACAATTTTTTTAATGTAACCAGGTCTTAATTTATTACAATTTTTTTATCCAATATACTTTTTTTTATTCATGATAAATTTAATTTTTATTGCATATCATAATCAAATTTATCTTGTTCTACTGGAGATTTTTTTATTTATTTACCAAGTTTTGTTTAATTACTTCAGCTCATTTATGTTTTATATTTGTTTTATGATACAATAAAACACTGATGAACGAAGGGAAAGTTTATGTAAATGTATAAAACAATTCCTGAAATGCGAAATTTGAATTTGAGAATTGAAATCTGAACCAAAGGATAGTAGTTTTTTGTATCTAATCCTGTTTTTGGGACAAATTTTAGGCCTTTGTTTAATAAATTGTTTTCTTCTTTATTAGTTCTGTGTTTGTTAAGCTTATAACTCTTGGGTAAAATTTAATTAATTTTTTGGTGTTTAATTTTTAAGTGTACCGAACTTCGAGTTTTTAATTTTTTTATCCAATATACTTTTTTTTTTTTTTTTTTCAATGATAAATTTAACTTTTGATTGCGTATCATAATTGAATTTATCCCATTCTATTGGAGATTTCAATTTTCGAATTCAAATTTCTTATTTCAGGAATTGTTAAATACTTATAGATGATATAAATCTGTAGTAATTTCTATCATTATGTAAACAGTCTAAAGGAGTGATTACATCAGGCACTTTTTTCCGGAAATGTCAATTGTCAGACAGACAAACCGAATTTGTCTGACACTGGACATATATTTCAGGAGAAAAATGTCAGATATAAACGGACCTTTGGACCCTACAAATTTTGAAAATAGTGTGTAAATACAGTCAAGGAATTAAAATGATATTGATGACAAGTCAAATAACAATCATGGCATATTGACCACTAGCATAAATCAGGAGGGTTGAAATAAGAAAATATATATTTTAGAATTTTTATGATTACAATATCTACCATGGCAAATAAAATAAACTATGCTCAGATTGAATGATATACCTCATAAGGCCCAAATGAATACATTTTTTTGCATGTAAACAGGTCGTTTTTTTTTAAACAGGTCTTAATTTATTACAATTTTTTTTATCCATGATAAATTTAACTTTTTATCACCTATCATAATCGAATTTATCCCGTTATACTGGAGATTTTTTTTATTTACCTAGTTTTGTTTAATTACTTCAGCTCATTTATATTTGTTTTGTTACAACAATCCTCTGATGAACCAAGGGATAGTTTATGTATATGTATAAAACAGTTCCTGAAAAGTGAAATTTGAATTTGAAAATCGAAATCTCCAATAGAATGGGATAACTTCGACTATGATACACAATCAAAAGTTAAATTTATTAATGATTTTAGAAAAAAGTATATTGGATAAAAAATATATAAAAACTTGAAGTTCTTTACATTTAAAAACAAAAATGCTCATAAAGAACAAAAAATTCAAATTAAATTTTACCCAAGGGTTATAAACTTAACAAACATGGAACGAAATAAAGAAGAAAACAATTTATTAAACAAAGGCTTAAAATTTGTCCCAAAAACAGGATTAGATAAAAAAAAAACTACATCCCTCGGTTAAAGAAAATATATATTTTAGAATTTTTATGTTTACAATATCTATCATGGCAAGGTAAAATAAACCATGAACTAGAATGGTTGATATACCCCATAAGGCCCAAGTGGACACATCAATTTATTTTGTATATAAATGGGTCATATATTTATCACAAATTTCGCATTCCGTGAACTGTTGTATACATATGTGAGACATAAATTTATAGTCATTTCTATCAGTATGTTAACAGTAAAACCGATTTTCTGTCTGACATTCGACATTTCCAGAGAAAAGTGTCTGTTGTAAATGCACCTTTAGACCCTATATATTTTGAAAATAGTGTAAATAAAGTCAGGGAATTAAGATAATATAAATGACAAGTCGAATAACAGTCATGGCATATTGTCCACTAGCATAAATCAGGACAGTTGAAAAAGGAAAAAATACATTTTAGAATTTTTATGTTTACAATATCTACCATGACAAGATAAAATAAACTATGCTAGATAGACCGATATACCCCATAAGGCCAAAGTAGACACAATTTATTTTGTTTATAAATAGGTCATACATTTATCATAAATTTCCGATTTCGGGAACTGCTGTATACATATACATCACACAAATTTAAAGTAATTTCTATCAGTATATAAACAGTTAAACCGATTTTCTGTCTGAGACTCGACATTTCCAGAGAAAAGTGTCATATATAAGATGACCGTTTGAAAAAAGTGTAAATAAAGTCAGGGAATTAAAATGATATTAACGACAAACCTAATAACAATTAGGGCATATTGTCCAGTATCATAGATAAGGGCTGAGAAAGGAAAATATATATTTTAGGATTTTTATGTTTTAATTCTTTTATCATGGCAAGATTTGTTGAATAAAATATTTAATTTATTTAGTAGTTTGATTTGTTAAGAATGAATGTGAGAGGTGAAAGACAAGAACCTGCTGAGGTTGATATGGGAATCCTAACCTGACTTTGAGCCTTAATCGGAGTAAATCAATTACCTTGGACGCGTTTTGGGGCTCCGTCAAAATCACCGACAGCAGCCCTAGGCAGACGTCTTCATGTCCTTTATCCTTGGCGACGGTGCTGTTGAGTGCGTCGTGGACGTCTTTCTCCGACAGGCCCGACGTCAAACTTTGCAGACCGACATAGCTTCGTTCGTACCTCTGCAAAAAAAAAGGATAATTTTCATGAAAACGACCCGGACGGGCGGAGGCGTTTCGAATTTCCCTCGCCTCCTCAACGAGAAAGGGCTGAGCTAGCGCCCCAAACGAGAGACGTGCTCGCCCCAGAGTGAAAAATGGCCTTTAACTACAATGGCCGACGTGTAATATCGGCTCTAAAATAACGAGGGTCCCGTCTTGGACGGTTCTACCCTCAAAAATACGGGAAAAAGCTTTCGTTTACCTCCTCAATCTCGTCCTTTTTATTATCAACGATAGACGTATTGTACAACCTCGTCAGATGGTATTTAGCCTGGTCCATTTGAAAACCGAGGAGCCGAGCCTTAACTATCTAAATCGCCCCTAGTCCTCAGCCGAGTCGACATTCCGCTTCCAGCCCGTTCGAAAAGGAAAAGCGGTCTGAGCCCGAAACCGAACCGCGCGCATGGATACACACGCTCTTGTTGACACGAACGATCCCCACCATTTTCCCACCACCGACACCGTCCGCCGATCCCACTCCCAACTACGTCCAAAGAAAATGTAGTCCCGCCGTCCAAAATAATCACATTGGAAAATCAAATGTAACACGCCGTTCGCCGTTCGACGCTCGATCCTTCCTTAGAGATATCTCCAACAGAATTCCTCAAAAAATCCACAAACGCGTCCTCCCATCCTCATTCCTCGCTACAGAGATCCGAATCGAGCTTCGTCCCTTCAGTTCAAACACGGTTAATACATATTAAAATGGCACATTCACCGGTCGGAAACTGCTCTTGTCAGACATAAACGCAATTATTTCAAACACTTTTTTTTTAATAAAACAGTCGTTTTAAATGATTGGTTCCGGACCAAATACATATTATGATAAAAATTCGGTAGAACAAAATAAGAAGCAAAAAAATAGGTATATAAAAATACGTGAATTACAAATTTTTGTTTTGGAATAATAAAAAGCATCAAAACTGGTTTTATGTTTAATTTTATGTACCTGTACTTTAAACGATTTTTTTTCAAAATCTGCCTAAAAATTAATTTTATATTGTACAAATATTTTATGTTAAATAAGGAAAAATATTTTATATTAAATAAGGAAAAATATTTTCATGTTTTACCTAAAAAAAATAATAAAATAAATAAATAAAACAATATATGTACTGTTATTTTTGAAAGTGATACAAGTCCATTTAAAAAACATTACACTTTCTCTCCATATTTATTCCATTTTTTTTTTTTTTTTTTTTTTTTAAGTAAACAAATAAACTGGCTATAAAATGTACACATTTTTTTGGAATAGGAGAAAGTGAAATAAATCTTAATAATATATATTTTTAAAAAATGAATTGCTAGTTAAACAAGAAGAAAGAAAAAATATATTTCAATAAATTTAAAAAATGTATGTGTCAATATGTATGTAATATATACTTAAAAAATAAATTGCAATTATACATATAGGTTCTGGAATTATTTTCAATACAAATAAATATATGTTTAAAATAATGAATTGCAACAACCTTTCTTGCTAGATAAACAAGAAGAGGAAAGAAAAAACATTAAAATAAGTTTAAACTGGTTTTGCGTCTAGTCTGGAATTTTTTTCACATTTACAATACAAAAAAATATATATTTTAAAAAATGAATTGCAACAACTTTTATTCCTAGTTAAATAAGAAGAAGAAAGAAAACAACTTTAAAATAAGTGTAAACTGGTTTTATGTCTAGGTTTTGAAATTTTTTTCAATACAAAAAATATTTATTTAAAAAAATGAATTGCAACAACCTTTATTGCTAGATAAACAAGAAGAGGAAAGAAAACAATATATATTTCAATGTTTAAAAAATGTGTGTCAATATATATGTAATATATATTTAAAAAATAAATTACGATTGTACATATAGATTCTGGAATTTTTTCACATTTACAACAAAAATTATTTTTAAAAAAATGAATAGCAGTAACCGTTATTGCAAGTTAAACAACAAGAAGAAAGAAAGATAACATCAAATTAAGTGTAAACTGGTTTGGGTGTAGAATTTTTTTTATCATTTATAAAATAAAAAATATATAATAAAAAAATGAATTGCAATTCTACAAATATTGATAGTTCAACAAGCAGATAAAAGCCGAATTAATCATAAACTGTTTATATGGCTTGTTTTGTAGCACTTTTTTTTACTTTTACAATATTAAAATAAATTTAAAATCATGAATTGCAATTGTACAAATATTGATAGTTCAACGAGTAGTTAAAATTCAAATTAATCAGAACCTGTTTTTGTTTCTGGTTTCATTGAACTTTTTTACTTTTACAATATTAATATATATATATAAATTCCAAAAAAATGAATTTCAATTGTTCCAATATAAAATACAATTGTATATTCAGCCATAAGAAAAAAAAAAATAAATAAATATAAACTCATTTTATGTCTAGGTTCTGGAACTTTTTAACATTTACGATACAGAAAAATATGTATTTAAAAAACTGAGTTGCAATTGTATAAATATTGAGTTCAAACAGAAGAAGAAGAAAAATAAAAAACAAATGGTTAGTTTGATAGAACTTTTTTACATTTACAATATTTAAATAAATGTATTTAAAACAGTGAATTATAATTTGTACCAATATTGAAATTTCAACAAGCAAAAATCAATAAAATTTGTGGGGGTAGTGAGAATGTTTGAAGTGAATTACCATTGTACCAATATTGATAGTTAAACTAGAATGATAAACACAACAAAATAATTATAAAATGGTTTGTGTCTAGTTCAATTCTTTTTTACTTCTACAAAAAATATTTAAAACTAGTGAACTACAATTGTACAAGTCTAAATATGCATAGCTTATTAAGTTATTATAGTTAGTTTATATAGTTATTTACAAAACAATAAGTGTATACCTTTTTTATGCATTTTTTTTTTTTTTTTAACGAAATATTATTCTCATTAAATTCACTATTTTTCGTGGTCCACTTGACCAATTAATATCATTCTCAAAGTAGGGAAAAGTCGAAAGGTAGGTTGAGATGGGAAGTTGGTGTCCGAGTGGGTCGAAGTCACGATAGCTCAAGTGGTAGAGCAGCGCATCAAGCCGAAGGTCGTGGGTTCGAATCCCGCTCGTGACACTGGTTTTTTTATCTCAACTTAAAACTTTAATTAATTGAACAAAATATTATATTTTTAAAGTGAATTGCAATTGTCCAAATATTTAGAGTTCAAGAAGAAGAAAAACCAAAAAAATAAAAAAATAAACATAAACTAGACTAGTTTTATGGAACATTTTTATATTTACAATATTTAAAAAATAATGAACTACAATTGTGCAAGTATTGAATATTCTACAAGCAAAAAAATACGTAAATAAATGTACATTGGTTTTATGGATCATGGAACTTGTTTTACTTTTACAGTATAAAAAAAAATGTATTTATATATATTTGAAAATAGTGAACTACAATTTTACAATATTGGAAAACACAAGCTAAATATTAAATAAAAAATAAACATATATTTTTTATATAAGCCTTCAACACTCCTCTAAAACATTAGCCTTATTCTTCGGAATTGCAAGAATATGGGATTTTTCTCCTCGGGAAGTACATTATGCTTCCTTGCTGGCTTGTTTCAGGTCCATGGTGTCTGAGTTGTAAAAAACGACATGAATCATTCCTTTTCTTCCCTTTTCCTTTTCTTTTTCACATTTTCTCTTTCTGCTTTTCTTTTTTAATGTGGTTACATCACTGAATTATAAATAATTCATTTTTTAAAGAGTATATTATTGTCATTATTGTTTTGTATATTTTTATTATGTTTTGTTAATGTTATTCCTATTATTATTTTACTATGTTTATAAAACTAAATTTATTTCTAAAATATGTATATGGAAGGGAGCGCCAAATTTGTACCTTTAAAATAAAGTGTAAATTTATTAATTACACCAAAGTTCTTGTTAGAAAATGAGATCTTTTTTTCAGAATATTTCATTTTTAATCAAACTTTATACATGTATATATTTGTAACTTGTATAACTTTATACATATATGCAAATTATGTACATACTTTATGAAAAATCACTTTTCTAAAATACAAAAACAAAAAAAGTTTACCTAAAATTTGTCATACTGACCACTACAGAGATGCCGGTTGTATTGGTGAACGTGCTTTCGAGTTTCACTCGTCAGGGTCATCATTGAGTTCCTCGGGCTTTAGTCTGCTGTCTAGTCCTTCCGTAGTTCCGTCAATACTTCTACTGCAAAGGTTAAAAGGACGTCATTGTTAACTTTTAGCGGTGTTCTGTTAGGACAAATAACTGTTTTAAAAAATATAGATTCTAGTGGGGATATGAGTCAGCGACGTGAGCAGAAATATCAGTGACACGTTTGATAAGTTTTTCAAATCCTGACACAAAGGTTAAAAAAACCTCGTGTCCTTTAAATATTTGTAAATAATTCAACACGGAACAAATTATAAGCTGAGTAAGCATTTTATAAGAAAATTATGAAGTGATTTGTTTAGAAAAATATCAATTAATTCTAATCTTTTTTTTCAGACAATGGTTGATGTTCAGTCTGCGATGGAAGACCTTTCCCTAGGTTCGTGTTTTACCTTTTAAAATCGCTTATATTACATATTTTATGCTTTAATTAATTATTTAAATATTCTCAAAGATTAGTCTTTTTACCATATTAATTAACAATGCAGCAAGACATAAAATTATTATATTTGCTCCATGATTATACTTAACATTATCTTCAAATTATACAATTTTCTATGTTAAATGTTATAACTAATTTTCTATGTCAAATGTTATAATTAATTTTTGTATGTATAGTTTTCATTTTATATGAAAGTGTTTTAAGGATGTGTGATGGTTTATTGGCTCTTATTGTGCAAGGATGTTGCAATGAACAGTTAAAAAATAAATTTATCAATTGCTAACATTTGGACAATAATCGCTTATTTTCTTATTGCCACTTTGCGTGAACGTTTCCCAATTGATAACACAATATGCTTGAAAATATTGCCTGCTTGTTATTATTGATTACTGATATGTATAAGCGCAAATCTGCACACATATGCACATGTGCACTGAGTTGCGACTATCACTTCTTTCCAGCTTTTGTGCTTTGTAATGTATTATTTGCAGGCCTCAAAAATCACCGTCCGGGTGTTAGTGACCTAGGGGTCAGACCTCGAACTTATCTGTCCCACGAGGGCTGTGGGACCTATCACCAGCTAGGCCATTTCAACTCAGTCGGTTCCTATATCCAAACCCATTCAACTTGCTTCATTCTCAAATAATTCTTTCCTATTTACATACCATTCACTCAGAAAAGGTGTGGAGTAGTTATATTCCATCATCACCCTTTACACCTATTACATAACCAACCTAATTAAGGTTCATTGGGGTACTCAATATTCCAACCCCTGCTCGTTATGGATTTATAATTGTAACTTTATTAAACAATTTTCATTGAATCCTGAATTTTTTGCTTTTTCTTACAATATTGCAATTGATTTTTAGAGTTTTCTTTTCTAAATCGAAGAGATTGGGTACATTCCATTTTCATAATTTTACTAAACTGCCATATGGTGGCATTTATTTTGTCATTTAAATGTCTTAGTTTAATTTCAAAGGAAACGTTATTATTTTCATGATCCACTGTCTCTCTACTCAGTTTTTCTTACAGAGAAAAATATAATAAATCTCAGTCATTTTTTAGTCATTACTTCTATCCAACACAAGTTTTAAACCTGTATTTTGGGTTGGTAATGAACATTTTGTTCTGCCTAACCTTGCTGTGCTGCTAGGCATCCAAAATGATTGGAAATGATCAGACTACGTTCATATCCTATTCACATCAAGAAGAGAAATCTCAAAACAAATTTAAATATAACTTGATAATCTGTAAATTGTCATTTCTTTTGATATGTATAATTTTCCTTGGAAAGTACAAATTAATTCTACCATTTGATTTTTGGTTATTTCCTTGATAACTAATAAAGATTTTTGATAAATTGTATAAACTGCAAAAATGCTTTCATTAGAATTGTGAATACACAAAACGATCTTTCCCCTTTTCAGAAATCAGGGTCAATTAAATTGAAAAGACCTCTACACTACAACAATATTCCCAGGTGATTTCAAACAATTTTACTTTGGAGTTCCTTTTTCATCCTCTGGATAATTTTAAAAAAGTAGTGGAATACTTTGTCACATAGAGTAATGCAACTCTCAGAGTTTTAAATACCCTTGCTTTCTATAACTCTGAAAATTGGGATGTTATATCGTACCATCGTATCCAAATGTTTCATTTAGTTTTGTTGTTTGAGGGGAAAGATCTGGGCTCCATGTTGTACAGAAGAAATTAAAAAGCATAGCTCCTAAAAAGCTTATTACATTTATCATAAAACTAGTGTAGTACTTGTAGTAGTGTAGTAATTCAAACATAGACCGGCTTCCTACCTTTTAAAGTTACTATTTTTGACTAAAAAAATTTCTGGTACAGCCCTGATGAATCTATCCCAAAAAATTATAATAGTCTGGTTAGACATGTGGAAAACAAAGATATTCCATTTAATTGGGCATAACCACTAAAAAAATCTCGGTGCCCAACATAGCTGAGCATCACAAAGTGTAGCCACAATTTAAAAAAAAAATCAGATTTAATTATGAAATTTGAAAATAATTAGTTAAGTATAGATATCTGGCAGTTATTTCCTTTACAATTCAAATTTCTGAAAAATTAATAAATTGGGCGGCTAACAAACATATCTTAAATACTGGAAAGATTTTACATTAATCAAGAGTTCAGCCAATTATATCTACCCAGTGGCTGATCCAATGTTGTATTTAAATTAACAAAACCAAAAATTCTCTCCAAATGGTCTCTGCACTTGCTTTAATAGAGAAAAAGAAAGTTTACTCTTCAATAAAAACATCCAAGTTTAACCAATTTATTGAAATGAGGCACAATTAATTTTATTATTTGTATAATTGTACATTGTATGCATGTCAACATCAAAATTTTGGTTTATAGGCGAGTTGTACACGTCAGAGAAAAGTGGTAGCGATGAATCCGGAAATGGGACAAAGGAGAAGCCTTTCAAAACCATTCTTAGAGCCATGAAGCATGCTGGCAAACAGCCTTTCCCTGTGATTTATGTCGATTCTAAAGATGAATTACAGGTAAATCATAACAAGTCTTAAATGAATCATTTTATTACTTTTTAAAAATTGGAAAACACAATATATTAGGTTTTCGAACCAGCTTCAAAATCCCAGCTGAAGAAAATCCAGAAGATCTTTGTAAGAGATACTTATAAAACGGCTGACAAAGAAAAGGTAGCTGAAAAAAATGAGGATGTGCTCGAGGAGGCGAAAAAAATAGTAATAACTGAAGATGAAAGTCTTCCTGCAGCTAAACTCATTAAAGTATATCTTGGGAAGGATAACCGGGGTACCAGAGTTAAATTGTACGGCTGGGTTCATCGGTTAAGGAGGCAAGGTAACTTTACTACATAAATATTGGTCTCAAACATTATTCAAATTAATATAATGAATAATTTTTATTAATCGAACAGGTAAATCCCTTATGTTCATAACACTGAGGGACGGAACAGGATTTTTGCAGTGTGTTCTTACTAACAAACTTTGTCAGACTTATAATGCACTGGTACTTTCTACTGAATCATCTGTACTTTTGTATGGAGTTATAAAACCTCTGCCTGAAGGGAAAACTGTGAGTCACTTATATATAAATATTCAGAATTGTACAATTATATTCATTACATCAATTAGGCACCAGATGGACATGAAATGCAAGTAGATTACTGGGAACTGATTGGATTGGCTCCCCCAGGCGGAGCAGACAGCATTCTCAATGAAGAAGCTCTGCCAGATGTACAGCTTGATAACAGACACATGATGATCCGAGGAGAAAATGTAAGCTATCTCAGTATAAAGTATAACTCTATATGTTAAAAATCTTTTCTTTATTTTCAGACATCCAAAGTTTTAAAGATGCGATCGGTTGTAATGCAAGCTTTTAGAGATCACTTCTTCAGCAGGGGTTACTGCGAGGTCTCACCTCCAACTCTTGTTCAAACTCAGGTCGAGGGTGGTTCAACACTATTCAGCCTTGATTATTTTGGGTAAAAATATTTATTTTTATAAAATATGACATTAATCTAATTGAATTTGTTTTTAATGTTTAGCGAACTAGCATATCTAACACAAAGCTCTCAACTTTACCTGGAGACTTGCCTTCCATCAATGGGAGATGTGTTTTGCATAGCCCAGAGTTATCGTGCTGAGCAGAGCAGGACAAGGCGACATCTCTCAGAGTATGTATTTGTTATACCGTTTTTTCCAAATGTTTAAAAGTATCAGATTTTTTCATAATTTGAGCACTATTTTTAGATATACTCACATAGAAGCTGAATGCCCATTTATATCATTCGAAGACTTATTAGACAGATTAGAAGATTTGGTTGTAGATGTAGTCGAAAGAGTACTTAAATCACCTTATGGTGAAATGGTGTATCAGCTTAACCCAGTAAGATTGCATTTTATTATTATTGTTTAATTTTAAAGTATTTTTTTTTAACACAAAGAATTTTAGGATTTTAAAGTCCCTGAAAAGCCATTCCTTCGAATGAACCATTCGGATGCGATCAAATATCTCAAGGAACACAATATCACAAAAGAGGATGGATCTTTTTACGACCTTGGCGATGTAAAATAACCATTTTAAATTTTGCCCATTTTGTTTTTATGGAAAATGTTCAATTTGTCTAGGATATCCCGGAGATGCCAGAACGGAAAATGACAGATGAAATAAACAGGCCCATTATGTTATGCCGCTTTCCAGCAGGGATCAAAGCATTTTACATGCAGAGATGTAAGGACGCGCCTGACCTCACAGAATCCGTTGATGTGCTGCTGCCGGGTGTCGGAGAAATTGTAGGAGGCTCTATGCGTATCTGGGATCACGATGAGTTACTCAAAGGCTTAAAAGCAAATGGAATAGATCCTGAGCCATATTACTGGTACCTTGATCAGGTATTTAAATCACATTAAAGAATAACCTCAGTAACCACAGAACACCATAATTTTATTTTATTTTATTTTTTTATTTTTTCAGAGAAAATATGGTACATGTCCTCATGGTGGTTATGGCCTAGGGTTGGAAAGATTTTTATGCTGGTTACTTAATCGTTACCACATTAGAGATGTCTGTCTGTACCCAAGGTTTCTCAAGAGATGTAAACCTTAGGCTATTAAATTTTCAATGTTATTAAAAGTGAAACATAATGAACGCTGTGTTTTATTTCAAAATTAATTTATTTATGATTTGTCTATAAAATTCTATTTATTACCACAAAATTTGTTTATCATTAAGTGCCCAAAAATGGAGAAATATAATAAATATTTTGTGATCAGAGATGAAACAAAAAAGTATAGAAATTCTTATGGAGGGACACAGATGACCATAGCTGTTTATTAGCCCATAAATAAGTAAACAAAACACCAAATCTGTTGCGGAGGGCTCAATTAGGTAGAATGAAAAAATTGGTAGATAAAGAGATCAAATGATCTTGGGAAGTGAGGTCATTCTGTATATTTGGAAAAATAAAAAGTGAAGTGAAGAAAGGGTGAAAATGTTGGTAATGCATTTTGCCAAAAGGAATGGTCCATGGATTCTTCCTTGAGACCTATCTGGTAAGGGTAAAGGAGGATAGATAATTCATTCGCAAATGAAAGAGCAAAATGAAAAAAAGTAAACGTATTTTATTTATTTGTTTTTATGAGGTTTTACAAAGTAGTGGTCAAATGGGGGGAACACCCTCTAGGCCTCTATGATCCAGTGTTTTTTGGGATTACTTTGAGGTCAAATAAAGGGTCCACTAAAATTCAAATACAGGACCCTTCCAGTTCTAACTGTTGTATCCATTGGTATCACAGTTGAAGAGGTATAAAATAATCATTAAATTAAACAAAAAAATCTAAAAAGAATAAAATGTGGTATAACAGAAAGTATGTATAAAATTAATGATGTTTGCTATAAAAAAGTAAGACTAAGTTAAACAACGGGGACCGCGGTAGCCGAGTGGTTAGCATGAGAGACTCTCACGCCGCGGTCGTGGGTTCGATTCCCACCGTTGCCCCTGGCCCTTTTTTCCCAATAACCCCCCAAATTTGAACACACATATACGAATTTGTCACATGGCTAATATGCATAGTTCATAACGCCAAAAAAAAAAAAAAAAAAAAAAAAAAAAAAAAAAAAAAAAAAAAAAAAAAAAGTTAAACAACAAATAACCGGATTTATTAAGCAAATCTTGACAAAAAGTGGTCTGTACAACTTTACATTTTATTAATTCATATTTGTTTAGTGGCCATAATTGACCATATTAATTATTCCAATTAATTATTCTTTTTATCTCAACCAAAAACCTTAGATGAAAAGAATAATTTACATTTTATATTTAGTAATTTGTTGTTACCACCCTTTCAGTTTTTTGTTATTAGGATATTAATATCTCCATGATCATCAATACATTGCAATAAAACAAATAGCAAAATGAGTTAATATTTTAAATTTTTCAATAAAAACAGGTCAATTTAAAACTATTATACAATCATCAAAGAAGTAATTGAGGGAAAGACTAGGTACATCTCAGAAAAAAAAATTCAATTGCAATCTTGCTAAATATTTAATAATAAAGAAAGGAATGAAGTAAAAAATACTAAGAAATTAGCCCCCAAATAAAATCTTTAAATATTATTAATATTCAAAAGTACTATGAATTTGTCGATGACTTTGAGACTTGGTATTAAATTTGAGAAAATTTTCTGATTTAGATATTTTTATTTATCAGAGAGCCCTTAATTCAGTGTGAAGTATAAAACCGATTAATATGATTAAAAGATTAATCAAATTAATATAATTAGTTTACAAAGACTGTTATGACGTTTGTTTTTTTTATAAGTGAGATTATTACTAGAAAGTTTGTAAGTTGCTCGCCGGTTAACCTTAGTCCTTAAGGTTACTTTATCAAAGAATTCTGGGCTTTCGTGTTGCTCAGAGGATTAAGGATATTCTAGTTGAATAAGTGAAAGACAACTGTAAACAACTTTGTATCCTCGACGATTTTTAAACGGAATTGACACGATGACTGCTTTCGAAGGTTTATTTTTTAAATATATTACAATGATGGACAAAACTAACACACCATCCTTAAATTTTAATGTTTATTTAATTTTGCTTACCAAAAATAGGTTTGGTTGTAAAAATAAGACATTTAAAAATAAAATGATTATTACCTAATTCTAAAAAAATTATTGAGTAAAGAAGAAAAAATCCATAATATGGGATCTATTATCCTGCATTAGCAAGAATCTTTCATCGATGTGGGGGGCAAATGGTACTACATGTTTTTTGATTAAGCCTTGTAAGCACCTCCTGAAGTTATATATCTTCCTCACACAACAACCAATTCGGTGCCACTCTCGAACGTCAATGACACCTGAGGAACCATGCAGCATGGAGCGTACCATGGTCCTGAGTGTCTCCATATGTACTTATGCCCATCTGAAGATTTGAGGCCAATTCTCACTTCATTTGTAAAGAAAAGAACTCGTCCCCAATCTTCCAATGTGAAATTCACATGTCCCAAATTGAAGCTTGGATATTTTCTTAGCTGTGGTAAGAAGAGGTCTGTGCCGGGTGTCAGGCCCTGAGATTATTTTCATTAAACCTTGCAGTCCTTGAGGAAGCGAGACCTTTGGAACTCGTGTCATTAATTTCTTATATCATTTCCCGTAATGCTGTGGTTTTGTAGAGCCTGATGTTGGATGAATCCTCTCTCATCTGTAGACCTAAGTTGACATGTCCTGGCTTTTTAGTGTGAAGCCCTGTTTCTCTGAAGTGAAGAGTGATTTACACACAGTCTTTGGCCAACTTCATGCTAGCAGTATCTTTCCTCTAAAAATGTGGGGGGTTTAGTGACCATTAGTTAATGATTATTTGGAGATCTTGAGATGCAGTCTATTGTGACATAGATTTTAGAAAAACATTTTCTTTATCGTGCCAACGTTTCATTCTTTATTGAGATCATCTTCAGGACCTGGGATTTATAAACAATGTTTAAATTTTACAAACACATGTAGGATGTGAAAAAGAAAAAAAATTATACACTGCTAGAAATTTTTGATTCAATCAAAGTATTTGTACTCACTCAAAGTGTGTTTTCCATGTAGATGTGTCATTTTTTTGTGTCGTGTTGAGAGTGCCAGTGAGATATTGATATTTTAAAGAATATAAAATATTTTAAATAAAATTGAAAAATTATTCTAGTCCTAACACACTCTAAAATTAGTGGTGCCCTCATCGAACATTCTTTGGTAATTTGTAATATTTAATGACCACACATAATATCACTAACGCTCTCAACACGACACACAACAGTGACACTACACATAAAACACACTTTGAGTGAGTACAAATACTTTGATTGAACCTAAAAGTTCTATATTTTGTAAAACATTGCATAAATTCATATTAATATCTTATACATATTTGTATAATTGAAACAATGTTTATAAATCCCAGGTCCAAAACATGATTTCAATAAAGATGGAAACTTTAAAAAAGAGAATGTTTTCCTAACCTACATCACACCAGACTGCATCTCACGACCTTTAAATAATTATTTCTTTGGTGAATTTATCAGCCTCTTCGTTGCCCCTTGCGACTGTGTGCACTCTGACAAGGATAATTTTGTTTTTTGCCCAATGTCTGGCGGCACTAATGCCCTCTGTACCACCTGTCTGTCCGAGTAGATAATCATCATTAACGGTACCTAGCTGAAATTTTCACCTAAGTTAAATACATTTTTTAGTTTTTAGTAAAATTTGTAGGCAAGACACCTGTACTATACTGCACTCTACATACTACATAGTAAATACATTATGTTTAGTGGGCATAATTGACCAAATTACTTCTTTCAATTAATTATTCTTTTTATGTAAAGTCTTGGTTGAGATGAAAAAGTTAGTGTTGACCTTCAGTATGGGTTCGAATCCCACTGCTGGCACTTTTTCATTTCAACCAAGACATTACATAAAAGGAATTCTACATAGTATTTCTTTGTGCTTTCTGTTAAATCAATCAGACAGTACTCAAATTGTAAATAATTAATATTAAACTAATGGCAGAATAACTAGAAATAAAATAATTGTCTCCTGTCTAGAGTATTAGGATGTCAAAGAATAAACTTGCAAAGCGAGAGATATGTACAAGTTTTATAAACCTATAGCATGTGATAAGTCAATACAAATTGACGTTTAAACTAATTATTTCAGATTTGAAGGATCACACAGTATCAATGCTTTAAACATTGTAGAATTTTTTTTGCAATAAGGACATAAAGAATCACCAATCCAGCCAAAAGTTATAATTTAACTGTCATCTTCTGTATAAATTATTTTCCATGCTGAGATATGCAAATTATAGAGAATTTGTTTAAAATTCTGATATATATGAAATGCTGTAGGAATTCACATAATTTCTTTTTGAGCATCATGCTAGGAGTCATAACATTATAAATATTAAATTATTAGTGTACACACAATAAAATATGAAAGTACCTTAGTATTTCATAAGGAATTACATGACAATTTTTGCAGTTCTTAAAGTTTTAAATTTCTATTAAACTAATGGGAGATTGTACTAACAATCTTAAATTCTCTCTAAAAATAATTTAGTCTTTCATACTTCAGTGCTAGAGCATAAAGATTTGATAATGATGAAAAATTTGATCAATTTGTTCAGCAAGGAGCATAAACAAGAATTATAGGCTTGAAAGCATATGAAATTCCATGTTTTAATATATTATATGCATATATAATGAAGAAATTAAGAGCAGAATTTTTCTATTGTCGAAAAAATAAAAAAACGATCGTGGGTGGAATTTTTTTTTTGAGCTTGAAACATCCATTCTACAAAATAAATTACTTTACTCTACAGAACACTGTTTTTATTATCCACCAACCAACCATCCAATATGATGAAGAATTTAGCCTTATCAGTAGCTGATTTGACATAATCATATGCATACTCCCAGATTTTTATGTTTTGTGGAGCTTTATGCAACTGCCTTTACGTATTTGTAAAATAAATATAAAATAATCCAGATTGTTACATTTTTCATATTATATCTCTCAAAACTGTGATAATATTACTTGAACCAATGCTTATAATTGTGTAATAAGAATGAAAAAATATTTTTTATATAAATAAAATAAATTGTTTTTCAGAATTTGGCGTGCTACCTGAAATTGCAAAAGCAGTTGATGACATGGAATGGATGTAAGTCAATTGGTTTACATATCTATATACAAAAGGAAATAACATTTAAATATTTATTTTAATTGTTAGGCTTCCAACTGATGTTCAGTCAGAAGCAATACCACTTATATTAGGTGGCGGTGATGTACTGATGGCTGCTGAAACAGGCAGCGGCAAAACTGGTGCATTTTGCCTCCCTATCTTACAAATTGTTTGGGAAACTCTAAAAGAAATTGAAGCTGGGAAATCGGGTAACGTGAACAGCACGACTAAGCCTTCAGGGACAGAGCTAAGCAAGTCTGACAGAACCCCGGCCATGGCTATCTCTTCTGATGGGTTGGTATGTCAGGCCAGGGAGTTCAAAGAATGGCACGGGTGCAGGGGGACTAAAGGAGTGGCAGGTGGTGGTAAATACTATTATGAAGCAAAAATCACCGATGAAGGCTTGTGCAGGGTTGGCTGGTCCACAGTACAGGTAAATAATTGCCTTTGGAAATAGCTAAAAGTAAATGTACAAACTGACAATTTTAAATTTTCAGGCTGCTTTAGATCTAGGAACAGATAAATTTGGATTTGGATATGGCGGTACGGGAAAGAAATCTAATAATAGACAGTTTGATAATTACGGGGAACCTTTTGGAAAGAATGACATTATCGGCTGTATGTTAGACCTAGACGCTGGAAAAATATCCTTTTCTAAAAATGGTGAAGATTTTGGATTGGCATTTACAATTCCACAACAGCTTTTAAGGTCACCTTTATACCCAACTGTATGCTTAAAGGTATGACAAATAATATTTTTCTGGATGCAAAATAATTAACAATTTGTGCATTTATTTCAGAATGCAGAAATTGCCTTCAATTTTGGTTCAAAACCATTGAAACATTTGCCCAAAGGCTATAAACCTCTTACAGAAGCTGAACCATCCCATTTAAAAGATAATGACCACAATACATCTGAGAAAGTAGCTTTGAAAAAAGTCAACAATGCTCCACAAGCGCTTATAATAGAGGTTAATTTAATTTAATATCAGCAGTAATCGTAACATATATAAATCTTTATGTAAGGTATTGGTTGAGATAAAAAAGTTAGTGCTACGAGCGGGATTCGAACCCACGTCCTTCGGCTAAAAACGCACTAACTTCCCATCCCAACCCACCTTTTGAATTTTCCCTCCTTTTTGCCATATATTTATTTGGTCAATGGGACCATGAAATCTAATGGATTGTCTATAAACATTAACCTTTATTTTTATCACCAGCCTTCCAGAGAATTAGCCGAACAGACTTATCAACAGATAATTAAATTTAAAAAATACCTTGATAAGCCGAATGTAAGGGAGCTGCTTGTAATTGGTGGTGTAAATGTTAAAGATCAAACGGCAACAATTGAAGCAGGTGTAAGTTTTTTCAATATTTACTTAGATTTTAAGTTGTAATCCATTTTGGGCTGTGCAGGTTGATATCGTAGTTGCAACTCCAGGACGTTTGGAGGATTTTGTAGGAATGAATACATTATCTTTAGCCCAGTGCAGATTTTTTGTCTTGGACGAGGCAGACGGTCTGCTCAAGCAGGGTTACAAGGACTTTATATATAGGATGCATAAGCAAATCCCAAAATTTACTGGTGATGGCAAAAGGATGCAAATGATAGTCTGCTCTGCAACTCTTCATGATTTCGAAGTCAAAAAAATGGCGGTAGGCTGTCAGGATCAAATTAATCAATTTTTCCAATCATAATTTGTTTTGAATTTACAGGATACATTGATGCATTTCCCAACCTGGGTGGATCTCAAAGGTGAAGATGCTGTTCCCGAGACGGTTCATCATGTGGTAGTAAAAGTTGACCCTCAGGAAGATACAACATGGGAAAATATGAGCAAGAGGGTTCAAACTGACGGAGTTCATGCTTACGATGACATCAAACCAGGAAGAAGAAATGCCGGTAGGTGAGACAACGTGTTAAGTTGTATTTTGATCAGAATCGATCAAACTTCAAAAGGGATTTAAAATCTTTTTAAATTATAAGTATTTATTCTTGGCATATTTAGAAACCCTATCTGAGGCTGTAAAAATTTTAAAAACCGAATACGCAGTCCGTGCCATCAAGAAACACAATATAGATAGAGCCATTATATTCTGCCGAACGAAAATTGATTGCGATAACATGGAGAAATATTTGAAAACGATGGGTAAGCTGTGGCAATATTTGTCTGTTTACTTGATTTAAATAAATCATTCTTTAGGAAGTGGCATGGGGAAAAACAATCCGTTCTCTTGTGTATGCCTTCACGGAGATAGAAAACCACAAGAAAGGAAATCCAATTATGAAGCTTTCAAACAAGGTCATGTGAAATTTCTTATCTGCACAGATGTAGCAGCAAGAGGTATAGATATTGGATCACTTCCATACGGTAAGCTTATTTTTAAAAACTTCTAGAAATTCTACACTTGCAAGACGAACCTGTAATGCAACAGCTCATGAACTGCTCATTGTAATTATTTTCACAATGAATTTACTTTAAATAATGTTGGGAGCACTTGTCTTGAGCAGATGAAGTACAGTTTAATCAAAATGTGGTTATAACTACTGTAAAAATAGAATCGTAGACTTAAGTGGCTTGGGGCAAGTAAATAAACTTTTCTTTCAAAGTTCACAGCTCCTTAACTTGAAAAAAAATCACAATTGGTAATATTACAGTTTGACTTGCATGAGTATGTACAGTAATAATTGTTTTCCTTCAGTGTATAATAATTGCTTTTCTAGTGCTCAACATCACATTACCGGACGACAAATCAAATTATGTACATAGGATAGGAAGAGTAGGAAGGGCTGATAGGATGGGATTGGCGATATCATTTGTTTCAACTGTACCTGAGAAAGTCTGGTATCATGGCGAATGGTGCCATTCTCGTGGAAGGAACTGTTACAATACAAATTTAACCGATAAAGGTGGTTGCTGCATTTGGTACAACGAGCTTCAAGTGAGTGCTAATCCAAGCATACCATTTTTTTTCTCAACTTCACCTATTTAATTTTATTTTTTACATCACAGTACCTAGCTGATATAGAAGACCACTTAAAAATTACAATTGATCAGGTCAACCCCGAAATGGAAATTCCTAAAAATGAATTCGACGGAAAAGTTACATATGGCCAAAAGAGAGTTAACAAAGGTAAAAAAAATTGTTCTTAATTAAAACTGTAATTTTTAACTTTGAATATTTTCTTTTTTTTTAGGGAGTGATTATAAGGATCATGTCTCCCAGATGGCACCGTCGGTCGCTGAACTTTCAGGCTTGGAAAGTAAAGCCCAATTGATTTACCTCAAGAGGCATTTCAAGATTGCTGGTTAATTTAACACTATTGAACGTTTATAATTTTCTATATCGAACAATATTTCCTACTATTTAAATGTGGAAAATCTATATTCTAAACTTTTCGTAAGGAATATCGTATCTGTTAATGGCAAATTAATATTTTGCTACCAATTAATTTAAATAAAAATATTAAATAAACGATTTAACAGATATTTGTGTTGTTATTAATATGTAGGCGGTAAAATGGTCGGGGGGTTAGTGGCACCTCTACATTTTTTTTGAACTGAATGATGGGGTCAGAGGCTAAAAAGCATTAACAGCATTCTGACGATTTAACTGGTTGATCAACAAAATTTGAAAGTGACAATTATGTTTTTATTCACATGTTTCAATAAAAATTTACCACTTTTGATAAGCCACATACCCTTGCACATTCTTTTTTTATGACTCCCATATTAGACAGTGTATTGTTTATTGTATATCATACGAAAAAAAGACCAGGGGCGACAGTGGGAATTAAACCCATGTGGGGTCAACGAGCCAAGAGTCTCACACGCTAATCACTTGGCTATCACAGTCTGTCACACAAGTATATCTGACAATTTCCATTTCTTTTACTGTAGAACTCGACACGTTTTCTCTCATGTCTTTATTTATACCCATTGAGTCATGTCATCATTAGGCTACGAGGATCATAAACCATAAATGACAGTTTTTGTGCCAAAGATGCCACATAGCGTCCTGGTAATCCTGAATCTTAAGTAAAATGCAAACCTCTTAATTTTGCAATAGTGAATCCGGTAATTTGTATTTTTTAACAATACAAAAAGAGAATTTTCTTTCAAATCTGTATACTTTTATGAATGAATGTTTATGATGAAATTTTAAAAGTTTTAGCAAATGAATTAATTATCGTTGCCATAATAGTTGACAATTTTTGTGCCAAAGATGTTGGTTAGCATTGCTTGAAAATCCAAGACAGACTTCTTAATTTGGACATAATAAATTTGTCAATTTGGTAGACAGTAATGCTTACGACAAAATTCTGTTAATTTTAGCAACACACTTGTCCTCTTTAGGCTTATTTGTGTGTTTTTACTATTTTATAAATAAAGCATGTAAAATAAAAATTAAACAGGAAACAGTAAATTTAAATGACTGGATCAAATTTTTGTTCATCAATTCCGTCGAATTGATAACTAAAGCTTTTTTCAGATGAGGCGGTTAAATTGATTCAATTAAGTCATAACTAATTGACTGCCGTTTGAAGATACTTTCTTGGCTTTTTTGAGGAATCATCAACCCAACAGGAGGTAAGTACAATATTAGAACTCGAGGAAGTAGGGGCACTTCCTGTGCTTGCTCTTCTGCAAGAAGAGAAGCAAAAGAAGGAGAAACCCCAGTTAAAGAAAAGTGTAAGTTCATCCATTGTTACCAAATCAGGAAATGGGCACTTTTTCACAATTATTACCGAGCCACATCCTCAAAGATCACTTCTTTTAATTTTGTTACTATACTCCTCACACCTCATGTGACATTCGCGACACTAATACAAATTTCTTTAATGAACTGTTCCACATTGAAACTTGCAATTGCAATATTTTCCATAGTGGGGTTTGGGCAGTTTCTAATCATTTGATTTCCGACCATTCAATTAGCTGCCTGTTCTAAAAGAAGTCCAAAGAGACTAAAGTTAAACAACAAAATTTGAATCATAAGAACCCAACTTACTTGAATAAAAGCATTCAAATCTTTTGAACTGAAAGTTCTCATAATATTGTTTTTTCAACTTTTATTGATTTACAAAAACAGTATTGTGAGAATGTGCCTTTAAGAAGGTATATTTGAGAATATTGCTACGTGATTATAATAGTAGGTTAGACCATTATTCAGCATTTATTACTACAAATCATCAAAAATAGCCAGCATTGGGCTTTAGAAGAACGGTTTAGGCACAACTTACAATTGTTTTGAATTTTGCCAGAGCTGAGAGCTCACTAGCATTTTTGTTTTCAACTTATTGGTGCTTGACTTGAGATTTGCTACCCAGCCTTACCCAGTAGTGATAAGTTAAAAATATGTTCACTGACAAACATTTTTCTCTCTCTTATATTAGCAAAGAAACGCCAAAATTGAAAAACTTGATTTATTTATACACTATTTTACTTACAAATGAAAAAAAAATACTGTTATCAATTAAATTTATACAAATAAAGAAAACATTTAGCTTAGGCTTTCTCTATATTTCTGTATTTCATGTACAATATATATATTCTTTTGAAAAGCAAAGCAAATTTTCAGAAATAAAATTTGAAAAGAAGGAAGTATAAAACAAATATCACATAGTCTTTGTATGCATGGGTCAATAGTCTAAAATAGTAATAATTATATTTATGAAACTCTTAGAAAATAAATAAGGTAACATTCCAACAATTAAAAAAATAATTTACTGTACAAAACCTTATAGGCGTTTTTAAAGGGTTTAAACGAAAAAAAAAAATCATCTTTAACTTGCTCATTCGTTGATCTCAGTTGAAATAAAATATGTACAATTTATTTTGCTAACATTGGTTTTAGTAATATAATTTTTATTTATTAAATTTCTTGCCTATATTTCAATATTCACTTTATTTTAAATAGATGATCTATTTTATATTATTTATGTATGTAATAATACTTGCAAGTATTTATTATGTTTCGTTTGCAGTTTGTAAGCATAGAATTTGAGTTCAGCTTCTGACAATAGTATAACTAGTTATTTGGCACTTTTAATTATCATTTAAATTAATTAGGTACTCGGAAAATATTTTGCTCAATTGATCTAAAGAAGAGACAAGCCAAGTGTACAAGAGTATTGCATATTACAAAAAATGAATACTCATATCAAAGTTCCTTTGAGCAAATCTAAATTGTATGGTAACTTGAATTTGAGGTATCTTTCCAACCAATGTGCATGTCGTTCAGCATACAGCTTTTCTCTAGAATCGACATTGTTGCTAGTGTATTTTTTAAGGAAATTATCCTCAAAGATGCTAAGTAACAAAATGAATTTTTCATTTAAATAACAAGGATCTAAATTCTGTTTTTGTACGGGAATCGCGTCACAGTTCAAATGGCTGATATCTTTAAAGCCCCAGCATTTGTTGCTATCGAAGGCATCTTTTGGAATTAAAGACTCTTTAATAAAATTAAAAACGAACCTCCTGTGATACCACAGAGCTTCATGTCCGATGAAATCTTTAATAAAACCGGTGTTTAAAATTAATTCATAAATACAAATCTGCATTTTGATGGTTAAGTTAAGGCTGTGGATATTCATATTTTTTAAACCAATTGTGAAGAAAAACTCTTCGATCGACTCATCAACATTTTGCAAGTAATTAACCACGCTTTCAGAGTTTGGGGTGTCCAAAAATTGAAATATTTTCTTTAAGAGCTGCTGCCTGAATTGCAAGCCGCTATAATCTGATACATGCTTTGATATCCACATTTCTGATCTGTTCAATTCTTGCTGATAAAACTGAGCTAAGCTCCCTTGTAACGGCTCGCCCTGCATAAGGCACCAGGCTCTATGTGTCCAAGCATGGTAATTGTTTGAATAGCGATCAGCAGCGACTTCACAAATATTCATTTCATTCAGTATTAAGCCAAAATCTTCAGGAACACCTACAAAGAACATCAAAAAATAAATAAGTTCAACACGAAAATGAAGATGATTTTATACCAAGAAGGAGCTTTTTTAAAATCCATTTACGATGAAGAAAAACATCAGCTGATTTTGGTTTTCTTGTCAATATTACAGCGGTGAAATGCAGCTCAAAGTGGGCATCGAGTTTTCCTGAATTGATCAGTTCCTTCCTCATATTCCAAAATGTCGTTATTTCAGGATTTATCATAAGGGCACCCATTAATAAAGTGTTGAGCCTTTTCAAATCTGTTAGAATAAAAATAATAATTAAACTTAATTATAATTATGTGTAAGCAAAGGAACTCACCTCTACACCCTTTGTTTTGCCTCATGCTAATTACATTCTGGTATGCGTGGCAAAATATATGAGGAATGCACCAAGACTCAAGACCAAGGCAGTGTTCGACATGATAAACAGGTGACTTGTTCTCATTAGTTACAACTGGAATTATCTCAAAACTGTGCCTAATACATAAACAAAAAAAGAATAAAACAAAAATCAAATTATGCACAATAGAAACTTCTGTCTTTCTAAAATAAATATTAAATAATATAAATAATAAGCAATGTAAATATATTTGTTGACACTCTTTGACCAGAACTGATCATCTCTGGTTTACATTATTATTTCTATTTATTTGGTGTCAATACATTTTCAATCAGCTAATATGATTAATTGGTTCAAACTATTTTAACCTATTATTGCAGTTTATTTGACACAAATATCCTCAAAGAGTGAACATTGACTTTTTATTAACATTTATTCATAATTATGCACGACTTTGCCAACTTATATGAGAACATGAAACAAAAAACTGGCAGTACAACTAAAAGGTAAGACCCAATCTTGTTTTATTGTTGACTTACAAATCAGCAAATTACTACTAATTAATTGTTTGAAAAGTAAACATCTTAAACCGTATTGAAAGAATTTTGACAAGCTGATAAGACAATATTTGATAAATATGCAAGATATTTGATAAATTAAAGGGACGGGGAGCGTGAAAAAAGGACAGGGCGGTGGTAGGAATTGAACCCATGACTGTGGGATCTACGAGCCAAGATTGATTGATTGTTTTGTTTAATCATGGAAAGTTAGACCTCTCGGACCTTTCTTACATTTAACTTGAGAAAGTCTAACTCGCTGATCAGTCAGCTATTACAGTCCCCTTGATTAGTATTTTCTTCCCCCTCTTTTTTTTTATATATTATTTTTATTCAATTCACTAGTTTTCATGGTCCACGTGACCAATTAATATCTTTCAATTAATGATCTTGGTTGAGATAAAAAAGACAGTGTCACGAGCGAGATTTGAACCCACAACCTTTGGCTAGGTACACCGCTACTCTACCACTTGAGCTATCGTGACCTCGATCCACTCGGACACTAACCTCCCATCTCTACCCCACTTATTATTTTTATTGTCTTTATTTTTGTAATAATCCAATACATACTTCAGTTAAAAAAACAAACAAAAATAAAATATTACATCTGATTATAATTGAATTTTTATTTATTTAATTATATTTATTATTAATTTCATGTAGAGAACTGAAATGAATAAAGAACAGCACTTGGGCCAAGCACATTTAAATGGAGTCCGCCAAAATACCAACATACACACACAGAATAAATTATAATAAACTAACAGTTTTATTCTTTTATAACAAGTCAAAATCAAATAAAGAGATTAAATATAACTGTAGAATAAGAACATAATCAAATTTATTTCCATGAATTAGATTTGCAGAATTGCTTCTGTTAATTTAATGTCCTTACATATTAACATGCCTGGACCTAAAATTATACTCTTCTCAGCAATAACTACTTAACTAGATTGCACCAGTTTTCGCCATTAGAGAGAGTATGTACTTTAAAGCATTTTTGCCTAATTGCCAGTCTTCCTCTATTTTAGTAATTTTGCTATAAAATAGTCCAAATAAGGAAGCACAGACTAACTAATGAAGATGGCAGAATAATATGACTATTAATCTACAGGTTCCTGAGATCACAAACCTAAACGCGATATCTCTCAGTTTAATATTTATCTGGTATTTGTTTACAATTTGTACAACACAGGTAATAAATACTACAGCATTGGTAATTGTAATTTAGCAGTTTTATTCTGCATGTTAAACAGAATGTTCTGTCTCCTAATTTTTTTCGAGGATTCACAACAGCAGAGTCATATCAACTCTAAGGGTGCCATTTATTTTGAGAGAAAAAGCCTGTTTGTAAGTATGCTGGGTTTAAATAACTGTCGGATTGGAAACTGGGACTTTTACCTTACAGTGATGAGCGGTGTTAATGCCTAAACCATTGCGGCCACCGACACGTTTAGTTTTAAAAATGAAATAATTTATTTTGTACTTCTGAGCCAATGTGGTTTATGTAAAACCAAATATTCTCGTAAAATACAAAAATGTCAGGGTGTTGCGATATTTTTGACTGGGTGTGTGTTTGTGATAAATAAAATCGATGAAATTGCAATATTTGAATATGCCCCTGGTAAAATATTATTTTTATATAGCTTTTGTTTACGATTTATCGTTCAGATTGTAGATTTTTCCTTTCAAGTTGAAACATGTGAACCTCCTCAGTTGACTGTTGTTGACACGTTCCTGGCGATTTCGCGCTGGTTGTACCTTCCTCTAATAAGTTATGACTTGGACACTGTCTTAAATGCTTGACTGGAGCCATTGAAAAAGGTTTAAGAATATGAATAATATCAAACGAAATCAACAAAAGAAAAAGATTAACTGAACGTGATTTTTAGCTAGTTTTTGCAAATGGATTTAATCAATACAAAAGTAAATAAAGGAGGTACACAAAGCATTATTTACTGTTTATTTTGACTGTGATAACTCCTAATTTAGAAAGATAATGTATTTAATTTTAAACTAAATAAATTGAGTGGTGAATTAAATTTGTCCATCAGTGTATTAAAAACTCTAGATAGGGGAGAAGCTGCAAAGGATCTGGCAAGCCAAAACAGTGATAGATGGATCAAATTTATTCAAAAACAACTTAACTAATCACACTTTTTCAATCCTACTTTGTGTCCTACTTTTTCAATATACGTGTGTACGACCCACTCTATGTCTACCAGACCTGTTTTATTCCTTAGATTATATAGGAGCCGGCCTTATGACCTGCAAATCATGACCAGTATTGGTCTATTGTGCATCTCCATTTTTTTAATGTAAAGCTTCTCATTAAGTTTAAGGGTTTTTACCTGACCCCAAAGCTTTTTCAAGGGCTCCCTTGTGCTTCAGGCCCCGACTTTTCCACACCCAGGATTAGAAATCTCAGCCTACATAGGCCTTCGCATCAACAGAGGACATGTTCCGATGTTTCTTCTTCTTATTAGCAATATCAACACAGGCTTGTTTTTACCACTCCGAGTCTGCAGTTCAACTATTATTCTATTCCTAGAACATCCTAGATTTAGTATTTCTGCTATTAATTTCTGCGATGGTCCTTTGGTAAACTTTTTTTGAATGCCTCTGTCCCGGGCAACATTCCCATTGAACGGAGGAGTAATTTTTAATCCATTGTCTAATGGATACATTTTAGGCAGTTTGGTATGCCACAAAAGAGTTCTGGCCCAATAGGTGCCCTCGCCAAACTTTCCTTGGCTAATTTGTCAGCCTCTTCATTGCCCCTCTGCCCTGGTACCCAGACAAGGGAAATTTTATTATTTTCCCCAATGCCTGACAGGGCTCTCATGCACTCCCAAATGATTCTGAACTTTACTGCAAACACGGTTATTGCCTTCAGTGCCGCCTGGCTGTCCAAGTAGATGGCTATTATTCTACTGGTAATACTCAGTTTTTTTATATCCCTGACACCATGTTCAATAACCATAGTTTCTCCTTGAAAGACAGTGGCATACTGTCGAAGGCTTATATCAATTATAATCCTTGATTGGTTTATTTTGTAAATGCCAGCCCCGATTCGATTTTGGAGTCATCTGTAAACCAGATATGGTTGGCATTAAGATCCCTTTCTCCCAGTCTGCTCTATAAGGTATCTTGATTTGAAATTATTTTGTCCAAACTGAATTTAGGGGTCATGGCATCCCCAAATTCTATCTAGCTGAACCTCCCCTCAGAGCTTTAGTTACTTCTTTTATGTGAATAGACTATTGGCTATTGAAACATCCAGGACAGCCGTGGGAGTTTTCCTCATTGCCCCAGTGATATTCAGACATGCTAGTGTTTGAGCAGTACTGAGGCTCTTGACTGCTATTAGCTGTAATTATTTAATTAGTTATTTGTTTATTATTATTTCCAATTTTTATGCAAAGCTTGAGAAGAAAATAGTGTCACAAGCGGGATTCTGACTGATGACCTTCGGATGCCTAATTTTTCTTCTCAACTGCCATTGCATGAAACTTAGCTGTAATGTTTGTCCACCAAACCATTGATCTGTAGGCTATTATGCTTCTGCATTATTGAAGTTATTCAGTTTATCTGAACATGGCTGTCCCAACCGGTTCAGACAAGCATGATTTTACTGTATAATCACAGGAATGCGAGATGATTCATAATAGAAGATTTAGGATTTTGTAAACTTTTTTGTTTTGTTTTTTGTTCTCACGCAAGTTGACACGCTAAAATAATATATAAAATTTTCAAAATCTTGAGTGATTATTTGTGTCTTAACATAAACATTGTGCAGTATATATGCTTCGCAATATTTTATTTTGTAAATATATATTTAATATAGCTAACATTTCCAATATTCCCTTTATGAAGTTTTTTTTTTTTTTAAAGGTAGCGATACTTGTAATTTGTACTGTTGTGATAGTTGAAAGTGAGATTTGTTTTTAATAATTAAAAATTGTGGGCACTTTTGAAAATATAACTACGCCCTAATTCCTCAGTGAAAACAGCATGGAGCCTCACTTTAAAATAATATTTATGCGGGTGCTGTCATGACTCGGGCGAAAATGTTTCACTCACAATTTCGGGTCTTTCCTGAATATCTGCTCGATGTCCGAGAGGATTTTTTCCGCGGCCGCATAGAAATCCTCGTTGACGTTCATTATAAAAACGGTTGCGTCTCGACCTGGCGTCGGCGGAGTCCGCTTGGAAACGATAAGGCCGGATGTCAGCGAGTCGTCCGAGCTCCTTTCCAAGCGACGACTTTACTGGTGATTCGTCTTTTGAGTTTTGAGTTTCGCTTTCGGAGGAGGTAGCCCAGAAAAGGTTAAAATCGAATATCGACTTAGGAGATACGCGCCGAAGAAGTTTTGCCCAAAGCTGCCAATGCTCAGTTAACTCGAGTTAAATTTCCCTTTGTCGTAGTAAATTAATTAATAAAAGCATAAATCCATCGGTTCTTCTTAATTTGATCAAAAAATGACTCAGAAACCATGTTTTATTATTAATTATTTTTCCAACTACAGCCATTACAATAGACATTAACTTAATTACACTACAATAATCATGATTCCGCTTAAATATAAAATTTCAAGTCGCACATCCTATTATGTAAAGAATTCGCTTATATAGATCATTAAAGAAAGGATTTGGGAAAGGAAAGGGACAGAATCCAGTACAAAATACTTTTTGCAATTTGGGACCAGAAAGAATCAGGAAATGATTTGCGAAAATTCTAATATAATTCCAGACATTTCAGAAGTACCTTCATGTAATCTCTCTCTTCTCTTCAACTTATACAAATTAAATTAACTCCACATTTCAATTCCTTTTTTAAAAATTATAGTTTACGGTATTGGAAATGTGTGTTTCTTAGTGATCTGTTGTTTCATAATTTGTTGAAGTCGTGAGATTGAGGTAGTTTAGAAAAAATCTTTTTCATTTTTCCAACGTTTCAATCTTTATTCGGGCCATCTTCAGGGCCTGGGTAAATTACATAACATATATATAAATTTGGTACCAAATATTTCATATTCACATAAAGAATAGCACTTTATGTGAGCATGAAACACTCAGTTCAAAATTTACATTTACATCTTAAATTGTATTTTTTCCAATCAACACATGTTATGAAATTTATCCAAGTCCTGAAATTGATCCGAATAAAGGTCAAAGCGTCAAAAATATGAAAAAGGTGTTTTTTTAAACTACCTCATTCTTGACCACTTCTCACAACTTCAACAAATTAAGTATTAGAAATATTGACCATTTTTTCGCTTATGAACACTGGATCAAATATGGTCTTAAATAAAAAAAAGTTATTACTGCCAAGCTTTTAACCTATTTTAAGTTCATCATCAGGGCAAAACAATCTTAAATATGTCTACAGATATTATATATTTTTTTATATCAAATTTATCTCTGTACATGTGCCAGTTAACAATTATTCCTAGAACAAGTGTAAGCATTACTAAGTTGCACTTTCTTCCCCTCCAGTAACATTAGTAAATTATAAAAGATTACTTGCATCGAGATATCCAGGTTGTTCATACTTTTCATCCTCATCATCAGACACAGTTAAATAAAATTGTTTTTATAAAAAGACTTTTGTTGAGTACAAAGAGTTAATGTTTATATACAGACAGAACAAAGATCTTTTTTACTAAGAATACAAATCATGAGGTTATAAACATTTAAGTAGTAGCTATACAAAATTTATAAAATAACAAGAACAAAACAACAAGCATTAATAATAATAATGAATAATAAACTATATTTGTATATTTTAAATAATAATATATAATAGATTAATTAAATTTTATATAATATAACTATATCAATTTCAAAAAAATCTATAAAATTATTGCCTTTTTTGCCCTACAAAAGGTATACTAAACATAGTTGTATTGGGACATTGAAAATGACGCATGATTTTTTTTCCTTTCAAAATGTGTGAAAAAATTGGGCATTACATTTAAAACAAAAAGTTAATCACCAGGTTGTCTTAACATGCCAATTTATTAAAATTCTAACAGCACAGCAGATTCTACATGAAAAATTACCTTTGAAATCATACTTAGTTTCACAATAAAATAGGCAGCGTAAAAATAAAAATCCACGTCCTTTATAAAAAACTCACACAGTATACATATACATGATGGATAGGCAAGGAAAAAATCTTTAAGATTCAAATTACAAACAATTATGTTTCCCTGGACAGAAAGGGCTAGCAACTAGCCCTTCATTAGTAGAGATTGGCAGAATAGAAAGTTTAAGTGCTAAAGAGGGAAATTCCTATAACTCCAAATCAGGAAGAAAAAAAAATTAAAAACTATTAATCTCCTCCTGAAGGAGTAAAACATAAATGGATAGACCAGAACATACTAATGAGAGAATATTCATTACTCGGCTCCTAGGGGCACAAACAAGATATTTCATTTGTTTTTCTTTTTTTTAAATGATCATTTGTTTAATAATTTATTGGATTCGTGTGGAGTGGTAAAAGATGTGGTAGTTTACAAAAACACCTTTTTCATTTTTTGCCGTTTTGACCTTCATTCGAGCCATCTTCGGGGCTTAAAGTGTGGTGCTATTCTTGTGGTGTCATATTGGTGTTGTGTGAAATTGTTGTGAGGAGTGGTCAAGAATGAGGTATTTTTTACAATTTGTATGGAAATAGAATTATTTATAGAAAAACACTTTATGACCTGAAGATGACCTGAATAAAGGTCAAAATATTTGCCAGAAAGAAGAAAAACGTGTTTTTCTAAACTACTACATTCTTCACCGGTAAGATATTTAAAGTAAACACTTCGAAACAAACCGAGCAAAAAAACACTATTTGTTGGTATTCTGGCCTGCAACTATGTACAAGGCAGGGGTATTTAGCTGTAAAACCAAATGTTTAGAGCCTACTGTTGAGCCAGTAATTTTCTGATGTATTGGAGAAAACATTTTTGAGTTTAAAATCCTACGAGTATAAAGTAAAAGTGTGTGTGTGTGTGTCCTGTTTTGAGCAATAATTTATTTTAATTTTATTTTTTTATTTGTATATATTTCTTTTTCGATCTTTACAGATCATCTTGGTCTGCCACCTGTTTTAACACACTGTAGATGTTGTAAAAGTAAGTAGACTAAGATGATTAGTTAGGACCAAACCCTTGCTGTAAGAAAATTTTCTTTACGAGCAATAAGTTTCAATTCAATTGAATGTGTTTTTGAGCAAAAGCAAACGAATGTGTCCACATAATTAAATGGTGTTATTCTTTGGCTCCTTAAAAACTGAGTATGATTGCACAGCAGCGAGTCTCTGGATCTCGATTCCTATTTTTTTTAAAGAAATAAATAACACTTAAATAAATTGATTCAAATCAATCCATATTATAGGAACAACACAAGAGAAGCATTTATTTTCCTTAGAAATAAACATCAACAATTTTTGTGTACGCCCTTCATGTGGTCTATAACTTTTTTGAATATGCTGATCGCTTGGGTTACTTCCTCTTCACTAACCACCAGCGGTGGGGTGAAACGGAGGTATTCATTATGGCTTGGCCAAACAAGCAGACCACAATCTCTTAAGTTTTCAGCTATTTCCCAAGGGCTGCCAATTCCTGAAATAATCATTTTATGAATAATTTATGTAATTTTTGTATAAAAAAATTAAAAATTACATCATGTTAAGTTGAAAAGGTACCACTTTTTATTAATAATTAATTATAATTTAAAATAAGAAATAAATTTGTTGACATAATCATCTACAAAATATGGTTTCTAAGAAATTCTAAAGGGGGTGTCGGTGGCCACTACGGTTTAGGCGTTGACACGGCACTCATCACTGTAAGGTAAAGGTCCCGGGTTCGAATGCAGGGCCGCTGGACATATTACAAATGGGCTTTTTTTCAAAAACACCGGCACCCCGAAGGTTGATATAATCTCTGCTGTTGCAAACCCTCGTTTAAAAAAAAAAAATATTAAAATATTAATTCTTACTAGGATCAATTTTGCAAGAATATAATAAGCCCTTTCCACGTAGAATTGGCATATCATCTTTGTTGAATGTACATAATAATCCATCTCTTAACAGTGCTCCCATGTTGGCAGCATTTTCACATAAGCATTCTTCTTTGATCAATTTTAGCATGCTGAGAGCAGTCCTAGTACCTAAAGGATTGCCAGCAAATGTTGAAGTGTGTGACCCTGGCCTAAGAAGATCCATAACTTCACAACTGGCCAAGGCGGCTGACACCTAAAATGCATTCTTACAGTTAGTTAAGTAATTTAATCGCAATGTAAATATATTCTTACAGGGTACATCCCACCAGCTAAAGACTTGCCGAGTACTAGTATGTCGGGTTTGACACATTCATGGTCAACTCCCAACATCAACCCAGTTCTTCCTAGACCAGTCAATACTTCATTGCAGATCCACAAGACCTTGTGCTGCGTGCAGAGTCGTCTTACTTCTGCCAAATAGCCATCTTGTGGTAAACAGACACCATAATCACCTTGTATCGGTTCGACCATAAAACCACACACATTTGGATTTCGTAAAATTTCCTACCATTTAAAATATTATTTGATAATAATGCAGTTCGATAAAATAAATCATTATAATGCCAATCCATTTTTGAGAAATGGGAACATCTTTAAAATGTTTATAATAATTTTAAAAAAATTGAATACACTTGTAAATATAAGTTATATTAAATACAAAATGATTTTAAAAATTATGTTACTTACTTCGAGAGAACATGGATCGTCATAAGGAATTAATTTCAACCCAGATAGCAAAGGCTGAAATCCAGAAAACAACAAAGGGTCAGTACTTGATGAAACAGCTGCAATTGAGCAACCCCAGTAATTGTTGTTGCAAAAGACAACCACTGCTTCTTTGGGGCATATTTTTTTTAACTTGTACCCCCATATTCGGGCCAATTTCACAGCAGTTTCACAGGCTTCAAGTCCTTTCAAAAGATAAAAAATACAATTTGGATGCATAAACGGAAGTATTATAAATACATACCACTGTTTTGCGTAATAACCCTGTCATAATTGAACAGTTGACATATATACTGAGAAAACTCAGGTAAAACATTTGTATTTATTCCTTGACTTGTTTGATGCAAAATACACATCTGCTCTTGCATACAGTTTATTAATTTAGGGTGACAGTGCCCTGCATTGACAGATCCCTGGGCTCCGATAAAGTCCAAATATTCTTTTCCGTTTTTATCCCATAGACGAACCCCTAACAAATGTGTTTATTTTTAATTACTTTAATTATTGGGACAATAGTCACAAAATTCAATTTTCAGTTTGAGTATATTGCTTTGGATGTAGTATTTGTAGTGAACATGCAGAATTAACATCTCATAATGTAAAAGAAGAAAATAATGACGATGGGCAGATATAGCTTAAATGTTGTGATGGGTACTACACAACACTTTATGCTCTTCAAGTAGAACTTACCCTGTCCTTTATTCACTTCCACATCCATCCTAACAGCACTGCAAGCATGTTGTAATCTTTTGATAATATTAAACTTAAACTTTGGATTCTTGAAGAAGCACTTGAAAATTGAACATTGAGCCATTGTAATAATAAACTATGAGTGGTCCGTTTTAGGACATTAAATTTTGAGATTTGTTACTAACGATAGTTAGAAACAAGTAAGGAATTTTAATGAAAATTTTCCGAACTTAAAATTGTTTATTTCAAATAGATGTAAGTGTAGATTTATTATTAGCAATATGTTAAATTGCTAACATATGGAATTTAACACATTATTCTTTGAGCTTTTTGCACTGAGAAGAGGAGAGTTTAAAATTAAAAGCATCGTGCATTCTAATAAATTTAAATAAGGGTAAATTGTAAAAAGACATTTTTAATTTCGTTAGTCATGAATATTGGTCAGATGGACCATACCCTTTCATGTGACTGAACTAATTCTATTCTTGTGTTTTAACATTCTGTCAGATTGGAAATGTTCGATAACACGCTACAATCAAGCCTGAGACTTTTTCTTAACACCACGTGCGCCAATTAAGAATAAATTTTAAAATTGTGCCTAGGAGGATTTTTTTTTTCTTGGAAGCTACAATGTGACTATTAAGGTAAACATTTACTGCTCTATTATAAAATATACCTCTTTTGCCAATTTGTATAAATTTTGTAATTAAAATAAGAAAAAATGGCAAATAGTAAGCAAAATAAACAGAATTTTTGTAATTAAGTTGTGTTCACTTAAAAAATGATTAATTTTTTAAAAACCCAGATCTCAATATACTGCCACCTAGCTTCCAAAGCTATTGGAGATAGTTGGACCAAAAGACATCACACAAGAGGAATTAAATAAAATGCAAGAACAGCAATATCATGAAGAAATTATTAGTGTACTGCTGTGTCAATTATTTATTTTTTTAAGTAAATAGATTTGTAAATAATAATTGACATCGAAACATAATATACAAAACGTGAAAAGGTGCAAAATAAAATAAAGTAATATAAAAATCGACAACAATTTATACCTCAATTTCATAATAAAAAGTAGTCAATAGAATAGATATCAAATTGTGAAATTGTTACTGCATGGTCATAAGGATGAAGACAAATTTTTACATATTTCTACTTTTTGCAATATTTAACTTTGCAACAAATCCATTATTTATACCTTTGATCTAAATTTACTAAAAATAATTATCTATTCTTCAATATATGCAGTATAGAAAGCAATCGGCAATTGAGAAAATTGTTATGTTTAGATTTTATATACTAAGGGAGGGGAAAAAACCCCACAGATCCTTCAAGACTAATCTTTTTACACTTTAGAATTCTTTAGAATTTAGAAGAACAGGGCTTTATCTAGTGTCTATTAACATCTAAGCTCATTGGAGATACTTTAATCTCAGAATCAAAGGAAGCAGTACAAGAAAATAAGTGATGAAATTTTAATTTAAAAAATAGTTTTCTACTGCTAAGCTAGGAAAAGAACCAAATTAAAAGACTGCCACGTAACTTTGTCAAAATTCGACAAGTCATTATAAATGGCATCAACTTGATATTTCTCACCATAGAAGTTTTATCCATTTATTTTTTAATGTCCTTATGAATTTTGCATATTAGCTAAGCAACGTGATTGGTCATATGCGACACGTATTCTTTTTGTGAGGGAAGGGTTGTGTGAAAAAAAGGACCATGGGTGACCATAAGAATTGAACCCATGATGCGGGGTCCAGAGTCGAGAGTCTATCAGGCTGACCAAACGGCTGTTGTAGTCCTCCTGGCTTAGGAGTCTATAATGTATGGAGAAGAAGCTCAGTACAGAAAAATTAAATTGACTAACTAATTATTTTGGAAAGAGTAAGTAAATCAAACCAAAGGCTACAAGTCTCGAGAGGAAGTAAATTAAAGTAATGTTCAAATTGTCCTTGACAAGTCTATTTAATTATTATTAAGTAATTGTTTTCTAATATTATTTATATAATATTTTCAACTATTTTATATTAATTTGCAATTTCAATTTAAAAATTTACAAAACAATGATAAATGCAATTTTTTAACGTATATTCATATGAAACATTATTTTTAGCTATTTTCTTACTTTACAAATTATTTACTACCCAAGTAACTTTTACTTTTGTTTTCTTACTTTTGTTTTTTATATTTTTATATTTTATATATTGTATATTTCTATATTTAAACGTAGGTATAAGGCAACTCAACAGACGGCTAAGGCCATTGTCAATAATCTGCAGAAAATTAGAGTTATCCTTATTTTTTAGGAGCACTAATTTTTTCCACTTAATTTGGAAAGCCAAATGTATGCAAAAAAACCCTATTTTTAACTATAAAATTTATTCCTGTCTTTTAATTAGAATTTCAAATTTTTGTTCTATAATTTAAACATTTTCCATAAGCTTGTATGGCCAATAATAATAATGGAGTCATCATCAACAGTGTCAGCATGAGTATAGGTTCATCATTATCCTTTTATTTTTCCATTCAAATACTATAAATACACTAATACTACTTAACCATAATAATAAAACAAAAACACTGTAACACTTCTTTATTTTATTTCATTCTTTTATTTCATTTTTCCTTTCATTTTTCTGCTCCAACGGCCTCAAAAATTCCTGAAAAAGAAAGAAATCATGCACGCAATACCCCCATTCAAACACTAGCAGACAAATATTCAAAGAGATAAGAATTTGGGAAAAGGCTTAAATCTCATTATAAATTCCAATAAATTTAAGAAAGCTGAAAAGTGCTCTTCAAAACAAACACTGGGGACCTAATAACTTCTTTAAATCACTTAATCATTTGAAAGGTTGAACCTTTACCTAAAGGGTCGCAAAGTGCCACAGTCGACCAAAATATGTTTTACAGTCAGAATGATATGTTCTCCACTTCAAATACATCGAGGACAAGTTGGAAAGTTGTTGCCTATTAAAAGCCTATAAAGGATTAGTCTGATGTGGCCTATTCGTAATCTAGAGATAATCACAAGTTCTTTTCTCTCAAGTTTCTCAGTTGACCATTTATGTACAACTAGCTTAATTTCTTTCATACTATTGCTACATGCATTCCATCTTGTTGTTATTATATGCTATTATTATTATTTTACTATGTTTATAAAGCTTAATTTATTTCTACTATATGTGTATGTAATGGGGCTTAAAGCTCTATTTGTACCTTTAAATATAAATAATAGCTTTTACGAAATGGAAATTTAATGTTGAAGAGGATCTTGAAGTCAATACAATAAACCTGATCCTCTTCAACATTGAAAAAAACTGGTCGATCCTCTCTGTAACATGTAAATTTAATGTATATACTATTGCATAAATAAAGCATTTATTCATCCATTCATTTAAACATTTTTGTAAATTGGATTAATTCCGTAGAATATATATTATTAATATTATTATTAGTTCAAGACAAAAACGCCAAGTGGGCTGTTCATGAGTCGGCCAGTTGGATTGCACATCACAAGCAGCGCTGATGAGTGGCACATTGTTCATCATTAACCTGTGCTTTCATCAATCTCGATTCTCATTCGCTTTCACTTTCTACTCGGCATTGGAGGATCAGCCGGCGGATTGGATTGAATCACCGTGAAACTCTGGCACGTGTGGAAGTTCAGGGGATTTGTTTGAAATTCGGCGAGAATTCGAATTTCACAAACGTCCACTCACTGCGGAAAGGGAGAGAAAATGTGAGTAATACGCTTCAACGAGGCAAAACCTTACTCGCTATTGATGATTTAATCATTTTCATTGTCTACAATGTGAAATATATTTATTTTTGTAATTTTTTTCCAGATAATATCTTTTTTCTGTTCATATTTTGATTATGATAAGGCCCAATTAGGAAATTATGGCAGATCCTCGTCTTAAAAAAATCAAAGTCCAAACAGGTGTTGTCAAAAGGCTTGCAAGAGAAAAAGTCTCTTATGAGCAGGAAGTTGATTCACATAAGGCAAAAATTGAACAGTTCAAAAAAGAAGGTATAGCTGTTTAGTTCAACTATTTAATACTACGAAATAAGCAGCATTTTAATTTTTTAGAGACAATTTTATGTTTATTGCTTGTTCAATGCTCAATAAAATACTGCTCCACAAAAAAAGTGGCACTCTTATGAAATTTATTTCTTTTTTAATTTGACAATGTTTTCGCCATATTTTGTTTTACTATTTTAAAAATGATTTAATAATTATAATTAGACGGTAAGTATTTGTTTTTGTCCCCAATGTTGAGGCAAAACTACTTAAATTATAATTTGATTTAAATTCTCCATAATGTACATTATTAAAAATCGATTATATTTAGTGGTATATTGACCAAATTATTTCTTTCAATTAATTAATCGTTTTATGTAAGGTTTTGGTTGAAATGAAAAAGTTAGTGTCACGAGCAGGATTCGAACCCCAGTAATTTTATTAATAGACCACTAAATATAATGGATTTAATAAGTAAAACGAAGTATAATTTTACTAACAGCTCCCCCTGGTCACTTTATATATCGCCGAGAATCGAATCCTGATTACTCGACATTTGAAAATGGCAAAGAAAGAGAAAATTCGAAAGGTTGTAGGTTGAGATGGGGAGTTGGTGTCCAGATGGATCGAATTTACGATAGCTCAAGTGGTTAGAGCAGTGGTGTATTGAGCTGAAGGTCGAGGGCTTGAATCCCGCTCATGACACTAACTTTTCCATTTCAACCAAAACCTTACATATAAAGATTATTAATTATTAAAAATTGTTGTTTGTTTTATAATGTTTTATGTTCATACAAAAAAGTGTTTTTTTTTTATAATGTTTTATGTTCATACAAAAAAGTGTTGTTTTTTTCATTTTTTGTTGTTTTTGAGTGATACTTTTATTTTCCCTCTAACCAAATACCTGAATTATAAAAAATATCAGGGTTAATACACTGTATATATGTACATAAAAAATCGAATTTCACATTACTTTTTTTTTTTTTTTTTTTTTTGTGGAGCAGTGTATATACATATTGAGCCGAAGGTCAGGGGTTCCAATCTCATTCGTGACGCTAATTTTTCTTCTCACCCTCTTCCCATAAAAAAATGGAAATAATTAATAAACAGATAACTATTTAAATAATTATAATCAAAGGATGTTACCTTTACATCAAAATTCCCGTTGTTAATTATATATTGTAATGTAATTAAATGATGCTATGAGGTTTGAATATTGGTGGTAAAGGGGAAATTTAAATAATAGCCGGTTCAGGGGAAAAGTTGGTGTCTTACGGGATCGAGGTCAAGATGGCTCAGGTGGCTGGAGCACCGATGTATTTGAGCCAAAGGTCGAGGGTTCGAGTTCCACTTTTAACACTAATTTTTCTTTTCAACTGACTTTGCTTAAAAAATTGGAAATAATAAGTAGTAGTAACATAACTAATTAAATAAATATACATATATATTGGGAAACATTGTTTGCTGAACCGGCATTGGGTCCGTCTTTACTTGCGGGTGAAGATGGACCTAATCCCTCTTTACCATGAATTCACTGATTTGCAGACTAACACCTAGCATCAACTCAAACATTGTATGATCTATGAAGTGTCAAATTTTTAACTTGATTATCTAAGATCATCCTGGTTTGACTATTCAACAAGTTTTTTCACCAGCTTCATTTGTTTTCTGTTACTTTCAAAATGGGTCTAACCGACAAAACTTACAAGGAGTATGCAAATCAAGATGAATGGAGAAGAAGCTATATCAAGCTATACGCTTATGATAAAGTTCAAAAAGTTTTAGCAAAGAAATTCAATTTATCAGAGGACCATGGTGGCCAATTAGGGCATTCAACTTGTATTTACCAAACTAGCAGTTCTGGCTTCAAATCCTGGCAGAGCCCATGGTTTTTTAATTGATAATGGTATGAAAAATGTATTGTAAATTGGTTAGACCCCTCGTTTATGACACCCAGCGGTGGTTGGACATTAAGCCCTCTTGTAACATGAATTATGTAACTTTTTATTCATTACATATATCATAAATATAGACAATTTTTGTGTCAAAGGCGCCAATCGCATTGCCTGGTAATCCAAGCCAAAAGGTAAACATCTTAATTTTTCAGTAATAAATCATTTCATCGTATAAATCATTTTCTCTTATCATACGGATAAAAATACTATATATATTATTATATAAGTAGAGATTCCAAAGCTTTTGGTAATCTTAGTATCATACTTCTTGTCCACTAGAGGCTCATTAAAAAAACAAACAAACTATTTTTTTGATCAGATAATTGAGGCTCTCATGGCCCGGAGTTGATCAATTAAAATTCAATCATGATATGAGCCTGTATTAAAAAAGCAATTGGCTGTTGGTAAAGAAAGGTAGGGAGAAAAAAAACAATGATTGATTTAAAGTTTTGCAAGCGTATATATGTATAATTTTGTCAAATATTTATATAGGACGAAATGCCAAAACACCACGTCCCAAACCAGAGAGGATGGGCAGATCAATGACAAAACTACCCATTTACATAAACATTGAATGAATCTTGCAAAACCTTTAAAAGCAATATTGTTGAACATAGAAATTTGAATGCATACTTTGTCGAACACTTGTTTTGTATAAATGGTCAATATTGATTTTCTATTCCATGTACTTGTGAATAGCTGGTCGTAAATCATGGCATTCTTTATAAGAAAGTAATATTTTGTTGTAAGTAAGATTGATTAATGATAAAAGTTGATTCAAGGCGGGTGAATGACACTTCTTTAAAACTTGGAATATATTTTTAACTTATAAAAGAAATATTGTTATTTTTTGGAGTTGGTTAAAAATTAAAGTGATTTTTTATTTAATTATGTTTCTGTTTTAGGAAAAGATGAAGCAGTTGTAAATAAACAAATTGAAATTTTAAATGAAACGATTCCAATGATAGCTGACACCCAGAGAAGACTGAAAAAAGCTTTCACAGAGTTTGAGGCTTTATTAGAAGCCGAGAAAGATTTGAAAGCCACTGAAGAGTACGCTGCTGGATTGAAAGCCTTGGAAGACGCTAAACCACACTTACCAAGTTAATTTCTTCATGAAAAAAATCCTATATTTGCATATTTGATCGCTTAATTATTAAAACAAATTCTCAAAATCACTTGCTTTATTAATTTACAAAATGTCTCACGATAATACTCAAAATTGTGCTCCACCCCCATTCAGCAATTGCTTTCCAAATTTTTCGATCCCACCTCCTAATTTTGTTCCTTATTTAACCCCACCTTCCGCTTGCTCCCAACAAAATGAGAAGCTGATTTCAAACACTTTTGGAACTAATCCAACAACAGATTCACATAAATTTAACTTTGTTGCACCCACACAAATTCCACCCCCATCACAATATCCTAACAATTTCGGTTTTGAGAAAAAACCACACAATTTTTGTTTGCTGTCTGATTCAGACAGCCCTTCAAAGTATGATTTAAGCTCATGGTTAACAACAGTAAAATTCAAGCAGTCTAAAGAAGAAAAGCCAAAATTAAATGTAAAGACAAATTCACTTTTTTTTTTTTCACCTTAATCATTCCAGTTTATTTAAAACAGAAATTAATTTCCTTAGGTTTCTACTGTTAAGACACTTTTAACAAAGTATCTGAAGCTTGTGAAAGTACTAGAAAGACTTTTGATATATTTAAAAGTTGGAGAGACCTCTTTGGCTGATGTTGATTGGTTGAAAAAATGTGAAGAGGTCGATAAGAAAAGAGTATGAATTTTCAATACAAACTAGGCTCAAATAAATTTTATTCTAATTGTTTGATTTGCAGAATGAACTGAATGAAATAGCTGAAATGTTCGATAACCCAAATTTCATGGCCTCGGTTGAACTGACTGCAAGAAGAGCCCGGAAGAAAAGAGCGCAGAGAAAGGCAAAAAGGCTGTTGTGGCAAATTAGAAAAAATGAAACTGCAGAGTTTAGAGCCCGAGAGCACAAGCGGATTGACATCTGGTTGGAAAAAATGAAATACGAAGTAGAGCGAGTTCAAAGGGTATTTATAATCAAATCAAATTATTGACCGATTGATAAAACATACTTAATTATAACAGGAAGAAAATGTAAAACGGGAAGCAGATCTTGTACTTTCAGATGTCAATGCAAAAAAAAGTGAAGCAAAAAGGATGCTCAGTTTACTGACTTCACTGACAAAGTTGAGAAATGCAAGGGCCCAGCAGAAATTAGCAAATGGAAAGTATGTCTCTGAAGAAGAAACAAAATCATTTTCTCAGATAGTTGGTTTGTATTAATTAAACTTCCTTAAAATTCTTAATCTTATCTTTTGAATATATAATTTTTTTATTTAACATTTAAAACAGAAAAATTGAAGACATTCTGGATTGAACAGTTAAAAGAATATAACCAAGAAGAGACTGGGCTTCGTGTGATGCTGAATGACGCTGAAGTCGAAAGAAAAAATATCGAATTGGCCGAGTTTAAAAAGTCAATGAACCAGTGGAGTTCAGTATTATTTGGCAAGAGGTCGGATAAACTACCTCAATTCCTTCAATTAAATTCATTGGAAGAATACATTACAGTCAGGTAAATATTAAAAGGTTAGGTAAAGATTAGTAGTTTTGCTATTTACTCTAACATTCTGTGGATTGACCCTTTTCAGGTCGGCGTGGGATCAGTTTTTGTCAAAAGATGACGTTTCATCTTCAATTCCAGTTGGGTGGGTAGTTCCAGTGGAGCCGTCAAGTTCAGAGTGGGCAAAATACATCTTTGATTAATATTTTGATTTTTAGATAATTTTAGATTAAAAAAAAATAAATTTTGTACTTTTAAGTTGCATTAACACAGCTTTGTATATGTATATATGAAATGAATTTATATTGAATTGAAATGATATATATTTGTAATATGTTTAATAATTATAACAAAGCTTTACTTTCTATAATTTATTTAACTCCTTTCTATTCCATTGCAGGTATAGAATAATTATATATATATATAATAATATAATAAAAATAATTATTAATACAATTATATTGTATATTTATATATATATAATATAATTGTATTAATAATTATTTTTTTATTTATGACAAAATGGTTCTTTAATTTATATAATTTTATGCATAAATAAAATAACAGGGATGACAGTTTTACAAGTATCAATGTAATCTGGATTCACTAATTTCGTGGTCCGCTTGACCAATTAATACATTACAATTAATTAAGGTTTTTAGTTGAGATGAAAAATGGCAAAAAGGAGGGAAAACTCATAAGGTGGGGTTGAGATAGGAAGTTGATGTCCCAGTGGATTGAGGTCACGATAGCTCAAGTGGTAGAACAGCGGTGTATCTAGCCGAAGATCGTGGGTTCGAATCCCGCTCGTGCCATTAATTTTTTTTCATCTCAACTAAAAACCTTAATTAATTTAATCTGGATTCTTGTCATACCGAATTTTCTGCTTTAGCATTGCCATTACGTGCACAAATATGAAAGCAGAGTTAACTTCAGGCTGTATTTTTTTTTTTTAAATTATGTTATAATATACAAATGATCGAGTATGAAATATTTGCATGAAAATATGTAGTATCAATTGACCAGTTTAATTGGAGGTACATATAAAATGGTGGTAATTACCATGTCACATCTGAAACGTCTCTGCAAGAAATTCCTCATAATTTTTTGTATTGGGGTGGTTAAGACCCTCTGTGTTCACAGGAATAAAAGAAACGGAAATAAGTTGGCCAAGGAACGTTTTAAGAGGGCACCTATTGGCCGTGAAGTCTTCCGTGCCATATCAAACTGCCAAAAATGTGATCGATTATCCTTCATTTAATGGGAAGTAGTTCAGGACAGGGGCATGCAAAAAAAGTATACAAAGGACCATTGCATCAGCTATTCTTCATCAGCAGAACTACTAAATCTAATATATGTTAGGCTTCGGTCCTTAGGACTAGATTAATAGTTGGACTACTAACTGGACACTGACGACCCAAGGCATATGCATAGACTCAAAGTGGCAGAAACAAGCCTGTGCAGATATTGCCAGAAGAAGAGACAGCGCAGAACAACCTATGTTGGTGCGAAGGCTTATATTGGCTGAGATTCCTAATCCTCGGAGAGGAAAGGTCCTGGCCTGAACACAGGGGTCCTTGAAAAAGATAGGGATATGGTAAAAAGCGTTAAGCTTAATGAGGAGCTCTAGGTAATGTAAACTGCTCAAAAATGAGGGAAATTTGTAATTTACTCTTATTCTTTTAATAAAGGATTTACTTAAGAATAGTAAATATGAAGTTTACTCATTTCATAAACAAATACCATTCTCCATTTTAATCCAGGTGTATTCTCTTTAACCATGGAAAAACCAGAAATTCACAATCTTATTGTGAGAATGAGTCATCAAGGGCAAGTGGATATCGCAGAGGCAGTTGGCGTCTCTTACTGCGTCTTCTCCTGGGCTTTAGCCCAATTTGAGAAACTGGAAGTGCCAATAGGAGGCCTGGTAGTGAATCTCAACGCATTACGACTCTAAGGGAGGATGGAAAAATTGTCATTGCTGCAAGACGGAACTCTTTCCATTTTACTCGCGAGATCCTAAATGAAGTAAAGATTTCGTTTTGGCAAGGCCTTTAACGATTTGTAATCATTTGTGGGAAGTTGACCTCACATCGTATGCTCCTTTGAGATGACCTGTAGCAACAGCCCACCTCCAGCAACTCAGAAGAATATGGTGTAGCGAGCGTCTAGACAAGAATACCAATTGGAATGCTGTTATGTTTACTGATGAATCGCGTTTCTGTCAGTATAGTGATTGGAGGCGTCGAAGAATCTATAGAGAATAGGGGATGCGTACAATGTTCCAGTTCGTGCTCCTTTCAGTGCAGGTTGGAGGAGGCGGTGTAATGGTCTGGGCTAGGATTTACACTGGAGGACGAACTGGACTCCATATTTTTGAAGGCAACCTCACTTCAGTCCGTTATGTACAATAATTTATCGAGGAATACATCTCAAACCATCCTCATTGGCAGGGATTTTTGATTTCTGGATGGCAATGCCAGATCTCATATGGTATGCCTGGTACCTGCCATATGGTGGCAGAGTGGTTCATCAATGATTAGAAAACGTGACAATTTCCCTTCTGCCCATTCCCCCATTTTCTCCAGACCTCAGTTCCATTGAGCCCATGTGGGATGCGTTGCATTTTCAATCACTATTAACAACCAGTTGACCTCAAATTACTGAGTGCAGCATTGCAACATCTATGGAGTGAAATTCCTTATGAAATTTGTGGCAACCTTATTAACAGTATGCCTAACAGGTGCACAGAGGTTTTAGCTAACAGAGGACATACATGGTATTAATTTAAAAAAAAATTATTGTGTCCAATAAACAAAATTTTGTTATTTTTCAAAATTCCTTAATTAAAATTTCCTTCAGTAAAAAATTAATAATTTGTAATAAATATTAATGAATTTATAGTAAAAATAAAATAAAAATGCTAGGGAAAGTAAATACTACAAAATTGGCAATATCCCTCATTTTTGTGCAGTTTAGATGCACAATAGGCCAACATTGGTCGCACAGCAGGTTATAAAGATCTTCTTTTTTAATTTTAAATTGGTTCATAAAATCAGTATATACTATGTAGCATTTTTTAATGGCAAATTCGATACAAATTTAAGGCACTTGAAAATCAAATTCAATCAACAATATAATAATTTTGTTTTAATTGGGTTCCTTCCAGCTTCTCCATTTTTGAGCGATGAACTCACTGAGTTTTTTACAGTCCTTAACTAAAGAAAAGTTTTTCATTAATAGAGTTTTGCAAAGCCTGGAAGAAGTGAAAATCTGAGGAGACAATGTCAGGAGAATAGGATGGCATCCCAGCTAAGCTTCAACTATTTCTGGTGCATCTGCAAAGACAGATGAGTGTTATCCTGGTATAAAACAATACCCTTGCGATCAGCCAATGCAGGTCATTTTTGGTCAATTGCTGACTTTAACCGTTTCAATTGTGTTCAGAAATACACTAGGATTAATGGCTTGTTTGAGCAGAAAAAGCTTACAATAATGCAACCCTTCCAATCTCACCAAATGCACGATATTACATTCGTGGGATTAGATCGGATTTTGAAGTTGTTGAGGGTGATTCACTGCGTTCTCCCCAAGATTTTCTTCTTTGAATATTGTTGTAAGGACCCCTCCCCCAAGCCATTTATGTTACATTTTAAGATGAAGATGCGCTATAATAAATTCTTCTTTCAACATGTGATGTACCTATATATCACTCCGACAAACATATCCAACTGCTCTCAGTTGTGTTGAAATGCTTATATGAAATATGTTAAGTGCCTCTATGATAAATCATGATTATAGTTGAGTTATTTGTGACAAAAGCCTGAATTTGCTCATCTTAAATTGTTGAAGGAGCACTTTGGTCTCCCAAATCAAAATTATTGCTTCTAAAGAGAGCAAACTGTTTATTTGGACTTCAGATTCTTGATCTGTGCATACGAGGAAGGATGAACCCTGAATGCATGACTAAAGTGTGTTATGCAGTAAAAAAAAAATCTATTTATTTTGAGTTTATGATGAATTAACAGGCTGATCTGTTTTGTGTGATTCTGGAAAAATAAAATCACTTATTGCCTAACTTTAGCGATTTTACTACAATATGTAGCTCTAACACAGCTTTTATCGAGTGACTATTTTAACTAAATGTTACATTTTTTAGTATCCAAAACCCATAATTTATTCAACAATATTTTTAATTTTAACAAATATGGCATACTTACAGTCAAATACACAAGTTTAGAATAAGGATATTTAAATTTAAACAAACCTGTACATTTAAATATATAATGTAATGTAATAAATGGTACAAAACAAAAACTTTACATTTTGAGTGTACAATTTGTTTGTTTTTTATTTGCTCTATTAGTATGAATAGAGAAAGTCATCAAAATTCACGGGTTAGGTTGAAAATTGGTTAAACACCAATCCTGATATTAAAAATTGTTTTTGAAAATAAAAAAGCTTGTAAAACCCTCAATCAAAAATTTTTCAAGAGTATTTATTTACATTATGTATGTAAATAGTGGAGCCTCATATTAAATATTTAAATTTGATATTTAACCACTTGCAAATCGTCTCTTAAGAATAACATTGCATATTGTAAATTGAATTAAGAAGTTGTAGATGTTAACACATTCAATTATAATGCAATTTTTCTATCACAGCTGAATTATTGGGATAAAATATACATTATATACACACAAAACTTATTATAGTAGTCTTTACATTTTACAGATACTTCATTTTAGAGACCAACTTCACACACATTAAATAAAACTTTATAAGTTTTAAAAATAATATTAAATTACAATTTAAAACATTTTTTACAATATTATGCCTTACAGATGTTACAAGCACGCCTCCATACAAAATAATTATTCTCACTAAATAAAATTTAAATAAATAAAATTAAAAAAACAAAAAACAATCCTTTTGAACCCAGAGTCTTACTGAATCATAGTCTTATTAAAAATTTATTTATATATTGGGGCATACAATTCAGCAGAATCTGATATGCCAATTACATTAGAAACATATTAACATTATTATAAAAAATAATTCAAGCAATATCACAATTTTCAAGAATGACAAATTCTTTCTAATTACACACAATGCAAGTTTAGTGCTTTACAGAAAATATTTATAGGAATAGCCTATATTTTTTTAAGAGTTTAATAAAATTGATATAGTTTACAAGTTTTTTGTTAAATTTCCTCTTTAGAGATATTACTTCAGGTCACTTTTTTTAGTTTGTCTGTAGTAAATTGCATTTATTGTTAGTTTTACAAATAAAGAGATCATTTCTTTTGGTGTGGTTAAGCTATAAAATAATTTTATTTAGTTAATTGTTTATAATAAATGAAATTCTTTAAATGAAAAAATAACAAGGAATGTTTAAACAATGAGAAAATTATGAATAACATTATGTCAGAAGTAATCAACTGAAAAAACCCCACGATAAATATTGACTATTTACAAATATATATTTACAACATTGATGTTATGAAATGGACACAAGTTTTGTTTGTTTGTTAAAAATGAATGAGGTACAACGGTCTAAAAACTTTACAAATAAATCAAAGTTCATTCAGAGCAGTTCTTTTTTTTTTCACTCGCACTTTGTCCGATTTATTACAACACGTAAAATGCAATCACACTTAATAAAATTTTTGAATAAATAAAAGATTTTCGTTACTGCCACAAACCAGCGTAATTGCCGTAAATGTTTGCGGGCAAGGGTCCACCTGCTGAAAATAATCTAGTCCCTGAAAAGTCGTAGCAGTGGGTATAAATTGCTGGAGTGTATTTGACCTGGTGGAATCCATCCATCAATTCTTCATCAGGAAACTAAAAGAAAAAAGTTTTTCAAGATTAATGAGTAAAAGATGACATAATAAAAAAAAATTAAAAATTAAAATACATACAACATAGCCTCTAGAAGATTTTAGAATGACTGTCCGGCTTGAATTAATACTAGATTCTAAATATTTCCCCGCCCTCAAGTCGTAAAACATAATCATCCCAACTCCGGTTCCTATAGTCAGGATGTTACTTTGGAAACTGGCAGATCTAATCCCTGTAACAAAATAATTGAATATAAAGCATAAAATGAACAAATTCAATACTGAAAACTTACCACATCCACTATAACGCGATGGAATTTTTTTAACAGGCTGTAATGTTCTAGAATCTAATAATAAAGTATACGATTTACATCCTATAGCATAAAGTGCACCTGTGTTTTGTACAGCCATACACACATTATCTTGACAGCTTGGAAGTTTTCTTGATAATTTCTGTAAACAAATTATAGAATAAAACTTTATTTAAAAGAGAGACAAGAGAAAAAAAAATACCTGTCTAAATCGTTCGACATCCCAAATATGGATATAGCCGTTTAGTGAGAGTGCTGCCAATTCCCTCTTGACATTATTGAATGCAAGAGCTCTTATTTTCTGAGCGTACTTGCATTCTCTAACATCTAATGCATCGACAAATAAATAACATGGAAGCGAGTCTTCTAGTAGGTAGGTGTTTTCTTCGTCGAACTTCCAAAGCGCCAGCCTTGTATCAGTCGAGCCGGATACTAAAAATTTATCATCCAACCAACACAAATCTAAGACCCAGTCTCGATGTGCACCCTGTAGATTTTCAAAATATAAAGCACTTAATATATTGTTAATTTCCATTAAAAACAAACCTGTCCGACGCAGACGGGATCCAAGGTAGGAAGTCTATAAACTGCTATTTCATTAGAATTTTTTGCACCAGAGGCCAAGAGTGTGTGAGAAGGATTTATTTGAACAGCGTGAATCCCGTGAAAGCTGTCTGCCTGTGGTGCATCCAGGTTTGTCTCTCTCTTCCCGTTAAGGCTAGGTATTTGATCTATTCTCTCTGTTACTACATCATAAACCATTAACTAAAAATAAATAAAAAATTATAATATTCCATCTTCTCAATTTAACAATGTTAAATTAGAACAGCGACTAAACGTGGGAGGGTTGGTGGCCCCAACGGTTCAGTCTTGGACACGGTGCTCTTCTCTACAAGGTAAAGGTCCAGTGGTCCTGCCCGACATACTTACAAATTTTTTTTTTTAAACTAAAACACACCGAGGGCTCATATAACCTCGCAGTTGAAATATCCTTGTAATAATTAAAAAAAAAAAAAAAATAAATAAATAAATAAATAAATAACATGTTTATTTAGATAAGTGGAACTTATGACTGTTTTTTTGTGGCCTTATTTTGTTAATATTATATTACATAGAGATTGTGGCCTGTGGATTTTTTCCTTCTTTATTTACTTATTTTTTTTTAAAGAATAGGAATAAACCTTTTCTTTGTAAATGTCCTAGTTTTACTACCAAACCTATTTTTGGTTAGTAAAATATGAATAAACCTAAATCCATTAAAATTTAAAGGTAGTGTGTTAATTTTGCCCATCAGCGTAAAATATTAAAAAATAAACCTTCAAAAGCAGTCAGCGTGTCAACTCCGTTTAAAAATTATCGAGAATATAAAGTTGTTTACCGTTGTCTTTCACTTATTCAACTAGAATATCCTTAATCCTCTGAGCAACAAGAAAGCCCAGAATTATTTGATAAAGTAACCTTAAAGACTAAGGTTAACCAGTGAGCAACTTACAAGCATTCTAGTAATAATCTCACTTATAAAAAAACAAACATCATAACTGTCTGTAAACTAATTACATTAATTAGAATTAAGGGCTTTCTGATTAAAAAATATCTAAATCAGAATATTTTCTTAATTTTTGTTTTCAAATTTATTTATTTTATATTAAAAATATTCATTAAAATCTTTCCTTTGGTGATTTCATGTTATATTCTTTTTCTTAAACCTTTTTCAATGGCTCCATTCAGGCATTTAAGTGAATATGGCAGTGTAGGTTCTTAACATTATTAGAGGAAGAATACAGCCAGCACGAAGTTGCTTGGAGAGTGAGTGTAAATCATTCTACAATAGGAAGGGGTCTTCATCGGTTAAGAGAAACAGGACTTCACACTAGAATGCCAGTACAGGGTCTGCCTAGATGTACAGACAAGAGAGACGAAAGATCCTACATCATCAGGATCTACAAAACCGCAGCATTACGGGAAATGATATAAGAAATCTGATAACACGAGTCCAAAATGTCTCGATTCCTCCAAGACTGTAAGAAGGATCAATGAAAACCTCAGGGCCCAGCACATGGCTTCAGATGGGAGTAATTTCATATAGATTCGCTCAGGAGAAAGGTACTTCTCATGCTGAACCGTTCCTCAGATGGCATTCTACGGTGGGTCTGTTTTGGGGTGGTGTTTCCTTGTTGGCCCGCACTGAATTGGTTGTGCGAGGAAGATGTACTTAGAAGATAATCGAAGAACATGCAGTAGTGCGATTTGCCCCCCCCCCCTTATTGTTGTGAGATTACACCAGATAACACCAGGCCCCACAGAGTACGCATCGTGGATGACTGAACGAGTTGAAATTGAGCGGTTCGTGTAGCCAGCTCAAAGACCAGAATTGAACCCAGGTCATAACACCCCAGTTGAGATGGGGGGAGGTGGAGCTTTTCTTGATGAATGGGGAAGAATTCCTCAGGATTTTATCAGGAATATTTTCAAAGGAATGCAAATACTTTTATTGGATGTGGTTCCAAAGGTAATACATAAAATATACATATTAAAGGTAATAAAATTTTTTTTCCGTTTTTATCTGTTTTTGAATTTTCTGTTTTTGTTCTCTTTACTCAATAAATGTTTGTTTGGTATTAAGTAATAAACAATTTCTTTTTGAATATCTTATTTTTACAATCAAACCTATTTTTGGTAAGCAAAATTAAATAAACCTAAATACATTAAAATTTAAGGGTTGTTAATTTTGTGTGTTTTATTATTATAATTATACATACAATAAAAGCAGTTACCTTATTGCACTTTGTCCCGAAGACAACTTGGCGATCGCTGAGCCACTGGGAACAGAACACTTTGTTCATGTTGTTCAAGGAGATGGGATGCTCTCTGAACATGTCGTGGGCGAGAATGTGCCTCGATCCGTAGTCCCTGTTGAAGGTCCTCGACTCTTTCAAGCCCATCTCCCTGCTCCTGATGTAGTCGACGATGCTGAACGAGGTGTTGAGTATTTTCTGCTGCGATGCCGGGGTGTCTTCTTCCTCATCCGAGTCCGTGTAGCATATGAAGTCCTCCGGCTTTTCCGGCTTTCTCGACTTTTCCAGGCGGAGGGCGCACGCTTTTAAAATCCTTTCTTCCAGTCTGCCTTGATACGAGCAAGGCGGCCTTTTCCCGTAGACAGGCTTCCTCACGGTCGAAGCCATGGGGACGCGAAGAAAGGAGTTTTCTCCTTTCTACGGTGCGACTCCGTTCTGCGGATTACACCATATTCGACCTATTTCTATCTGCTTCGAGCCCTATTCGGCTCCAATCCCAATCTAGAAGACTTCCGACCCGTCCGACACATTTTTCAACACTTAACTCACTTGTAAACACTCTTATAACCTAGAATCCCGATACGGACAGAGAGAGTGGCTGTCAGAGAAGAGAGAACCCGACGATAATAACAATAAAAACAGAAGGTATCCAATATCGATGCCTGCCTTCTTGAACAGGTTCCGACCTGAAAAGCTCTCAAGCACTACTTTCCAACTCTATCCCTAAAGAACGACAATAAATTCGCCTGTAGAATGATATAATTTATTAAACAATTTTAAACTGTTTAGGACGATAAACACGAAGGAATTTTGTTAGAGGTTACCACATCAGAACAGTCTAACGTTCTCAATTGTATACACCGAAAATGGGAAATTTATGTATAATAAACTAATTAAAAATTTCTCATCACTAGACGTTCTGAAGAATCTGAAATAATAGCAGTCATTGTACAAATTAAAATGTCTGCTAGTTCAGTACAATACAAAAATAATAATCTTTGTTTAATCAATATATTGCACTTTGTTGGAATATGAAAATAATCGACTTCTAGTTTTGCAATTATATCTATTAAAACACATTTAAAAAATAAAATCTATTTCTGATATCAAAGTGGACATAGTTTATTACTTTGGTACATTCATTCAATGTTTTGTCATATTAATTTGTTGAAGTCGTGAAGAGCGGCCAAGAATGAGGTAGTTTAGAAAAACAACTTTTTCATTTTTTTGCCGATGTTTCGACCTTTATTCGAGTCATCTTCAGTGTATAAAGTGTAGTGCGATTCTTGTTGCGTCATATTGGTTTTGTGTGAAAGTGTTTTGCTATTATCGTTTTAATAATGTGTGTGTTCATTAACAATGTTGTAATATTGTAAAAATAACAATTTTTACCACCCTCACCAAATTTTAATTTTTTATATTAACCGTCAAATAACAAGTTTATTTTACAGTTTATTTACAATTAAGCATCTTTGGGGCAAAACTGGATAAGTTAAAAAATTCAATTTTTTCAAGATCTCGATTTTAAAGTTTAAATCTTTGGTAAAAATTCAATTTTTGTAGTAACTTTTTTTATTGTGTTCACATTTCATGAAATTCAATGTAGTTGAACTAGTTTTTTCCCTGCAAAGCATTACTCTGACTCGGAGGGATAATATTTTACACATTCACTATTTACATATACCATGTGTTGTATGTAATATAGCTTATATACATATATTACATAGGGTGGGCGACCAAGACCCAAAAGCCTGGGTATACTCGTACCCCATCACTAAAAGATCTTGGGCTTGGTCAGCTCACGTGTCCTGCATAAATCTCTTGGACTTGTTCACAAACCCATCTTATCTCGGGGAGTGATTTGGTGATGTCTGCTCATTCAGATTTCAAATCTGGACCTAGCATACCTATCACACTCTGTGAGGTAATGCCTTGCCGTTTCTTCGTTTGTTTTGCAAAAACGGCAGGGATCTGGTAGAATACCCATTATGGAGAGGTGTCTTCTCAGTGGGCAGCGTCCTGTCAGAATACCTGTCAGATGCCTAATTTCCTTCCTTGAGATAGAGAATAGCCATTTAGATTCTGCTGGTTGTATATAATATAGCATATACAAAGACATAAATAAATCTAGCAATATAACATAAAGGATCTAAAATAATAAATTATGGCAAAAACAAATAAATTTTAATTAAACCCATTATACAAAATATGTACATACATATTAAAATATTTCCCTTTAAATTAATTGATAATATGCTCTTTAAATTCCAACTTGCTATCTAACAAGACACCCAAGTTTTTAATGCAGGATACTCTGTTCAATGTGGTATTATTGAGAGAATAATTCTGTTAAAGGTATTGGAAGAACGATGAAAGGAAATTACTGAGCATTTAGTTAAATTTAAATAATTGATTTGACACCAGAAACTAAGTTTATCTGCTGCAAGGGAAGAATATTGTCATTATTTAATAATATAATCTAAAAGCGAATCAATGTTTACATATTGAGTAAACATATTAATCATAACGCAAAATATATTTTTAAGATCTATATTAGTTTATATAGTGTTTTCATTATATACTTTTGTAGTTTATAGTTTTTCTTTGTCTAAATATTTTTCCTTTCACTATATATGTAAAATTGCTGTAAATATTCTTACATATACATAAGAGAATTGTTCATTTGTAAATAAATCAATAAATATATACTGAAATGCCTCATATTTTTCTAAGTTAAACTATTACATCTATCATAATTTTTTTTTTTGTCTATTTGAGGGCACACGATTGAATTTATCTATAAACATGTATGTGTTTATGCATTTACTAATGAATATTGTAGTTGGGTTTTAGCCATAGTAATAAATTTTTCAATTAATTAAGGTTTTTAGCTGAGATAAAAAAAGTCAGTGTCACTACCACTTGAGTTATCGTGACCATAGTAATAAAGCTAATAATAATACTGTGTATATCTTTAATGTAATTATATCCTGATTATTTATATTGTGTGGTGGCTAGTGACTGTTAATTGATAATTATTCAGAAATCGTGAGATGCAGTCTGGTGTGATGTAGGTTTCAAAAAAACATTTTCTTTATAATGCCAACATTTTGATCTTTTTTGAGATCATCTTCCGGGCTCAAAGTGTTTGTCTTCTGTGTCATTGTGCCATTCTTGCGTGTCGTGTAGAGAGTGCCCACAGAAGTTACTTAATTTAATTAACTGTAATGGTTTACAGACCAAAGTTTTTTCTATTTTTTTAATTATAAATTTCTTTAGGAATGAAGAGAACTTAAAATAAAAAATGGTCACAAACAAATTTTACATTTTTGAAAATGGTAATTTATCTATATAATTCAACATGATCTTGTTGCTATTCACTTTTTCTTCTCTCTTTTATACTTTTTCGTTATAACTATCTCTCTCCTTCATTCATATTCCCCTGTTAGATGTATATTATATTCATACAAATTTTGTTTATTTTTTGCATTATATTTTTGTTATTTAATTATTTTATGTTTGTCTACTCTCTGTAAAGGGGGTGATTCTCTTTTGTGAAAATGTTTTAAAAAAATTTTTTTTAAAAATATAAATATATTTCTATTTCTATTTCTACAAATAGTTGACTTGAAATTCCGCAAGGGCTTGCACTCGAATCACAGACCGTAAGGAGCACGTTAACCTCTCGCAATGTAAATTCGAAATAACAAGTCACTAAGTTTATCATCAGTCTATTGATTGTAGAGATCACGTTTCCAACTATTGTCAGTGAAGATGTCGAGCCTGCTTTTGGGGCTGAGGCTTTCCCTCTACGATTTGCAGAGGGTCAAAATGGAAAATGTCGATTTCGAATCAAAGGTTGACGCATTCAAGGAGGAAGTCGCGAAAAAGGCCAATTCCCCAAAGGAAAGTCTGGGTAAGGGGGCACTTATAAGAAATTATTTTCTACACTTCTTTTTAAATGTGAAAGCATGATTGATTTCAAAATTATACCTTTTTTGGTCAACATACCAAGGCAATTTTTATTCAAGGACTTAGGGTAAAGGTGTGCAGGTGGTTTAAATAAATTAAAGACTTGTAAGGATACATTTATATCCAGGGTATTTATCTACATTAAATATATCTTTATGTAACGATTTATTTTTAAAGAACAATCATTCAGAATTAGTTTTGATCTAAATATCATAGATGACATTCTAGTATAGGGTGATTACTGATACTTATTACACTGGGCAAAAAATGTTTGGAAACAACAGGTAGGAACAATAATAATAGGAACTGGAAACAATAGGGAAAAATAGGTTATTTTCTGTAATGAAACTACTTTTATTTTATGTAAAAAATATTAAAAAATTTACAAAATCAATTGTTTAAATTGTCCGGCAACTTACATCGAAATTACATCCCAATATCTGGATAACAGGGTAAAGCAATTGCAAGGGATTGCAAAAAACCCAAACAAAATCTTACAGCACTGGCTACCCACCATTTTGCACACCAACACAACTTCGATTTCAAAAATCCAAAAATATTACACACAGAACAACAGATAATACAGAACAGACACATGTAAAATCTCTCGCAGCTGCGCTAATATCGTTAATCAAATTCAATATCAATAACTTATGTATAACGCACAAAACATATAATCAGCATGTAAAACAGTCATTACATTCCACACATCACACATTTCTACATCGTCTAATTCTTCAACAATTTGTCTTTCATTTCCATAATTATCCCCGTCTATATAATTCTGAAAGGATAATCAGGTCGAACCATTACCCATTTTTCCCATTGTCGGCTCCTTTCACCTCAAAGAAGCCGACTCCTCACATGTCTTTCTATCCTCACTTCCTTCCCCACCTCTTCAAAATCCAGCGTATATAAACATAAAACAGCAATATCACTGGCACTCTCAAAACGACACAGTAATGACACATCTACTCAGAAAACAAACACTTTGAGTGAGCACAAATACTTTGATTGAGTCTAAAATTTCTATCATTGTATAAACTCATTTTTTCACATCTTACATGTATTTGTATAATTTAAACAATGTTATAAATCCCAGGCCCTGAAGATGATCTCAATAAAGATCGAAACGTTGGCACGATAAACTAAATGTTTTTCTAAACCTACATCACACCAGACCGCATCTCACAATCTCCAAATAATAAAAACCATTAAACTGTAACAAAATATAACATTAATGCATGATACGATGGTTAACAGAAAACGTACATAACAAAAAGACATACAAAAAGTTTGGAAATGGTGGTAACATTATAAATATTAAGTAATATAAATAAGTAATGTAAATGTTTTAGTTGTTAGAAGCTTGTTGGACCTCCTTTATTTCTTACTACTTCTAATAATCGGTTTTTCATTGATCCTACCAGGTTGTACATTACTTCTCCTGGAATCCTTTCCCATTCTTCCAATAAAGTTGTTTTCAGCCCTTATTTGTTTGTACTGTTGTCCGTACTCGTTGGTTAATTTCGTCCCTTAAATGTTTGCTGGGATTAAGCTGGGGACTGAGTAGTGTCTTCAGTTGCCTGGGTGCATTGTATAACAGCTACTCCTTTGTTCTCAGAGGTAAATGAACGGCCCAGATTCAATTTGTTGGCACTTTGTTGCAAATTATTTATGTAGACATGGTTGTCCATAATACCATTTATAATACGTAAGGCACCAACTCCCTTCATACTCATACAGCCGCAGATCATAATACCACCACCGCCATGATTAAACGTGGGCCTCATATTTTTAGTTTTCAATGCTTTATTTGCTTTTTGCCATACTTTTTGTCGTCCATCTGACCCAAAGATTAACATTGACATTCATTTGAGAAAATAACAGATTCCCAAACGATGGTGGCTTTTGTACATAGTCTTTTAGCAAAATCCAAACGGCGATTATGATTTAATTTGCTAATGTACAGTTTCTCCCTGGGAACTCGACTGAAAAAACCCCTTTCTAACAACTTGTTCCTCACCATTTGAGGAGTAACTGTTACACCATAGTCAAGTTCTCAGCAATGGTTGAAGTGTTAGTCATGGTTTGTTAAGGACAGTTTTTAAAATTTTGCGTTTACACAGCTGATTCATTTTTGGTGGCTGCCCGCTACATGGGCTGCAGGATGGACCATTATACCTTTTTATAATTTTTGAAACTCAACCTGCATTCTTATTAACAGTCCTTCTAATTTCCCTCAAGGTCTTACCTTGATTTCTTAAAGAAACAATTATTCGTGAATGGGCTTTGGTACTTCCATCATGAAAGTTAATCACAGCCTGAAAGGATTTCTGTTCATATGACTTGGTTTCAGAAACTGGAACTTCAGTTGCTCGAAAAATTGAAATCATTGAGTTCTGAAGGAAAACTTCATTCAATATTTCCAGAATGTATTGGAATGAAGGAATTGGAATATCCAGAATTTTGAATTTCTGATATTATTATCTTTTAGAATGGAAAGACTTGCAAAGTGTGAAAAAAACTTAAACAAAGAACAAACTAACAACAGGTTGGCTTAATTCGCTAACTTATTTAAATTTTAATAGCACTTGCAAATTCTGAAAAATTACCCTTGGGACCATACTTAGTTTTACAATGAAATAGACAGCATAAAAATAAAAGGCTGTCTTTTATAAAAACTCGAACAGGTACAGTTTTAGGATTAAGTGGTAGTGCTGGGTAGGATGCACGTCAGCTTCCGCAGGGGAAAAACATTTACATTAAGTTTTCTTAGCGTCAATGATTACAAAAGACAGTCTTGTACAACCACTCTTGTAATTTAAGGTTTTGATATATTTTATTATTATTTTTATTATTTATTATTATTTATTTAGAAATCGTGAGATGTGGTCTGGTGTGATGTAGGTTTCAGAGAAACATTTTCTTTATCGTGCCACAATTTCTAAATAAATACCGATTAACAGTCACTAATCACCACACATTTATTATTATGATAAGCAATATCTGTTTCAATTAATTAAAATCTAATTGCTTAATTTTTAATTTCAGAACTAGTTTATTGCGGAAACATTCTAGATGATGATTCTACTCTATCCTCTTGTGGTGTAAAGCCTGGTGTCATGGTTCACGTTCTTAAGAAAAAAGCTAAAGGTAGGGTTTCAAGCAGCACATATTTGATATATTTTAAAATAAATGTAAATTTTTCAGAGGCTCCTCTTCCTACTCAGACGATGACTGAATGTGATATCCAAGCACTCGTTGTAGCTTTTAAAACACTCACATTTAGTTCCTCTTGCAAAAGTTCTTTACAGGTGTGTTTATAATTACTCTCTTTTATAACACTTTATTCCTAAGCTTAATTCTTCTTTTTTTTTTTCTTTCAGAAATTGAGTCGTCCTGATATTTTAGAAAATATAATAATGATAACACCAGGACTGAGTCAAGATCCAGTTGCAATTTCAATGATTCAAGATCCTGAATTGCTGGTTAGGATGGGCGATATTGAGACAGTGAGAAGGTTTGGTTGAATAATTATGGTTTTAGTGTAAAATGCAAAAATATACTTTTTTTCTGTTTAGAATTGTTGAGCTTCACCCAGCACTGGCAGAAGCAGCCAATCATATTGCAGCCGCTGTTCATGAAGAGGCAGTTTCTGGTAGCAGTTCCCACCCAAGCACATCTACAGGTCTTGCTCATTTGATGGACATGTTGAGTGATGAGGATGATATGGAATCCTCCCAGGTATAGCATGTGTGCCAAGAAGGGTGAAACATTAATTTTTAATTAATATTTTTTTCTTCAAGTCATCAGATTCGCTCCAGCAAGGGGTTACCCGCCAGCCATCATTTTCTGCTATAACATCAGCACAATTGGCAGCTGCAATAGCTTCTGCAGCACAGAATTCAGGTAGATTTAGTGATTTATAAAAGAAATGAATAAATGTGCAATAAAATAATAATAGGCTTATAAAATTCAAAATAAAAAGTTCAATTCTTGAAAATAAATATATTGAGTTACTTCAATGATTTTGAACTTATTGGGTTATTTCTCTTCAGCAAGTGCTAGTACGAGTGGAGGAGATACTGCTATAACTCCTGAAATGGTCAATGAAGCGATGCAAAGAGCAATGGCTACTGTAGCTCCAGCATCTTCAACTGTGCCAACCGAAGGACCGACGGTAATTTTATGAGCTTTAAAATTTAATCATATTGAAAAAAAAATTGTGTTTTGTTGTTATTAGAACACTGAAAGGAATCCAGACAACCTTACAGACCAGATGAGACAAATGAGGGAACTTGGACTGACAGATGATGCTTTAAATTTGCAAGCTCTCCAACTTTCCCGTGGCAACGTCCATGCAGCGGTTGACCTTGTCTTCAGCGGAGCAATCTCTAATAACCCATAATATATTGTTTCCTCAATAATGTATTGTTTTTGTGATATGTATGAAAAATAATTAAGAGAATTAAGATAACATTTATGTTTTTATTTTTTGTGTGACTAGATTGAACTGTTGTTATGTAATTATTTCCCTTGATTTGTATAAATGATGTTTTCAATTATATTTATATTTGTCATCCAAATAAAAATAGGAAAGAACTTCTAAAGCAAGACCATTTTATTGTATTTTAATATTTATACTGAGGGCCAAAAAAATTTGGCCGCCCTAGTTTTTTAAAATAAATACTTGCAATCATTATAATTTTTATTTTTGTTGTTTACTGGATATTTTTAAACAAAAATATATGCTTTAGCTAAATAAAAAATTAAACTGAGTAAAACAATTTTAACAAATGTTGCTTGAATCATCACTTGAATTCGACGTGGCATCAATTTTATGAAGTTTTGAATGTAGTGCTGTGGCATATTTTCATACTCCTCAACAGTGCCATTATTAATCCATGCGAATTTTCTGGCATCACTAGGCGACTTTTTACCCTCTTTGACAACTCGTATGAAAGGTGTTAGATAGGGTTGAAGTTGGGACTATAAGATAAGCTGGCCCCTCCGAAAATTGAGTTGAAACCCGTTCAGAGTAGTCAAACAATCCTAGATGTGTGGGCCTTGCATTATCATGTGTAAAAATAAATTAATGGAATATAAGGATCAACTTCTGATAAAACATCTTCAATGCACATTCTGTCGCACAGCTGCTAAGGAACCCTTGATGAAGATCAAGTTTGTCTGACCTTCCACAGAAATGCGTGCCCAAACCATAACACCACCAACTTCATCGCTTCTCCACAAATATATTGCTCTCCTGTTCTTCTTCAAACCCTCTCTCAACTGTCAGAAGACCTCAAACAAAATCTTGAGTCATTTGAAAACAAGATTTTGGTTCACTCTTGCTCAGACCAATTGATGTGATTTATAGGGAAACCTAACTGAGATGTACTGTGCCTTGTCAAAAGTTCTGAAGCAGTGGCAGATCTAGGGGTAAGCAATAACTGATGATGATAACGACTGCCAGAAATTTTTTTTTCAAAAAGTGACAAATTTCTGATAACTGGTGGAATATTGTAAATGTGAGGTTTCTCTGTGTGGTATGAATCTGTACTTTTGGTACAGTTGGAAGTTAAGACCCAGGAATTACTCAACTTACTTTATTTTTTGGAGAGCAGAAACTGGAGGAGTTCCCCTTGAGGGACTGCAGCTTAACAAGTTATTGAACTCCTTTCTGGTTCCATTTTGAGAACTTGCAACAACGTGTGTGTTATGCCCCTAGGGTGTCAATGTTCTTCCAAAGAAGAAACTCATTTTCATAGGGAACTGAATTCAGGATTGCTGAGAACCGATCCCGCCCCGGACCTTCCATTGATGAATGTCTTGCTATCTTTCATTGTAGCCATCACTTCTTTTATGCGTCAGAAAAAAAAGTCTAGAGGCAATGGAGGGAGTCAAAATCATGATCGCAGGATCTACTAGCCGAGATTCTGAAACCTTAACGTCTCAGCTACTGCAGTCCCACAATTTGTTTGTTACCGATTATTTTAGTATGCCCTATCCTTGCTATGTTGATCTATAAGACCCGTTTCGGCATTTTCATCATTTCACCATCTACAACACTGGGTCTGCCAGATATTTGTGAACTCAAGTTTATTTGAGGTTGGTGTCTTTGGTTGATTAAGCCTGTTTTTTTGTCTTTTTTTTTTTTGTTAAATTTTATTTAACTTAAAATTTAAAATCTCTAAATTAATTTAAAAACTTATTGTTCTGGTTGGTTTTTGTGATCATTGGTTCTTTTATTTTTAATTTGTATATTTTTACTGATGTAAATAATAAATAGATCAAGCACAATTTTATGACCAACTATTTAACATAAAAAATAACCTCACTGCCTCCTAACGACTTCAACAATTTATAAAAAAATAAATTTAGTAACTGTTTAAAAAATTAAGTTAGATAATGGTAAGAGAAATTGCCAAAGGGAATCATGCAAAATTTACTTTGCTGGTAAACGTTTATCTAAAAGTGACAAATTTATGATGAATCCAGATGAAACATTGTAATAATTTCTCAATAATTATTACCACAATACAATGCTAAACTTCTACCAAAGCAAATTAATTAGATATTAAACGGGATAGATAACTTGTAAAAGTAAAACATTTGCTTAGTAAACACTTTCAATTAAGTCCGACCTGAACTGCCTTTATGGAATATATAATGTAGGCCATTCAACATTTTGAAATTACTTTGTGGATAAATGGAATGAAAGGTGTGCAAAGTTTTACAGAATAGCAAAATTGTAAAACATTGCGATGAGAAGTGCGTGGTGACGAACCTGTTTTTATTTTTGTCCTTTACTCAACAATTGTTTTTTTTTTTTAGAATTAAGTAATAAACTTCTTCTTTTAAATGTCTTTTTTTACAACCAAACCTATTTTTGCTATTCAAAATATGAATGAACCACAATAAAGTAAAATTTAAGGATGGTGCATGTATTTTATCTATCAATGTATTTTAAAATTTGTCATATTAATTTATAACGATAATTTAAAAATTTATAATAACGTGAGTAATGTTTAGTGACCGTTAATTAATGATTATTTAAAAATCGTGAGATGCGGTATGGTGTGATGTAGGTTAGAAAAATATTTTCTTTAAAGTGCCTCCGTTTCGATCTTTATTGATCCCATCTCCAGGGCCTCGGATTTATGTTATTTGTGTTGTTATTTATTTAAACAATGTTTATAACGCCCTGAAGATGACCTCAATAAAGATCGAAACGTTGGTACGATAAAGAAAACGTTTTTCTAACCTACATCACACCAGAACGCTTCTCACGATCTTTAAAAAATCATTACAATAACCCATATATGTTTAGTGGGCATAATTGATCATATTAATTATTTTAATTAATTATTCTTTTTATATAAGGTCTTGGTTGAGAAGAAAGAGTTGGGGCCACGATTTCGAATTGGGATTCGAACCCAGAAGCCGGGGTGGGTACAATCCCGCTCTTGAAACAACCTTTTTCATTAATTTTTAAATTAATTGAAATTTACAATAACAATGATAAATGTGATATTTTTTATGTATATTTATGTGGAACATTATTTTTAGTTATTTTCTTATTTTTCATATTGTTTAATACTAAAGTAATTTCGTCCTTTCTTGTATTAGTTCTGCTTTTTATATTGTTATATTTTATGAATCGTATATTTCTATATTTAAATGTTTTTGTAAATTGGATTAATTTCGTAAATATATTATTCCGTAATATATTATTAATACCTAATTTTTTAAAAATCTTTTTTAAGGGACTGCTTCAGTATGTTAAGTTTTGTCTGTTTCATATGTTAGATTTTTGGCTATTGCTGTGTGTGCTTAAGGAAAAATAGTTTGTCCATGGTACAGCCCATGGATTATTCTTTTCTCTCATTCGAGCTCATCTAAAAGTTGAAGGATAAAAAGGCCTAACAAAAGGACAAGACAATTCCAACTTCATAGGGAAAGTGAGTGATTTTTTATTCAAATGGCAAACCGTCGTCGGTCCTTTAATTAAAAGGAATACAGTGAATTTTTAACGTAGACTAGTCAGTGACGCAAAATTTTTTTCCCATCCCAGGGCAAAGCACACGTTAAAGTCACGCACAGCTAATTCGCATTATTATCGAATACACTTCTTGTCTCTACTGACGACGACGAGCCGGGCCGAGGAACGGCGAAAAACGGCGATCCCGTCCGTGAGAGCTTTGTTTAACTTGACGCCCGCGCAACTTCGTCGGACTCATGCTGGTTTCAGTCGAGCCTCAACAGTCATGAAACGACGTGGACCAAGTAACACGAATTAAAAACCCCTTAGAGTAACGATAGTGCGTAAGTGACAAAGTGGTCCAGTGGCACTTGTGTAAACGCCTTTTGTCAATTTAATTTTTCTGAGACGATTAAGGTAAGGTTGGTGTTTTGTCATTAAAATCCCTAAGCAAATAATTTCCCAAATTTGATTTAACAAAAAAAAAAAAAAAATACATCGTGTTTTTATAAATAAAAACAGTTAAACCAGCACATTACAATTGTATTTTGTCCAACTATTCTCCCTTACCCAACAATCTTTAAAATCATGCAAAATTTTATACGTATACACACATAAAGCGTACACGCCATGTCTGTTGAAAAAGCATATTACGAAAATAAAATTTATAAACAGTCGAGTGAATTTTCTTCTGTGCGAAAAAAGACTGCATGGTTTAGCTCTGGGCCCTTACATTTTTCAAAAGTAGCAGACATCTATTTGCATCAAAGGTGAAGGAGAAAACGTTATTTTTAAAAAGGGGATTTCCAGAGTGTAAACAGCAACAGTCCATCAATCAGAAAGTGGTGAGAGGTCAAAAGACTGTTAAGAGGTGTGAGAACACCGGGCAAAACATGTAAAAGGGTTTCTTCCTCCCGGAAGGGATAAGATTACACTAAGCGCAAAACCATTAGGCTCGTTTCGATTAAAAGCGGGTGATTAGAAATTTTCAAAAGTCATGTACACACAGTAATTAAAAGTTAAGCTTTACAAATGCACCTAAACTAATTCTATCCTTGAACTCTTGAAGAAAATTCAAATTAAGTTTACTGAATAACAACAAAAATAATGATAATAGTTACAAATAAAATAAAGAACTTTACTTGCAAACATTTCAGGCGTTTAATGTGCTTACAAAAAGTTTTTCTACTCAATTAAGATATGAACCTCTAAAAAGATTCTTATCTTGGATTAGCTGCCTATTATCTTTCACTAGATAACAGGTCTCGTCCATATTATCTTTAAGAATAAACTTTCCCAAGTTCAAATTCAGATGTTGATTTGGTCTTAAAGATATGAAAGACGTACTAATTTAGCCAAAACTGACCAAAGTTAAAATTGCCAATATCAAAACTAAACACTTTGTTTATCGAGGTACCTTGCCAGCGTTTTACTAACGAAGTGGAAGTTGTTTGAACAATTTTCTTCCGCCGAGTCCGCAGTTTTGAAGATAACCATTTATTTACTCAAGAGTTTACTTTTTATACTTACAACTACCGTTAAAATTTCTGAGTTTATATTGTTGTAATATCGCTTAAATGTCAATTCGCTGTAAAATATGTCATATTAAAAAAAAAGAAAAGAGAAAAATCGATATAAATGAATGAAGTTAATAAATTTTATCCTTTCGATTAAGAATAATTCCGATTGTGATAATTCTCTGGACCCCACAACACGCCATACGGCAATACGATTTCAATTCCGATAGAACTTATTTACTGATAAAAAAAATTGCGTTCAACGCTAAAAATAAAGAATTTCAGAATTATAAATATTCGTGAATCTTCATATTCTGAGCAAAACCGACGAACTTTTAAATAATCAAAGTTTCAATTTATAACTTAGGTCTAAGTTCGAATTTAGAATTTGCAGGTGTGGAAAATTTACGCGGTAATTTATTAAGAGCATTGTGATGTTCTGGAGAAAGCTGTTGGAAATTAATCTCGTTATGAGCCTCATATGTACAACAGAGAAAATTTATGAAACACAACAAGAAAGACAAATAGCACGCATTTTTGTCTGACCGGAACATATTATTTCGTTATAATTCGCTGTTTGTTCTTTTACTTAATTAATTATTTTTTATTTTTACTTTTGGTTTTAAAAATGGTACGAGCCTAAAAATAAACACAAAGGAAAAGGGGACAAATCAATACTTTGGAATATTTCGGCCTTAAACAGGGTGATAATGATTTGGCTCTCGTTATTTATTATTGCCTCTATTTACAATACCTTATTCACATAAATTAGATTAACAAAAATAAATAAAACTATACAATTTTAGTGCATAAAGTTTAATTTATTTATTTTAACGAATAATGAATACGAATAAACTTTATTAAGGCCAAGGATAAATTTCTTTAATAATAAAATTTCCTGAATAACCTATGTAGTTACCAAACATAATAACATAGTTATGCTCTAACTGAACAAAGAAAATTAGGAATGCAATTATCGCTTGGAAAATTTACTTCCAGGAAATTAGGAGTTGAACAATCTACCATCTAGTATAACCAACAATGTGTATTGAAAGCATTGTAATTGTCAAAAGAGTGTCTTTATTGTGTTGTGAAATTTCACCAGTTAATTATACGTCGATTTAACCTTTCTGATAATCTATCGACTGTATTTAGTAGTGAATCTTTTTCTATTTTCATTTTTTTTTAAATCCGAAAGAAAATGCATTGTAAAGAATCATTAACGATTAGCGCGCATATTTATTCCTGCGTAAAAATCAGGATTGTTGGAATAACACCCGACTCGAATAAATCTTTCTCCCTCATCAAGAGACAAAGGAGGTTAATCTGCATAATGGTTGGTGAGGGCCAATTTTGACAGATAAAATCCGTTTGGGCTCACGGTCTCACCGTGTCATAAAAAGGCTTCTTAGTTTATATTCCGCCAAATGGACAAAAACCTTTTTTTTTGTTATTAATGTTTCACATGCTCTGGTTCAAAACGTATTCGTTTCCCACAAAACCGATGGAATTCAGAAGTAAACTTTTACGGTTTTACCCTCAACATAAATCCGCCTGGGCTGAAGGCTATTGTTCGAAAGAGGGTTTTCCTTTTGATAGAATGACTTCATAAAGCGTAAACGCTTCATGGCGTACAGGCAACAATGAATTTTGATTTTAATCGGGCCACATTAATGAAAATAATAAATCGAAAAAATACCTAAATTAGAACGAAGGAAAACATGAACTTTATAAATATTGTCGTTTTTCAATAAAATACTTCATTCCTAAAACAACTATTCAAAAGTTTGTAACTTCTTTACGGAATAAATAATAAGCCGGGCAAAACTTTGCCTAATTACTTTGAGGCCAATGGAATGACGGGCAAGCCACATTAATAGATCAAAAGAGAATTACTTGGATATTCTAAGTAAAGAGTGATGGCAGCATGAAAAAATAATTCTGAACAACAGAATCGCAATAATTCTGAATATAATTGCATTTATACAAAGTTTAGAAATTATCCTATAATTTATTATTAGAGAGAGAGAGAGAGAGAATCGTGACCAAAATTAAAATACAATAATTTTTTTTTGAGTGACTTTAATGCTTATGTGTAGAGATTAGTGACCGTTAATCGATAGTTATTCAGATATCGTGAGATGCGGTCGGGTGTGATGTAGGTTTCAGAAAAACATTTTCTTTATCGTGCCAACGTTTCGATCTTTTATTGAGATCATCTTCAGGGCTCAAAGTGTTTGTCTTCTGTGTAATTGTGCCATCCTAGCGTGTCGTGGGCACTCTCAACACGACACGCTAGGATGGCACAATTACACAGAAGACAAACACTTTGAGCCCTGGAGATGATCTCAATAAAAGATCGAAACGTTGGCACGATAAAGAAAATGTTTTTCTGAAACCTACATCACACCCGACCGCATCTCACGATATCTGAATAACCAACTTTAATGCTTATATTACTCCTCCTAGCTGTTTTAACATGAAATAACCTGGGAAGTGTTTTATATATATAAAGAAAAGAAAAAAATTTGCGCCAGGCGTTTCAATAAGTTACATCATCAAGAGAGAATACATGATATTTACTCGAGTGAAAAAGCTATCCTGCCATAGCACTCCTAAAACATAGATTAATTATAATCATTCTCACTCTCTGAGGGCAGGTCACAGGGCCATTGCCTTTTTAGACGTCGAGGAGGATTATTGAGAACTGATAGGAAAGTTGTACGTGAGGATTAGAGTGGGATTGGAGGATAGTGCGGATTTTTTGTGGCAAGAGTTCGCAACTTCTTTTATCAAGGGAATATTCAGGTCCGTATGGACGGTGGGGCTGGAACGTATACGTAGAAATATGTAGATGGCCGTGGATATATGTCGAAGTATGACTTTGCACCATAATCGTGGCTCCTTGGAAACATAAAACGCTGACAATTGATCTAAGAGTTTGTCATTGTAAGGTTAGGATTCAGCGGAAATTGGAGGTTTGGTTGAATCCCATAGTTCTTTATGCGTATGCCCATATTGGTATAGTATAATAATAATTTATTTTATTTTTAGCCCATATATAATATTTACATATCTACAATTTACATCTTTCGTTAGAGCACCAGTTTAAAACTTCACCTCTCATTTGCATATACTTATTTATCTTACTTTTTAAAATGAATTTCTTTTCTGTTAGGAAAATGGACTAAAAACCCAACACCAAGGAACACTTATTATCACAACTTGCCTAAATTATTTTATGTTTATACTACATGTAAATTATACTGCCCTTATTTCAGTATTTTCAAGAATATTTTCAAAGAAGTTTTCAACAGCATAAATTATTATGCAGTTTGTGGTGACCTTGGTGCGTTAGCTGCAAATCGTAGAAATTTATTCTGCACTCTTGCAACTTTTTATTTGTGACCTTATGCAGTTTGTGGTGACCTTGGTGCATTAGCTGCAAACCGTAGAAATTTATTCTGCACTCTTGCAACTTTTTATTTGTGACCTTATGCAGTTTGTGGTGACCTTGGTGCATTAGCAGCAAATCGTAGAAATTTGTTCTGCATTCTTGCAACTTTTTATTGTATTAGGGATAACGGCCGCTGCGAATATCTGTTCGGGTCTTATGGATACTTTACACAATAATAATTTATTGTTAATACTAAGTGTTGAGTCCACTCAGCAAGGAAATAATAATTATTGTACTATTAAAACTTTACATTTGTTAACAACTTTATTAATGTGCTCTGTGAAGGTAAGTCCTTCTATCCAGTTAAGATCTATGTGTTTTATCGTATGTGACCATTCTATGTTTCCGTTTTCTATCTTTATTTTGTCATATTGGGTCACCTTTTGGTGAATAAGATGGCTTGAGTTTTGGCAACGTTAAACATTATTTTTCAACTAAGAATG